TTTGGCTTTCTGCAGCACACCTCATCACACGACTCCCCTCAAAGAAGCTAGCTCCCAAACGATATGGCCCTTTCGAAATCACAGAAGTCTTATCGCCTATCACGTTCAAATTGAAGTTGCCGAAAACCTGGAGAGTTCACTCCACATTCCATGCTTCTGAACTATCCTCCTATCAAGAGACAGAGATACACAGCCCGAACTTCACCGAACCACCTCCTGACCTTATCAACGGAGAAGAACATTACGAAATTGAAGCCATTCTCTCACACAAAGGGGCAGGCACCAGACGGCGTTATCTCGTATCTTGGGTTGGATACCCTGAATCAGAAAACTCGTGGATCCTTGAATTGGAGCTTGAAAATGCAGCGGAGCTTCTCAACGCCTATAAGAAGAGGCTCAAACTCGTCTCTAGAGCATTAGGCCTCTAAAACTACCCTGATTCTAAACCAACATGTCTGACCACTCCAGCTGTTCTTATGGTTCCGACCATAGCATTACCAACTTCTTTGAAAACAACCCCTTCACTCGCCCCCAGACCCCTGGCCAGCACCGAGCCATGTGGGAAGCAGTTATTCTCGATATCCAGTATGCTATGAGGCTTGACGCCTACGTAGAAAGGGTTGGCAATGCCACCCTCAAAGAGCTCATCATCATTTTCCGGGCAGCAGACGCCCTCACCCCCGCAGCAATGCAATTCCAGCTCGACTCCTCCACCAGTCTTGGTGCGATTCCTATCAGATACAACCAGAACAAGATCAAGAATGCAGTCCTGAATGCCATCAGACTTACTGTTGATTTTGATGACGCAATAAGGAGGATAGAAGATGAAAACGAGTTTAATCCACCTCCTGAACCATTCATTGCAGCAATGAGGCATACGACCCCAACCCCTCCCCTTGTCATCGAAGAAGATAATGAGGAAGTAGCGGAACGAAACACCCCGCTCTATGTGCTTTACACGCCCCCTCCTGCAGCCCAGCCAGCTCAGGACTATTACTCATTCCTCGGTTTATCCCCTCCCAATACGCCTCCTCTTAAAGTCGAAGAAGAGGAACAGCAGCTTCCCATTGATATTTCCCCGTCCCAGTCCAGGACGCTCTCCCCTGAACTTTTGCATTACTCCCCACTGCAAATCGCTGCCCCTATCCCTGTTCCACCTCCTACTACGCCCATTGATCTTGACGATAGGATGGACGTTCTCCGTAGAGCACAAAGGCTTACTCGGATGAAGCCTAAACTGCTTTTCTCTATGGGGCTTCCTTTAAGCCAACATCATTACAAACATTACGACTTTGAATCTGCGCCAGGATGTACCACCGCTGCACAATACTCTATCGAGAGAGCACAGTATGAGGCCGGAGAAACCACTCAAACCTATCCCTTCAATTGTGTCTGTCGTACTTGCAACAATTGGGGGCATAAGCAGAAGCACTGCAAGCGTTACCAATGCTGCATTTGTGGCAAATACGCTCCTAAACACCTTACCCCATTCTGTCCCCTCCTCAAAGGCAAGAAGCTCCTTTGCCGCGGAAAATCTGCTGATAGGTTCCATGGAGAAATGGCTAAGCTCAAAGCCGCCTTTGACCATGAGCATGCTTGCATTGCGGAAGAACGTGAAGAGAACGAACTCGACGCCATCGCAATGTTGGCAGAAATTGATGTCGACCCCATCTACTACTCCAACCAGGATGATTGAAGTCAGTGACTTCAAACCTTTGAATGGGAGGTAATGTTACGATAACATACTTCGGACCGGACCCCTTATCTTTTTCCTCTATCATGTACTGCTTTATGACACCTTATCATCTTCCTGTACAGCATCCTTGATCGCTGTCTTATCTCGTATCTCTTATCTTTTTCCCTGTACCCTTACCATTGCTCCGGTAGCCCTACCCTGAACTGACCTTTACCTATAAGTAGTTGATCATCTTGTCTTGTATTCTCCAACTTGAATCTACTCAGTCTTCTGATAGACCTTCCTTGAGCAAGACAGCTCTCGTATACAATTTCACTAAAGACTCTTCGTCTTAAGTGCCTTTACTTGATCGATACCATTAGTCTTGTCTTCGCTTGCCGACTCTTGTTACCAAGCTTTGACCCCAACGATAACGATAAACGAACCTCTGCATTATCTTCGCCTCACGTTGAGACTTAGTACAGAGCTCTTACCTGAGTCTACGCTTTCAGCGTAACAGCTTCGGCTGCTGCTACTTTACCTTCTTCTGTGATGCCTGTTGGATGCGCTGGCTTCGGTTGTTGCTACTTTACCTTCTTGGCTTCGGCTGCTGCTACTTTACCTTCTTCCCTGTTGTCTCTGCTGGCTTCGGCTGCTGCTACTTTACCTTCTAGGGATGATGCGAGGGTGCGTCGTGATTGGTGTCTGCATTGTCTGCACTGGCTTAGGCTGCTGCTACTTTACCTTTTTCTTCTGTGACGCCTGTTGACTTATTCCCTATAATATCTACAATAAATTTAATGCATTACAACTTACAAGGACCCGGCAGATATGTGAGCTTGCAATCTCTGAAAGTCCATAAGTCCTCGGTCAACATTTATCCAATTATAGTAGCGCTAGCACATCACAGAGTCTCATACAGTAAGTCCCCCTGCCTGCGCCTGTCAGCAAGGTTGGACATCCATGATGTTCTGTAGCACCACAGTTCCTCAATTGCAGCTATAATCTTTTTGCACCGCTTAGAAATTGCACAGACCTCCTTGAAAAACCTCATCATGCCCATCTCTTCGAGCACACTTGCTTCCAGTGCCTGCAGACCAACCTGAACCTCTTCAAGATGTGTGAGGACCTTGAGAAGCTTGCAGATGGCAGTTTCCCGTGTCTCAACACTGCATAAGAGCTGGTCGCAAAGTTCTTTGCAGAATTGTTGCACTGGTACATCAGTACAGTCCAGTAGTGCAGCCTGGGCACAATTGAACTGCTGGCTTTGCAGTGTTGAATGACGACAGCCATAAATTAGTAAAATTTAGTTCGTAATTGTAAGAACATCTTACACATGTGACGGTTGAGTTTTTGAGTGATCTGGCCTGCGTATTCTGGTGGTTTGCTTTGATTCCGGCGTGATAATGATCTGAAAGGGGCTTGTCTCAGAGGTAGGGCAAGAGGTAGGGCAGAGCTTTGTTGTCACAGTTTCTGTAGGGCAGAGCTTTGTTGTCACAATTTCTATAGTGCACTGGGCATTGCCTGTCGTCCAATTTGCACGATATCTGCTATTCTTTTCGCAGATAGCCTTCTTGTTCCTAGAGACCAGTGTCTCACTATGAGCATGCATTCAATGAATTGATGAGTCACCTACATTTGATAGTATTTTCTGCAGGGTTCACGCGCTGCTTGGGCCCTCTCAGTGTCATCCTTGTATTTGAATGGACAACCCCCCATTGGTGTTGAGTGGAGCAGTAGGAGTTAACTGGTATTTAAGTGGTAGTGTTGAATGTGTTTGGGAGAATAATGCTGTTGGGAGATTAACCGTTAGTACACTTCAAAACTGAATTCACCATAAGCTCGCTACACACTTCAAAACTAAATTCACCATAAGCTCGCTAGCTACATCAACCTTCCACAGTTACTGTCAGTGTCGACATTGTGACTGGTGCAACAAGACTGTCTGCCCTCAAACTCATAATATTCCTGACCTTCATCACAAAAATTGCTCAGCTCTGACATTGTCATACATAGATATATCTGCGCTGTCGAAACTGTCAGCAATATCAGGGTTAGGGTTAGGTATGTCTGAGCAGACCTAGAACCTGCAATTTACGATGGACTGGGCGTGTACGATGTGTTCCAGGCGATGATATTCTTATCTCAATTAGATTATTCAGACATTGTAAATCACACGGAGATAGCCAGTTAAAGTCTGATATTGAGTATCATCAAGAGAGTACAATGTATTCTAAAGTGCTGTAATGTAAGAAACCTGGTGAACTAGCAGGATATGACTGAGTGAGAGAATACTGAGACAGCATGGAAAGAAATGTCTGGACGTGACAGAGGTAACAACGAGAGCACGACAGCGAAAGTCCTAGTGCGAGAATGATAGTCCTTGATCCTCCTTTGAGCTCGAGCAATGCTGATCCGAGTTGTCTCGAGCTATGCTTTACTGAAAACATCGCCCACCCGTTCACAGGATGTGAGCGCATCGATCCTCTGTCGAGCTCCAGCATTGCTGACCGGTGAAATTGCCAATCCACGTTGACAGGATGTGAGTGTGTTCTCTGCTCAATGGTTATGATCTTCACTCACTCCAATTTAGCCATATCAATATCACTGGCCTCCTTCGCATGCTCATTACCCTGTCTCTCCATTCGTGTTTGCATCACCTGACCCATCATTCCCAGTGAAAACGAGCAAAATAGAGGTTGATATAAATCAAATGAGATGGGTACAATAAAATATAAAACGAAGAACATTGATGTATATTGATACAAACAATCCTACACTCCGAAAATAAAATCAGTTTTACATTTCTGCACTGCTGCAGCCCTCACATTCCTGCATTTTTGCACGAACAAACACAAATCCTACATTTTCTGCAATGCACATGCACAGGTCCAGGTATTTTGCACGACTCTGGAAATATTCACTGCACACTCGGCCATATGCATTCTACACTGCACTTGTACACTAGTACTTCGACCCAATATTGACAATAGTTCTTTCGACACCCCACGGACAGTTACTAAATATATCAGAGTTTGAAAGACTTGTCAGTGGATACAAGTTCGAGTTCTCGACACAGCGACCATCTACAACACCCCTTTCTTCCCACCATCATTACACCACATCTGATTGGGCAGTCTTTGGGTGCGGTGACATCTTCACCAATTGATTTGTCTACTATCATCCTTGGCAGTGGAGCTGCAACTCTTGGTTCAACTGGGCGAGCACCTGGATCTAGGCGGGGCTCCCCTGCCATAATGAGCATGACGCGCTCAGTGCCAACATTCTCTCTCGCTTGTCATCCAGCCAGTACAGCAATGTTTCCATGGGTTTCAAACAATACCGTGTCAAAGACCCTTATGGGTTGAACAATCGTGGACAGCGATCGGCTTGGACAGTGGTCGGCTTAATATGCTCCTCGCCGAAGGCATTTGCCTGCGGTCATTCTCACATTGGTCCCCAAATGCATGGTCTTCAGGTGTGTTCGATCGATGGATATGTCTTGCAAGGCACCTCTCCTCATAGCGCGAGCTTGACACCCCCTCATACCAACACCACTGGCTATACGGACATTGCTGGATATGCTAACATGAGCCCTTTTGGCAAGGTCGGTGTTGCCGCAACATTGAATCAGAGCTACAGCTATGGCATGTAGAGCAGGTACATTGATTGGTGCGTTTTTTCTTCTACTATTAGTATACATGAGCTAACTACCTTCTTCTACAGCTGGTTACAAATGAGTTCGCTGGATCAGATGGAGACAAGTAGTGGATGGCGGGCATGAGCTGGGTGTAGTGTTGTGGGCAGAAGTCCGCCATTCTGCCAACTGGTTGTGCTAAACCGGTTCTGCCCGGCAGATGGCAGAATTCTACGGGCAGAATCTGGCAGAATGTCGAACTACTGGGGATCCCATCCAGTAGCTTTCTTCGCCTTATATGGCCATAGAGCAACTGCACTCATTCAGAAGTTAGAACAAAAACTAATACAGTTCCATAGGTACATCCGAGTCCGCTTTCCGAGGCGGCACTGGGCTTGTCTTCCGCATCAAAAGTATGTTCCGTTTTGCTCCCATTCCCAACTCCTGCTCAGCGGTTCGTTTGCACAGATGATTCTCGATCAAGTGGATCGCGACGAAGCGGTATCAATGTGCCAGCTTTATATCCGATTATTCAGAGACGAAGAGCTTTTGTGAGTATCTAACAAGCCATTCAAATTTGCATGTTCTCAATCTTCTACTGTTATCGTAGGGAGGAGACTCGGGATGAACATCGCCTCGGAAACAGATAATACCATTCGACGCTACAGTGATGTATTGGATACGCTGATCTTGCAATGTAGTTATGATCTCGCAATGTAGTTATTTACATTCACCGAACAGGTCAGAATTGGGATGTGTTTGTGTCTTGACATCCATTAATACTATTTCAGGTGAAATACTGGACCTCAGCGGTATGACTTATGCAGCAGGCGCGGGACTAGATACCAGAAAACTATGCCTACCAGGAACTCGCATGGAAATGCTCGACCAGATCAAGGAATGGGTCCACACTGCACAGTGATCCATATGATTCTCCACACGTCCTATGGCTATCTGGTTCAGCTGGGATGGATTAATCAGCCATCGCCCACAATTTTCGCCACCATTGCGCGTGACCTGGCCGACTATGATCCAGAGATCAGACGAGCATTGCTAAATGCAGTCAAGAAAGCCAATGCACTCAAGAATACGAGGGATATGATCCAGCAGTGGCAAAAACTTCTTGTGGAACCGCGAAATCTGTTGACAACGAGATCATGGTATTTGATCACACCTCACACAACAACGGACAGTGGGACATGGACGCGCTGATATCTTCTAATGGTGTTTCCTAGTGACACTTAGTACTATACATTGTCGTAGCACTTTGAAAATTCTGCCAAGCGGCAGAAGTGGTGGTTATGCCGCTTCTGCCGGTTATGCCGGCACAATCGCCCGCAAACAATTCTGCCCCCAGCACTAGCTGGGTGGACGGCGCTAGTAGGGTGCTGGATTTTTTTTCGTCATTTTTTGCTCTGCATCGTCGTGTTTCGTTCTGCATCAATGTATATCACTATATAGTGATACCTATCATCCAATTCATGTGTTTCATTGTCTATCGATGTGATTCAATTGCGAATGTAAAAACTACCTGGAACGAAATCGAATGCGTATCAATCTGTAAATATGACTTGTTCGATCTCTATCAATAAAATTGATAAAAGTCTCATTTTTCACGATAGACATTGATTCATATCAAACTACCAATTTCTATCAACATCTATCAACACACATCCATCTCTATCTTGCTTATTTTCACTGGGCATCATTGCTTTCATGGACTTGCATGTCTCGTTAGATTATTTTGCACCATACCACATGTATTCAAATAGCTCAATGATAGGTGTTTATCATCTGATACTGTAGAGATACGACACTAGGTTCGTCACAGGTCACAGCCATCAACGAATCGAACCTATTTGGTGTGACTGTCACACCAATTTTTTGGGGGCCGAAGCTAATTTGTGACACGTGGTAAAAACATACAGAAAAACATATAAAAAACATACAAGAAAACATATAAAAAACAACAATGCCCAGCTAGATTCTACCTGTTACTTCTCAACTTTACAATAAGATATGAATCAGACAAGAAGCCTTGACAAAATCACGATTTCCGAAGCTATTTTTTATGTGGTCACAGGTGACAGGGTATTGTAAGGTGCCGGGAATCATAGCTTGCCGGAGATTCCCGGCACCACACTTCCAGCCGAGCGCTGCTGCCGTTTTTCCTCTCATTCGTTTTTTCGACCTACTACCGACATCGATTTCGAAGTACATCACATTCACTCGTTATATCATCGTTTCGTTGTTTCATTACCTCTTAACTATGCATGAGCATCTCGGTCTCGTCCTAGGCGGTTCATCCAGCGTGCCTCCTACTCCTCCCGCCACCCAGAACGCTGCTTCTTCGGGAGCAAGCCAGCCAGCTGGTCCACCTGCTGCGAGACTGCATCCCCCCGTAGCAGCAGGCTCTTCAACTGCAGGGCCTTCCACCAACAACAGCACTCGAAGTCACCAGAACTCGATTCAGCAACCTCAGCCACAAGTCCCTCAGCGACAACCGCAACCACAGCAGGCTAATCATCAACCTGTGCAGCAGCAAGCTGCGCAAGGGCAGCCGCCAGCGGCACCGCAGAACCAGCAACCCCCGACTGCCACCCCTGCAGACGAAATTGCTGCACTAAGGGCGAGGATCGCTGAGCTTGAACGAGGTGTTGCTCAAGGCAACCAACTACCGGCCAGAGCCACAATCCCTCGTCAAGACTTAATAGCTGATCCCGCGGAGGTTGAGCGAGTTCGTGCGAGCCTGGCTAGCGCGAAAGAAGAGTCCAAGAAGGTGACTCTGCCTGAGCTTCGCCCTGGGCACAAAGTGAGCGCCCTAAGTTTGCGTGAGTCTGCAATACCCTTTCGCGCGATATCCACCACCGTCACCGTGCCCCGTTCCCCACCGAACCTGTTAGTCACGGCACCCACTCTAGTGGGTGCTTATGGCACCGTGTTTCCGCACCATTCCGTTACTCGGGTGCCACCGTCTATCCGTTTACCGTCTTGCCTCTCGCGCGTATAATTCGTTTTCTGACTTGCCGTATTTAAGCCATTCCTCCCAAGGTGGAGGAGGCATTCAGATCTTATCGCTATGTGCCTTACACTGCCCTCACCCACGCTGCACGCTCGAAAGCGTACCTTCGTGGGGAGGAGTCGTCCTTCGTTTTCACTCAAGATGGACTCACTGCCAAAGGTCTCGACCGATCGAACGAAATATCGATATCTACGGTAGATTGGATTGCTGCGTCGAAAGCAGCCGAGGAAAGAACACTGCATCATTGGGGAGCGGACAGGGAATCAGCCCTAGTGTCCCACCATTTAGTTGTCCTCGATATTGGGCGAACGTATGGGTGGTCTGTCGCGATGCATTATGATGTGCAACAACGCGAGTTAGCACATGCAAATCACGAGCACAACTTGGCGGGCCTTGATATAGCAGCTCTTACCCTAGCCAACAATAAAGTTGCTTCTGCCTTGCTGCCCGCTGTGCAATCCGCCCCCTCAAACAAACGTCCAGCTCCGAATGACTTTGTGGCGTCCCCACGCAAGAAATCCCACACAATCAATTCAAGCCATTGCTTTCGGTGTGGAGCGCCTGGTCACTTGCCCGCAGACTGCACCGCCGACACCACAGTTGCAGGAAAACCTGTTGCCTCCCTTGCCACCGGCGCGCGGAGCAAACACGCCCTCGCAGCAGGTAACGGAAAGCATTTCTGCTTCAACTGGGCGAGCAGCTCGAACTGCACCTTCGGTAGTGGATGCAAGAACGTTCACTCTTGCAGCGTGTGCGGAGACTCCTCCCACGGAGCAGGTGGCTGTAAAGCCCGTGCTTGATCCTCGCATCGTGGTTACTCCTCTCGACGCTACGCGGGTCGAGGAACTCCTTCGTAAATATGGTATATTCAATGACTGGCAGCACATAGTAAATGGTATCCGCAATGGTTTTAATGTCGGCGTAGCCGAACCACCTTCTGAAACTTATTTATTTCGAAAACCATACCTCTTCCTTACTCAATCCCTCAATAATCGACTCATACATTCTCTCCGAACAAGAAGCCGGCAGATACTCTGTCGGCTTCCATCCTTCAGATCTAGAGCTTTTAATTGGCCCCTTTCGTTCATCTCCGCTGGGTCTGGTCCCAAAGCCGGGCTCAGACAAATTTCGCATCGTACAAGACCTTTCCTACCCTCGCAATCTCTCCGATGTTTGTTCCGTCAACGCTGGAATCGATGCGGACGACTTCCCAACAGTATGGGGCACCTTCGACGAGACAGCTGCTCTCATTCTATCCCTACCCCCCGGCTGCGTTGCTGCAACCTTCGATGTTTCGTCCGCATACCGCATCGTACCCGTTTCACCCGCGCAGCAAAATTCCCTTTGCGTATACTGGAAGGGCATCGTGTACGTCGACCGTGCCCTCATGTTTGGCCTCACGTCCAGCGCGGGCGTCTTCGGGTCGGTCGCAGACATGCTTGTTGCAATCTATGGCAAAGCAGGTTTCGAATTAATCCGCAAGTGGGTAGACGATTTTCTTGTCGTCAGGCTACCTCACCAATCGTGGTCCGAGGCCGAGTTCATGGCTGTGACAAGCATTTGTGGCGTGCCATGGAGCCTCGAGAAACTGCGTCGTTTCGCATCAATTCAAAGGTACATCAGCTTCGACTGGGATCTCGAGGGCAAAATGGTTTCGCTTCCAGTCGAGAAGCTCCACAAGATACAGCAGTTAATTACCAGCTGGCGGCTAGCCGGTGCATCATTCACGGCGAAAGAAGCCGCTGGCCTGCATGGCAAGTTAGTACATGTCGCGTGCATTTTCCCCATAGTCCGGCCTTTCCTTCGTTCTATAGCAGTATTTGCAGCAGGTTTCCGTTCAGCCCGAGCACACCTTCGACCGTCAGCAGCTGTAGCCGCAGATCTCCCCTGGATTCAACTCCTACTGTCGCACCTTCCGAACCGCATCCCATTAGCTGCACCCTCCCCACTGGACATCGGGTGGTGGGGCGACGCCAGTACGTCGTTCGGGGTTGGCGTTGTCGTTCAGGGCCACTGGGCTATTTGGCGCTGGGCACCGGGTTTCAAAGTTGGGCCTTCACGTGCCTTCGATATCGGTTGGGCAGAGGCCGTGGCCATCGAGCTGGGGTTTCGAGTTGCCCTTCATTTGGGTATTTACATTTTCTGCACCCCTCTGGTATAACTCTCCTAATCATGATCTAAGGGATCATTTCTGCTGCTACCCCGTCAAATCGGTGCTACATTGTGCACTCGGACAATATGGGAGTGGTGACCGTAACCAACAAAGGACGTTCTCGCAGTTCGGAAACGAACGCTGTCCTGAAGCACCTCTACCGTCTGCAAGCAGAGTGTTGTGTGCGTCTACAGGCTGTTTATGTCCCCTCCCGTGGCAACATCGCAGACGCTCTGTCCCGCGGAGATATTCCAGCCTTCAAGGCCGGGTTTCCTGGAGCTTCGAACCCAGTCTCTATTCCATTGCCACCTCACCTCGCTGGCAAACTAGTCCCTTGGTCGTCATGACGCTGCAGGTATCCCTCCCAAGTGACCACCTTTCTAATATCCCCCTTGGTGCATCCTCGCCACTGGAGCTCGAACCGTCCTCCCTCCGCCCACCTTGTAAGGCATCCGAGCGAATTTTTCTCTGGCGAGGGGTGAACTCTCCTCCAGCATCAACAATAGCCAACCCAGTAATATGCCATATTGCCAGCTTGGCCAATCGGGCTTCTCTCCGTGACACAGGTTCTTATGGGGCCGGTCTTCGAAAATTTCATCTATTTTGCGACATATTCTCGATTTCTGAATCAGAACGACTCCCGGCTTCATTCGAACTTCTTCACTCCTTCGCATTGTGGGCCGTCACAGACCCTAGTCCTGGCGACTCCATTTTGTCAATATCCAGCAACACCCCGTTTGAGCCAATATCAGTTAGCGTGGCACGAAAGTATCTGTCGGCAGTGCGTGCCTGGCACATAGCCCAGGGCTGGCAACCCCCACTTTCAGATACCCACCACAGCCGCATCAACTGGTCTTTACGAGGCCTCGAAAACCTGCAGGGCAGCCGTCGTAAACCCCTCCGGCCACCCATCACACTACCAATGCTAACAGCACTCAAAGCTACCCTCACCCTTTCGGACCCGTTCGACGCCTGTGTTTGGGCAATGGCATCATGTGCCTTCTTCGGCATGATGCGTTTTGGTGAGGTGTCAGTAACCTCGCGTGCAGCCTTCTCTCCTTCGAAACACCTTTCGAGAGCAGATGCCTTCTTCAGCACAGACTTGCGAGGAAGCCCGTACGCACGTCTAGACCTCCCCTCTGCAAAAACAGCTCGAGCTGGGGAAACTCAGTCAGTATTTCTCAACGAGCAAGGGGACTTATGTCCCCTTGCTGCCCTTCGCAACCTCGCCGATGTGGTGCCAGCACTGGGTGTTGACCCCCTGTTTTCGTGGCGGGATTCCAAAGGCGACACTCGCCCCATGGCGAAGGCCCGAGCCATGGAGCGAATAAATTCAATCTTAATAGGATGGGGTTGGGGGACTTCATTTGGCCATTCGTTTCGCATTGGAGGTGCTTCGTTCTACTTAGCAAAAAAAGTCGACCCCGAAATAGTGCGAATAGCAGGGCGTTGGAAGTCTCTTGCTTATGAGACCTACATTCGTGCGTTCGAGCAAATATCGTCGCAGCACCTCGCCAATGCCTCGTCTCGATAGGATCGCCTCCACTTGTTGTTGGGCTGAGCAGCTAGAGCCGCGGGCGTTCCGGCGTGTTGGGTGAGCGGCTCCACCTGCTTGCGTCCCACCCCGAGCTAACGCTCGGACCAGCCCAACATCTTAGATCGCGTCACCGACTTTATAGAGCTAGACGAAGCTGGATTGTAAGGTGCCGGGAATCATAGCTTGCCGGAGATTCCCGGCACCACACTTCCAGCCGAGCGCTGCTGCCGTTTTTCCTCTCATTCGTTTTTTCGACCTACTACCGACATCGATTTCGAAGTACATCACATTCACTCGTTATATCATCGTTTCGTTGCACCCACCCATCCCTCCCTCAAGTGTTATCACGAGTTTATAGTTCATTGTCAGCATAGAGTAACTCGTGTTTAATCTGGCTAAGGCCATCCTTTAACTTTAATAGCCAATGTTGCTTAAGAGTCAGTGCGCGATCGAATTCGTAAGCAGGTTCCCGCCCTCCCAGCGGCTCCACCTGCTTGCGTCCCACCCCGAGCTAACGCTCGGACCAGCCCAACATCTTAGATCGCGTCACCGACTTTATAGAGCTAGACGAAGCTGGAATTCGAAGCTGTGACACTAAGCGTGACTTTGTCACGTGCTGCACGTGACGAAGCTAGTGTCGTATCTCTACAGTATCAGCGTGATTTGATCATATAACATAATGTGACATGGCAGTGATCTAGAACATGTCTGTACTCATATCACAATTCTGTAACGTTCCTCGGACAATATCACAAAAATCGATTCCTTACATCGACATATATTCGACACTCAGTTATAGATACTCGTCACAGGGTACACAGCGTGTCACAGTTGTTACAGGTGTATATATGGCCATATATAGGTTGGGCAATTTTGGTGATGTATCTACCTCTTTCTGGTCGATTTTCACTGGGGCTCAACCCCCAGTTGCCTCCATACAGTCAGCTACAGTACTGTACACAGTTCTTTATGCAACACACTGTAGTGTTCGGAATCTTAAGGGATGTTCGGACATGAATGTTACCAAATGTCGGAACCAAATGAGGCTCCGAGTTGGAACAGGCCACCACATACTCGGCTCCTACAAGGATTCTCGCGTGAGCCGAACTTAGTGGACGCCGCCGGGCGCCTCAGAACCGCAAGCGACCTACATAAATGGATGCATTCCTTGCAGCCGTCCGCCCAAGCTGCGCTCGGACATGAGGTCAGAATCCACCTCACATGCGCCTCATACCTCGGAGGGTCTTCCAGCCTCTCCGGATGAGAAGAATCCTGCTTTTGCCAAGGAGCTCGCACCCCCGGGGCCGGAACATGTCGCTCTGGAAATTAAAGAGAATCCAAAGGGCATCCGAGCCTTTTTCCCCTGGCCAGAGAAATCATCCAAGAAAATAGAGAGTGAAGCCGAGTTGAATGCAAAGGCAGCAGATGCACCCGTACCTGCGTCATTCTTATCGTTATTTCGGTAAGATCATCCCACTCTCCTGATTGAACGTGGTAGTTCACCGACGCAGGTATTCAACTCGCTTTGAAATAATGTTGGACCTTTTTGGCATAGTCTTTGCTATTGCGGCTGGCGCTTCGCAGGTGAGTTCTCGGGTTTGCGAGCTACATCTCCTGATTGTCTGCCCTAGCCTTTGATGACTTTCATATTCGGCAACTTGACACAAGATTTCGTTACATTTGGTTTAGTAGAGAACGAGTATTATCAATCGTTACAGTCCAATGATCCGAACGTGATTGAGCAGGCGCAGGCGGCACTAAATGCTGCTGCATCCTCATTCCGTCATAATGCTAGACTGGATGCTTCTTACCTCACTTATCTTGGTAAGTTCTGAATTCGATGAAAATGACACCTAGTATCTGAACTTGGTATCAGGTATCGCGATGTTCGTATCCACGTATCTGTACATGTACACCTGGGTTTATACTTCAGAGCTTAATGGGAAAAGAATACGAGAGAGGTATCTCCAGGCTATCCTCAGACAGGACATTGCCTATTTTGATGATGTCGGGGCTGGAGAGGTTGCGACCCGCATCCAAACCGATACTCGTAAGTCATACCAGACATTTCATAGTGGATGGTCGATGACACGTTCTGAAATAGACTTGGTACAACTGGGAATATCCGAAAAGGTCACTATTGCAGTCACTTTTGCCAGTGCATTCTTCGTTGGCTTTATAATTGCATATGTCCGGTCATGGCGTCTCGCTCTTGCGTTGTCGTCCATCCTTCCGTGCATCATGATCATAGGCGGCGCCATGAATAAGTTTGTGTCCAAATACACGCAGTGAGTGTACCTGCTGCTGAACTTGTCCTGAAGCTCTGATCTCCGTTCCATACCAGATTGTCCTTGAAACATGTTGCTGAGGCAGGTAATCTTGCAGAAGAGGTCATATCCACGATTCGCACTGCGCAGGCTTTCGGGACACAGAAAGTTTTGTCTGGAATATACGATAAGGACATCGATGTAACTCGCGCCGTTGACCGCAAAGCGAGTATTGGGCAAGGTATAGGGTTGGGCTTCCTCTTCTTTGTGATATACAGCGCGTATTCGCTGGCGTTCGATTTTGGAACTACCCTCATCAATGAGGGCCACGGTCTGTTCCCGTTTCTGTGCGTGAAACTGCATTTAACATTGGTTGGCAGCGAACGCCGGACAGGTCGTGAATGTCTTCATGGCCATCTTAATTGGATCATTCTCTCTTGCCCTGCTTGCGCCTGAATTGCAAGGTAATCGTGGTCTCTCTTTTGTTTCGGAATTCTCACAATGCTTTGAGCCATTACACGTGCCTGCGGTGCTGCCGCCAAACTCTTCGCCACGATCGAGCGTGTTCCTGATATCGACTCTGCAAACCCAGGAGGGCTAAAACCTGCAGAAATTACTGGCGAGATTACGTTCAAGGACGTCAAATTCAATTATCCTTCTCGCGCAGATGTCCCAATTCTTAAAGGCATCAACATCACCTTCCCGGCTGGCAAGACAACTGCTCTCGTTGGCGCATCTGGATCTGGTAAATCTACGATTGTATCTCTCACAGAACGCTTCTACGATCCACTCAGCGGCTCTGTTACGCTTGACGGAACTGACTTGCGGGAACTGAATATCAAATGGTTGCGCTCTCAGATCGGTCTGGTCTCACAAGAGCCCGTGCTCTTCGCGACGACTATCAGGGGCAACGTCGCACACGGTCTCATTGGCACACCATACGAGGATGCATCTGATGAGGAGAAGTTTCAGCTCATAAAAGCAGCCTGCATCAAGTCCAATGCAGATAGCTTTATTACCCACTTACCACAAGGATATGACACCATGGTTGGTGAGCGTGGTTTCCTGTTATCGGGAGGGCAGAAACAGCGCATCGCTATTGCGCGAGCTATTGTGTCGGATCCGCGGATCTTGCTCCTTGATGAAGCGACGAGCGCTCTCGATACTCGATCGGAAGGGATTGTACAAGATGCTCTGGACAAGGCAGCTGCTGGCCGAACTACCATCACCATTGCTCATCGCTTGTCAACGATTAAAGATGCTGACTGCATACTTGTAATGGGCGATGGACTGGTACTGGAGCGAGGGACTCATGCCGAACTTCTGGCAGACGAAAATGGGGCATACTTTCGTCTTGTCACGGCACAAACTCTTCGTGAGGGTCACGAAGATGATGATCTGGATGCAGCGATATCAAGTCACGAGAGAAATCTGGAGGAGCCTAGGTCAGGAGAACTCCTCGATCGGAAGAGCACCATTCGCTCCACCGGAAGCGACGTCGTCAGTCAATTAAAGGAGACAGTAGGGGATCGGGCTCCAGAAGAAGACCACGGTCTATTCTATTTGATGAGACGAATGGCTGGTCTTAACCGTGAAGGGCTTCGCCGATACTATATTGGATCTCTCTTTGCCATATGTAAGTTTGCGAAGCATATATTATGAGCTGATCTCAAATGTTTCTGCAGGCAATGGTGCCGCTTATCCTGCCTCTGGCATTATCTATGGTAAGTCTTGTCGCCAAACCAAACGGAAACCATTTATCCTGGCATGCACTGGTAGGGCGCTCGATCTCTGGCTTTTCTGCGACCACAAATTCTGCGCGCCGCTACGCAGGCGACCGGAATGCTCTCTGGTTGAGTTTACATATTTTCCTGGAGATCATGCTGGCACTTATTTCGAGCCAGGTTTTTCATTCTGGCCATTCTGTACGGCTTGTGTGCTGGTTTTCAGAACTACTACTTTTCTTCTTCTGCCGCCGTCCTGACTGCCAAGCTCCGTTCAATGAGCTTCAAAGCCATCCTCCGACAAGACAGTGAGTGCTTAATCACTAAAGTATTTTTCTCACTCATGGAATCAGTCGAGTACTTTGACAACGAGAAGAACAGTGTGAGTCACATAACTCTCCAGCTCATGCAAAACCCTCAATGGACTATGTAAGACTGGCGCTCTGACGTCAAGCTTGAGTGAAAACCCTCAAAAGATCAATGGTCTCGCTGGCGTAACTCTGGGAACGTGAGTATTTGAGTACTCCCAAAGTAGTGTCATTACTGACTTTGGTTAGAATCGTCCAATCTATCACAACTGTAGTTGTTGGTTTGGTCATTGGTTATGCATATGCTTGGAAGCTGGCTATTGTCGGCATGGGTGCGTCCCGATTTCCGATTTCCGATTACATGCCTTCCTCTTACAAATTTCGTCGTTGTTTAGCATGCATCCCTATCCTGGCGTCCGCTGGATTTATACGTTTGGTACGTGACTTGCGTAATAATCTCCCCTCGCGCTAAACACCTTCTAGCAAGTTGTTGTTCTGAAAGATAAGAAAAACAAGTCAGCGCATGAAAGCTCTGCTCAGATTGCCTGCGAAGCTACTGCAGCCATCCGCACTGTTGCATCATTGACCCGGGAAGAGCACTGCCTCGATCTTTACAGGCAAAGCTTGGAAGAACCCGTCAGAAAATCCACTAGGACAGCGCTATGGAGCAACATGCTATTCGCGCTCTCTCAGTCTATGGCATTCTGGGTAATCGCTTTAGTTTTCTGGTATGGCGCGACGCTCGTTTCACGGCTTGAGATGACCACGCAATCATTCTTCATTGCTCTGATGGTACGGCTATTTCGTAAACCTTTGCGCGTTATTGAAGTAAACAAAACACTGGCAGACTACAGTATTTAGCGCAATGCAGGCTGGCAACGTCTTCGCCTTTGTGCCTGACATCTCATCTGCCAAAGGAGCCGCGAACGCAATTATCAGGCTCCTTGATTCGACTCCTACGATTGACGCAGAGTCAACCGAAGGCAAAAGGGTTCCGAGCGAATCTATCAAGGGCCACATAGAGCTGGAAAATATTCATTTCAGTTACCCCACCCGTCCCGGAATCCGGGTTCTTCGTGGCCTCTCGCTTACTGTCGAACCCGGAACTTATGTTGCTTTAGTCGGCTCCAGCGGTTGCGGCAAAAGCACAGTGTAAGTCTCACCACTGCATCGTATTCGAACAGGCTGCTGAGAGTTCATTTCAATCTAGCATCCAGTTACTAGAGCGTTTCTACGATCCACTTTCTGGACAGATCTCGCTCGATGGGGAGCCTATCGACGGATTTAATGTCCAGGCATATCGACAGCATATTTCACTTGTGTCGCAAGAGCCTGTGAATAGCCTCGTGATTTTCATCTCTTGGTCGAGAGAGCTGACTGCTTGTCTTGCAGACTTTGTACACGGGAACTATCCACTTCAATATCTTGATCGGTGCCGCCAGACCGGAATCTGAGGTTACACAAGAAGAGATCGAGGCTGCATGCCGCGATGCCAATATACTAGATTTTATTCAATCACTTCCAGAGTGAGACCTCAATTACTGCGAGAACTTTAGGCTTACTGACATGATAATGATAGTGGGTTCAATACCGAAGTCGGTGGCAAGGGATCACAGTTGTCGGGTGGTCAGAAACGTGTGTATCATTCATTGACAGATACCTTTCTTTGTACGCTGAAATCATGATACAGAACGTATAGCAATCGCTCGCGCACTACTTCGGAACCCCAAAGTTCTTCTGCTCGACGAGGCCACATCAGCCCTCGATTCAAATTCAGAGAAGATTGTGCAAGAAGCTCTTGACAAAGCTGCCAAAGGTCGTACCACCATTGCTATCGCCCACCGTCTTTCGACTATCCAGAACGCTGATCGCATGTGAGTCAATGGAGAGCATCGTCACCGTTGAAACTTTCTCACTGCTTTACAGACATTTCGTCAAGGACGGGAGAGTCAGCGAATCTGGAACACATGATGAGCTTCTTGCGCGGAGAGGGGATTATTACGAGTTTGTCCAACTGCAAGCACTGAGCAAGAAGTAGTGGAAGTTTAACGATGATGCCCCCCATGTATTAATGAATCGATTAGATCACCGACTATACAATCACACTTACCACAGACTCGGACGTCCGAACACCCGCGTCGTCATATAATTCAACACCAACTCTTAAGAAACTGCGTTGATTGAAACCTTCCAGAGTCAACACCATGTCAATGTCCCGGGCCCACAATTGCGCAAGGGTTCCACATTTTATCCGACGATGCTGTGGACCTTTTTTCTATCAGCATGTCAAAGATTACGCAAGAGCGTTTCTGAGCTCAGACGAAGCACAAGGTGTTCCAAAAGCTGCAGATTTTAGATGGCGATCCAGCTTGCGTTACATCCTTGTGCATTTCGTGGCGTTCCCAGCAAATGTGTTGATGTCATGTCCAGTGACACTCGCTTCCGACCCTCCATGTCAGAGCAGGGCGATCACTCAAGACTTATCATATGTATATGCCACTCGATTTTTAACTGTGTGTCTATACAACTTACATAGATAAATGTAGCCTTCCGTAGGATACACATTTTATGATTTTTTATCATGTATTGCCTTGTGCATGTAGGACCAGAGCTAATGCAGTGACACTGACAATGCGACTCATAATATTGGTGAGTACTGAGAACACCAATCGAGGTCTGGCCCACTGCCAACTCTACTGATGGCGCACATTTAGCACACATATACAATGATACATTTACATTCGGATGTGACAGGGTATTAGGTGAGTCACGGGCCGGTCGGGTACTTCGGGCGGAGATAATTAGCTAAGCATATAAATTGAAGCGACTAGAAATTTGTTCTCTCACTCTCATCCCTCATCACGTGCAGAGCATATTTTTATCCCATCACTGAGGAACGTCACTGGCAGTACAGTGCGGTTCAACCGGTATTATCACGCCGTGATTAATTGATTCAGTGAATAGTGCAGATGTGCGTTGCATCGGTACGATTCCACAACGGTCATACAAAATTGAGTCTTGATAGATTCAATTCAGAATATATTGCGCTATGGCTTACAGCTCCGAATCCAGGGAGCAGCTCTACGCTGAGGCCACATGGCTACATGGCGCCATTGTTGCTGCAATGTTTTATGGTGTGGTAGTCATCATGACTTTCATCTGCTGGCGCTCCCTCTGGCCGCGCATTAAATCGCATGCCACTGGCTACAAGAAAAAGAGATTCTTCCTCTGCTATGTTGCCTTTATTTTTGTGTTGGGCACAATTTATATAGCGTTTACCGCGGAGGAGACTCAAAATGCTTTCATTAACAATCGTCTATATCCCGGAGGCATGTGCAAACTATGAAGTAGACCGCATCTCCTACTTATGTTCTTTCACGTATACAGGTCCTAGTGCGTTCGCGAGGACAGCGTTCTCACCTACACTCGGTGTTACCCTCCTGCTCTCGAATTGGTGTGCAGACCTATTGATGGTAAGTGTACAGTCACATCTTCCATTCCACTATTGACCACACACCACAAGATTTGGCGGTGCGTAGTAGTATACAGAGACACCAGATTCCACTACGTTATCTTGGGAATTGGAATTATCATGTTCACCACGTCTTTTGGTATGTGCAGGATCTACCCCTGTCGTTAGCCGTCCCTCCTAATACCTTTTCAAGTCACCGGGACTCTCTGGCTTGTCACCATGTCAAGACCAACAAAATCCACAACCGGCTGGATGTCCATCCGCCTTCTCTTCCCATACACCTGCGTCGCCTTGGCCATCAACATCTTCGTCAGCCTCCTCACCGTTTTACGCCTGCTATATCTCCGCCGCCGAATATCGAAAATCTTTGGCCCAAGCCACGGAGCGATCTACACCAGTATCTCAGCAATAGTTATCGAGTCCGCCTCCATCTACTCAATATGCTCGCTCCTTTACCTCATCCCGTTCGCTGTCCACAACCCGCTCTCATATGCATTCCTGCAAATACTGGGTGAGGCGCAGGTAAGTGTGCACATGCTACTCAGAATGAATTGTGATTTACGTTCTTCTCTAGATCATCGCCTCACTCCTCATTATCTACCGTGTCTCAGAGGGCAAAGCCTGGAAACACGGCACTACCCTCAATAACACAGCCTTGGGCAGCTCCCCCTGGATGCAGCAAATGCCCCACTGGCAGATCATGTCCATGACTGCTCCACCAGTTCAGCCGACCGTCGAGACTAACTCCGACTCAGAAACCACCCACAACGAATCTGTGCGGCCGCCAAAGCCACGATACTCAAGGGAATTTACCGGTGAGGCCAATGCCCCAGTTGGCAACGAGGTATGAAGTTCGCGGGCTGCAAGTATGCTATCGAAAAGGCATGACGCACATATTTCTTGATGAACTTCTGTAATCTACTTGGTCCAGCGTATAAATTCGGTGTGGTCGATACGCTACCGTGAACCAAACTCTTTTTGTGTAATTTCAATCCGCCCTGCAAGCACCATGTTACTGAAGGGAGCTTTCCCTTTCAGATATAGGCCTATTTTCCGCCGTACTTCAAGGACAGATGGCCGAGCGGTCCAAGGCGCCAGACTAAGGAGACCAGCTCATTTGATGAGCTTATCATCTGGTCTCTTCGGGGGCGTGAGTTCGAATCTCACTCTGTTCAAATGTTTACTTTTTTTGTTTTCCGGACTGTTACGACCAGTGGACGCGCTGGTAACCAGGTATTTCATTGAATAAGTGGTCATAATAATATAGGATCCTAGGTATGATCACACGGTCAGACTAGGAACACGTGACGTGCACCTCATTGACACTTTCTATAAATTTCCATTCTCCTTGCATTGTTGATTCTGCCGAGTTTCAGCTATGTCTTCAATACTGAACACTCCACCGCACGGGGTAGTATATCTACATAGGGCTCAGCCCTAATATATAGCACTGTGTTTTAATAAGGACCTCCTGTGGTACAAGTTTGCGGACATCCATATCAGCTCACTCATCCGCTCTCCAAGCTGGTCCAGAAGCGAGTTCCTGCCCCTGTTGTATGAGTGTCCCTTTGCGTTCTGAGTCTGGTCATGACTCCGTCCAACTGAGCTTCCGCACAGATTCATCAACAACAGCCTTCCATGTTGTGTTCTCCGCTCTGAGCAGGGCCTCCAGTTCGTCCTTGATGCGTCTACAAGTCCCTACTCCGTCATAGCCAAAGCCAGTGTACACTTGAACCAGTGAAGCACCCGCCCGAGCATAATCCAACGCATCAGCGCCCGTGCTGATACCCCCGCAGCCTATCAGCGGAATGCTTGCAGGAACGTGTGCGCGCAGAGTTTTCAAAACCTGTAATGCACGCGGCTTCAAGGGCGCACCCGAGAGACCGCCCATCTCAGATTTGTTGGCTATCCAGAATTGCATTGATGAGCGATCATGAAGTGTGACAACGTGTCGACTCACGATCCATAAGACTCGCGGGGCGACTGATAGTAGTGTTGCTGACGATGACGCCATCAATCTTGCTCTTGCGAATGAGGTCTGCAATATCAATAATTTGGGACTCCTCGAGGTCAGGTGCGATTTTCAGCACCAAGCGCGGTCGCCGTGCTGTGATCGGCGACGGTTCTAGTTCATCTCGGGCTTTTGTGACACTGGTAAGTAAATCTTCCAATAGCTCTCGATTTTGAAGACCGCTGAAGGGTCGTCAGGTAACGCCAGAATGATGGTATGGTCAATTGAGTCTTACCGTAGTCCAGGTGTGTTTGGGCTAGAGACATTGACAACCAAAACATCAGCATACGGGCCGAAGGTTTTCACACCAGTGACAAAATCCTCTGGAGACTCGACCGGAGAAGATTTATTTTTACCTAGGTTGATTGCAAGAACTGACCCAGGTTTGAGGGCAGCAGTCGTATCATCTTTCGTCTCATGGAATTTGGGTATGCGAGCGCGAAGGCGGGAAATCATGGAGGTAGCGCCTTGCGAGGGAAATCCGTACCGGTTGATGAGTGCTGCATCATCGGGAAGGTGAAATACACGTGGCTTTGGGTTTCCAGGCTTGTACGCCGCTTAGACTTGGGTCAAAAACTACCAGACATAGGACACACATACCTGAGGTTTGGGAGTGACGCTTCCTATTTCAACCCAGCTAAAGCCGAGATCAAGGATACCTAACGCGCTTGCATCGATACGAGGTCAGACATGCGTCAAAGGGAAGCGTACCATCAATAGCTTCGCCATCCTTGTCGAAACCAGCTGCCAAGCCAACGGGATTGGATAATTCGCGACCCCAAAACTAATACGAAGAATCATGAGTAACCCATGTCGACAGCCTTCGAGTAGAGTAATTGTGCACCTCAGACCGCAATCTTTCATCATCCTGCACAGGGTCCCGCGGGCCAAGTCCGCTACGAAGGACTTTGACGGCAATCTTGTGTCCAGTTTCTGCATCGAATGTACGACGTAGTACAGGTGTCAAAACATAACGGTGGATTGCGGAACGTGCATCATAGTAGTAGACACCAAACAGACCAACAGAAGCAGCGAACACTGTTGCGTAGATAGCAGTGCGGGCAGAAGACTGGGATGACGATGATGATGCCGTGGTTAACTTCCGCGCAAACACAGGTGAACGATGGGCAGCTTGCTTTTGTAGAACATGATGAAAACCAGTTGTGCGGAGGTGCATGGCGGCCATGCTGGCTTTGCAGGGAACTACGTTGAAGTGAAAACGTCGAACCGGTACCGAACAATGTAGCAGCTGCAGCGTACAAATTTGTTTATGTACCAAATTTGTACGTATTCGAATTTCATGTTCTGGGAGTTCTCAGTGCACCGTGTTACCTACACCAAACCCTCTGCAGCTGGGATGTCGCGTCAATGCCACGTCACTGGCAGGTATCATTCTGGTTTGTATACGTACAAGGTATATAATCTACACAGTGACGAGTCCCACATCCGCTATACCAGGCGTGATGACCGACGGAAGGACACGATTTTCGAGAATCTGGAGCTTTGCAGGGAGCTTTAAATGACATTTAGTTCAATTCATTTGACATGAGTTCGCATTAAGTTCGTAGCCTCCCCAGCCAGACCAATCCAAGGAAGATTTAAAGTTCGCGAGTTTTGATCACGCCGTTCGACGTCGACGAGCCTGAACAACATCCAACACGTCTCTGGCTTATCCTGTGTTGAAGATGGCAATTTACACGTCCCTGGCAGTGCCCGCTGTCATCCTAAATCCTTCTGAGAGGTGTCTGCAATGGTCGGATGACGGTCAGGCCTGCATTACCACCAAGGCAGCCGTGCATATGATGGTAAGAATTGACGCTTTGTTAAACTTTGGAAGGAGGTACATTCCTTTGCATTCAGACACCGGACCCAGGAATCAACTTCAGCACACCACCCGATATCAAGGCTCCTCAAGGAGATGAGCAAGGGGAGCGAACAATGAGAGTGTTGTAAAACCGTAGTAGGAATCATAGAAAACAGCGAGGAAATATCAGAGTATGTACCAGCAAAGCTCACGGAATTCTGTATGGCGGATTGCAAGGACATCTTCTTATCATCCGAGAGACTATCAATGATCCGAACGAGACAATCCAGGGAAGCCATGCGGTCATCCTCCGCAACCTCCGCAAAGTGGCTGAGTAGATGATCAGCCTTGAGTTTCGACAGGGCCGGGGATATGTCGAGCTGCTCAAGGACTTCGGCCAGAGCACGATTGTCGGACAAGTCACAATAACACGGCACGCTCCTCGGACTCCATTTCGGGGTTGCCGTCTTCAATCTGTTCGAGTAAGTCGGAGCGTGCGATGCGAGCACGAAGGGCGCAGTAGAAGCCTGAGCATCTCCGGGCGTCTTTTTATACAGCGGGTTTCGCACAACCTTTGGCCTCCAGAGCGACTGTAGAGAAATCAGACAAAGATCATCTTGTGAGATTGAGGGAACAGTTACTCATGGAGGTCTGCGTAAAGCTCAATCCTGTGGATCGCGCCGCCCTTCCTCTCGTCAACTCTGCTGGAACGTCGATGACCTGCACCACAAATGCTGATGGCTTGGCTCGCATTGCGGCCACTGGGACGCAGGGCGGCCTTACTGGATAAGCCTTGGTAGTCTTCAACGCTGGCATAAAGTCGGCGACGTCGCTAGTCGACATCGATATCCTGGTTTTTCTTCTGCGTTTTGGGTTATGGTATATCAGCCGCTGATGTGTATTGAAGGAAAGGAGATACTTATGGTAGCAATCCTGGCGGCGGTAGTCGCTGGGTGTGTTGTATATTAAAATGTATGATCAATGAAGACATGATGAAATGAAGAGGTGGATCGTTCTGCTCAAGGGGGGATTTTCCCACAGGAGTTGATTTCTTTTATACACGTGACTAGAGACGCGTCGCGATCGAGTTTGTTTATCGAAAAAGCTGTGCGCATATGTTTTTCTGCGCCAATTAAGGTTTCCCGACATAGTATAAATATCAGACGCCCTCTAACGATATCCCCATTCAGTGCCCGTCCTATTTTCGCGTACTGCATCACTTTCACGACTTACCTCATATTCTTAACGATCATGCCTTTCATTTCCACTATCTACGACGGCGCCGTCCATGTGTCCCTCTCTGGCTGTCTCGCGGCATTCTTGTTCAAACAGACTATCATGGACCGCACAACAAAGGCCATCAAAGAAGCCGATCACGTAACCGCGAGCCTCGTGGCATCGGAACTGTGCTTCAATACGGCCGTCCTACTTTTAGCTTCCCACAAGACCGCTCGGATACTCCTCGGAAAGGACAACAAGCCCGATTTAGCACCTCCCATCAACGAAAACAATTTATCAGCTGCAATCTCACTTTCCTCAAATTTATCCAGCACTTCGACACCCAACAATGCAACTACACCCCCACTACTACCTTCGTCACCAATGCAGAGGCCGAAACGACACTCGCTCGATTCTGATATCACCCTCGTCGACAACGATGACGACTTCGCTGGCGACCCCCCTGGCACCTCGGACCTTCTTCCGCTCGGCAGCACACCGGAACCTTCGATTGCTACCCCGCGGCTAAAACCTCCGGAAAAGAAGCGCTATCAAAGTTCCCCCCCGGGTAAACACAAGGTACGCACTCATTATCAACTAAATTATTAATAACACTCATTGTATTTTTAGATCGAATCTAGAGCCTCTCGCCTGGATGCTGTCCGTGACAGCATCATATCCACTCACAACAAGCATCTCGACTACATCAGTAAGTAATTTCTCATCACGCGCTGCTTCACTTGCTGATTTCAAACAGGTGAACTTGAACAACTTCACGCCGAACTCCTCATCGACCAGGCCAAAACTGTCGACGGCTGGGCTGCCGCCATGGCACAGCTCGGTCTTACTTCCATGCTGTCGCCACCGCTGAAGACACCCGCTTAGGAAACTCGGACGAAGACTGATCCTTTCGAATTCACGGACAACTACTGCCAACTACTCCCGAGGTCCCCTACGACCGAATCCCGAAGACATGCAACCACCTCCCTCGCCGTCCCCTACGACTGTGGCTTCACTGCCCGCGAGGTTGAAGGCCACCACAGGCCGCGCACAAACTATTTCACTGCGCCCCTAACTCTGCACTCTTCGATGTCGGAGGTCCCCTACGACCCAACTCCGACACGCCGCAACATCATTAACGGCCTCCTTCTCGTCTCTACGACTTGGAGTCGAAGGCCGTTTCCCGCGGTCTCACACACTATCCCAAGTACTTTTTATTTCCTTCGCCATGTCAGTCTCTCGATTTACTATGTATTTTTTTCTTCTCTTTTTCCTTTTATCGTTATGTACGTCTCTTTTTGTGACTTATGGACACGTTTTCCTCATTTCTTTCATCTCTTTCATGTACGATAATTTATCTCATTGTCAATGTTTCTGTATTTTTATACATGTACGGTACGAGTATCAATGGCCTGTAGTTTAGGAATCCAATCTAGTTTTGTACATTCTTCGGACACGCTTGAGATCGTGCGCTTGAGTGAAACGTGAAGATGATGATCATCGAGGCATTGGTCAATCACCTGGGATCGGGAGACGTAAGTGGTGATCACAATTGTGCGCCTGGAAGACAAAACGGATATAGAAAGACGAGATTTGATTGATGTATGGCTGAATAAGGCCTCGATGGAGTCATTTGTGTCGCACCAGGCTTCCAACGAGAGCGGAAGTCCTCGTGATCGCTTGAGCCATAAGTCATAGCAAAAAGCCAATGACTCCCAGTGTTTGTTGTCGTCTTCGCTGCTTTGCAACATCAGCCTGCGCCGTGAATTGGACGTGCCCACAGCAACCTCCCTCCATCGTCGACATATTCTGGTCAACAACACAGGAGCTAGCCTTTTTGATGCGTACGGCAAGCGACTAGTTTCTGGGAGACAGTGAACGAAAATGTGGGATAGAAATTCAGTTGGCAAGCGCCAGAGAGCCGATACAAGTTGATTGTGCAAATTCATGGATTGGATGATACTGTCCTTCTTTTCGACGAGTTGCCAGTGAAAAATTTTGAGGTCGTCCATGCTGTTTCTAGTTCTCAGATCTCGTGCAAAGTTGCGTCGAACTGTTGTTGGCGCTCATTGATGATAGCGCTGATACTCTGGTCTTCGAGCTCGATGATAGAGTGGTTGGTAATAGTGGCAACTCTGCGGGAGTACGAGGTTTCGAGGTCTGCAGAAATTTGGTCACTGTCAATAACTTGGCATTCGATATATCGGAATAGTGCATACGATTTCTCGTGAACGTGCAAGCTGAAATGAATGGTTATTATTCTCGGACACGAGTGCTTGTAACACTTGGCACTTGCGGTATTTCGCAGCGCACCAATGATGTCCCATCCATTGAATAAATCATGTCCGAACGTGACGCACGCGAAGAGGAATTTATCACTGCGGACTAGATCTGCAGAAAAGCGTGACGTGGGTATGTGCACTACATAACGTGGTGGGGTGCAGTGCGCGTCGTACGCAGACTATGCTTAAGCTCCGCGTCCGAGTTGTGGCTTTCGAAGATTCGGCATGGCGACCATTTGAGGTACCGAACTATCTATTCGAATTTCATGTCGCCACTGAGGGAGTTCTCAGTGCAACCGTGTTACCTACACCAAACCCTCTGCAGCTGGGACCATATGTCGCGTCAATGCCACGTCACTAGCAGGTATCATTCTGGTTCGTATACGTACAAGGTATCTACACAGTGACGAGTCCCACATCCGCTATATACCAGGCGTCAACGCAATGACCGACGGACGGACACGATCTTCGAGAATCTGGAGTCTCAGCTTTGCAGGGAGCTTTAAATGACATTTTGTTCAATTCATTTAACATAAGTTTGCGTTAAGTTCGTAGTCTCCCCAGCCAGACCAATCCAAGGAAGATTTAAAGTTCGCGAGTTTTGATCACGCCGTTCGACGTCGACGGGCCTGAACAACATCCAACACGTCTCTGGCTTATCCTGTGTTGAAGATGGCAATTTACACGTCCCTGGCAGTGCCCGCTGTCATCCTAAATCCTTCTGAGAGGTGTCTGCAATGGTCGGATGACGGTCAGGCCTGCATTACCACCAAGGCAGCCGTGCATATGATGGTAAGAATTGACGCTTTGTCAAACTTTGGAGGGAGGTACATTATCTTTGCATTCAGACACCAGACCCAGGAATCAACTTCAGCACACCACCCGATGTCAAGGCACCTCGAGGAGATGAGCAAGGGGAGCAGCCGCTTGGATGGTACAGGACTATCATCGAGCCGGCTCGTGGACAGACGCATACGTGGCCAAGCATGTGTCAAGGTAAGCATATATCTGAGATTCCCACTCCTCGGCGTTGGCGTTGAGGCTTGTGATGAAGATTGGGGCGCCATTACTCTCGGATCCCTCGATGTTTCCATTCGCGAGGTTGTATGCTCTCCTAGTAATCTCACATCGCGGGGCAGGTATGTATCCCTCACCCCTCGTCTTGGATGCAGCTGATATGTATATTCGAGATGCGTGATAGCGATTCTTAACTCGAACGCAGAAGTATCACTTTGGGTGGCTGTTAAAAATCACTTGAAGGGAGAATGGACCAATGTGAGAGCTGTAACACATATTGCTTTATCCGAATCTTGAATTTTGTGGAGATTCAAGACGTTACAGGTCTGCTACTCAACACAGCCCCATCTGAGGATATCATTCACAACACCCTTCGAGCGCAAGTGACTAGTCTGTGGCTCTGTAGCGCGCAATAGCATTCTCTGACATTCGGCCAAGGTCTTGCGTGGTCAAAACAGCCGGACTATGGGATCACACCCACCCCAATCCTCGATTCGTCGATGCTTGCCCTAGGAAACAGGGCAGGTTCCATCATGTTGTTTAGGTGCGTGTATGCGCGTCTTTTTTGGGGAGAAATCATCTTATTACGTGCAGGTTTAACAAAAACAGCGACTCAGGAGGTTCCCTCTCGTGTATCCATACAGAACCGTTAAGCGACCACTGGATCACGCATTTGAGCTGGTCACCTTGGGTTACTCGCGCCGTCGGACACTGTAAGCTTTTTCGTGCCTATCGCATGAATGGGATCTTTATTATGGTGAAGGCGAATCCATACTTGCCTTCTCCACTGACAACGGCAACGTCGGACTGGTCAAAGTCACCCAAAATTTGCAGTCTGATTCGAACGCTGGTTTTGTGTCTGAGTACACGACCTGTGTTGTATTCGACGTTCAGGGTCCAATATGTGAGGCTGATAAACGAGGCGTGACAGCATTAACGTGGGTTCAACCACCAAGAAGAAACGTACTATATAACATTCTTTCTCCTGCCTTACCAGTCTTCTAATCGTATTTTCCAGCCTATCCTCGTTTACACAAAACCTGGTCTTGTGATCCTGTGGTCATTGCCTGGTTCCGAACCAACATGGTACGGCACCCGTATACTCCCATTCCAAACCCAAAAGGTGTCCGTCGGGTCCTCTGCCATTAGCCCTGTCTCTGGAGTATCCTACGCGCTTCACCGTGACGCACTCATCATCTCGCTCTTCGATGGTTCGCTGCATGCCATCCATAACATGACCGTGGAACCCACCTGGACTCCTCCGCTCGCAGGCGACATCCTCACCTCTGCAGAACTATCTCGGGCGTCACGAGCGTTATTTTCCAAGGTTACCCCTGCAGGAATATCATACCTGGATGTCAACAGGATTGGTGGGATGGCGTCGTACGACTCGCAGTCGACCCTCATTTGGATATACGAGCAAGTGTCATAAATGATATTATTGGCGATAACTCACCGATGCGTTCATTTTTCTAGAGCACTTCGACCTGCAGATTTCAGCTACAAGCATGAAGCTCAGCATGAATGTATGCTGCTCACTGCACCATTTTGGCAGCTCGATGATGAGACTGTCTTGTATACTGCTTCAGAGGTGTTTACTAATATTTCTTGTGGTGAGTCTAACGCTCGATAGCCCTCACTGTTCATTTGATGTTTAGATGGCTAAGCCTCGGGAAATGCCCCCATTCACCATTTGCGTGCGTTGATGCTTCATCTACGCAGTAATACGCGATTCGCGGCGCTATGCCCTCAGGTGCTGGCGATTTTATCGCAAGTACCGTCAGACCAAACAACGACCATGGTCTTGCCATCATGGACGCAAGGACTGAACGACGACTTGCGGCTCCAGCTTCGGAAAAGTCTGTCAACCCATTTGTTCGGCTGGCCCAATCTTCTATCGCTTCGAATGAGGCTCTCCATAGCCGATCTGTGTTGGGTGCGTGACTCAAGAGCGTGCAATTTGGTATACTTACATCATTTTGTTCACAGAAACTATGCAAGGACCCGGAAATGCAGGCACAGTGCGGCCAAGTCGCACAGGGCCTCCTAGCCACCATCTCACACTGCGTGCTGCGTATCCTGGTTCGCCACTTGAGAGCCATCATCCCTGTCGTCACTGGTGCGCCGATAGTGCTCTCTCTTTTCTTATTTCTGAGCCCTCATCACAGCGCCTGATATCCCATTCGTCCTCCGCGAGGTGGTGCAGTCATTACTGCCTGGCTCGCCGCAAGATCTAGCGGACGAAGCTCAAGCCCTATCAGACACTCTCACTGCATCATCTTTCGCCATCGATCCTACAGTTGCCGCGCTGCACGAACACTGTCCCGCTTGCCATGCCGAAGTACCACTCCATGACATTACCCGTGCCACTTGTCCAAATGGCCATGCCTGGGGTACGCCTCTCCTCTTTCATAGAGCTGACAAAGCTCATCCTTTTTTTTTTGAATCTCATTAGCTCGCTGTACGATCACATCGTTCATACTCTCGACGTCCAATGTGCGCACATGCATCGGATGCAGTCGGAAGGCCTTGCTTCCGTTTGCAACATCGGACGAGAGCCAGTTGCCTGTCGCTGCACAGAGTTGGATCGTGAGGGATTTGCTCGAGGCTGTACAGCGGTGTTTGTTTTGCGGGAATAGCTTTGTGGAGATTGTATAGGAAATGAAGTGAATGTGAGTTGTTTTTTTATGTAGAGTTCTAAATTTATCTAGCCTCGTCTTTCTGATAGATCACGACAGATATGACCCCGCTCGGAAATTGCTAGAATGAGCATCACCACAGTGAGTTTGGGAGTGTTCAGCCGAAGTTGATCTCCAGGTAACCTTGCAGATTTTTGTGTCGATAGTGCACCCTCATGAGACGACAGAAATAAATTAGTGGCATACGTGAAACGGCGTACATGTCAATACAGGTGCTTACACTATCTAGAAAAATCATGCAGAACATTACACATCTAGTCGGAACCAAAGGGGGATCATCTTCCACATCCTTTCTCTCTCCCTCGTAGCCCACATCGCCAAGGCTCTCGCACATGCCTCGCACTCAGATACTTCTGCACTACGGCGAGATTCCCCAAACCGTGCATCATCAGCACCCGAAGCCTGACCGAAATCATACAGCGGCTGTCCAAGCTCCTCCGCGACGTACAAAGGATCAGTGCAACCGCGCTCGCGATCAAAGAGATAATGTTGAGTGGCTAGCGCAACAAGCTCCGAGAAATCTCTCCTGCACGAGCGATGCGAGTGTGCATGATGCCCCAGAAGATGCGGATGAGAATGCGAACCCATGGAGCGAATGAGAGTTGTGATTGCGTGCTGCGACGCCTCCTTCCCCAATGCTAGCCTTTGCAGGTCTGCATTTGATAGCGGCAGGCGTGCAATAGAAGGGCCGCTCTCGTCGTCCTGCTCAAAAATCTGGGTATAGTGGTATCGTGATAGGTCATAGAATGCAGAAGGCAGGAGGCTTGTGGCATTCACTTCTCGTGCGAGAATAACAACATCCTGAATACAGTTGAGCTACGTCATATCAAACGGCAAGAGAGGGAGCTTACTGCTGGGGAAGGGTATATATTGGACATTCCAGGACCACTTTGCATCTCATCAGCACGAGCAAGGTCCTCTCTAGCGTCCCATCCCTTGAGTGAATTTGGCCAAGCCCTGCTCAGATGAGCAAGGGCTTTAGTTCTCAACGAATCGACAAGGTACTTGGTCGCAAGTCGGAGTATCCCCGAGACCATGCGAAAGTCCGCAGGGTCGTTTTTCCCAAAGCTTCTGTACAAAAGTCGTCACATGCGGACGCAGTGCACTGCCATCAGACCTACGGGCCATCATAAAGTGCTGTGATGAGATTCTCAACATCCTCTGCTGTGTCATACAATCGCAGAACAGGGCATCCTTCTGTTTCATTGGTCGTGTCTATTTGTAATGCGGGCTTTCTGTTGCCAACCACGGTCGAAGAAGAAGACGTCGCACTGCCTGCACTGGGCTGCGGCAATGAGAAGAGATCACGGAAGAACGCAGAGTGGCGAGCAAGTTGAGACTTGTGAACGCGAAATAAGGTGTTTTCTGCTCTCAAAACAATCTATGAAAGCCCGATTATGGTCCGAGGATTGCTTCAGTCTGCGCTCGGTCACAGGCATTCATAATGACGCACCGAACCATCGGAAAACCACAGATCCGTGTGTTTTGAAGGTTCAACAAGTGCGCTGTCTTCGATGGAGGCTGCAATTTGCGAGTCCCTGTCCACGGAGGATCTTGGTGAATGGGTCGACCGGAGCGATAACCCATAAGGGGGAGGACTTCTAGGTGGGTAATGCCCGTTCGCGGAGATCATACTTGGGGTTGGGTAGTAGCTCGTTTGCATTATCGTTTAACGATAACGCAGGATTAAACGCCCCGATTGCGGCACTAGGCAGGCTAAATAGAAGGAGACTGTCTTATGTGACCGTGTACTCCACCTGCTAAGTTCTCGCAGGTAGCTGCATGTTGAGGACCAGGCCGTGGAAGCATGTCCCAAGCTTTCTTGGCTACTACCAGGGCTCGAGCGGAATGGGGATAATGTTTATTCTTAGATTATTACATATACAAGCGCTTGTCCAATCGTCTTTGGGTCGTTGAAAACAAGCACACAACTTGATCAATAATTATTCCTCAGATATCACGGGGTATCCAATCCCAAAACCCCACATTCAAACCCTGCACCCAGAAATAACCAACCTTCTAAGAACCGAGCGCCATCCTGTGCAGGGTAAAAGGATCAGCATATAATAACAACATCACTACAGTTAGTGTAGTACCTGGAGAGACCAGCAGCATCACCGTTGAACAAATCAGCATCTCCTGGGTTAGTGCCAGAGTCCGCATATTGCCAGAAAGTCTCGTATTGCCATCCAGCAGGAAGGGTGCCAACCGCGGAGGAGTAGATAGCGATCCAAAGAGGATTGGTCGTTCCGAACGCAGCGCTATTGCCAGTGCAGGTCGTCCACCAGTCCGTCGTGGTATAGATAACGGGGTAGCTATCAATGCACAGAATAACGGTCAGCGCCGTAGAATTATTTATATCTCGTGGATCCTACCGGCCCGTAGCAGTCTCGTAGGTGTCGGAGAAGGATTTTATCCAGGACACCATCGAAGCCGCGGTCAAGCCATAACATTCGCTGCCGCTGGGATTGTCTGTTCAAGGATGAGCTCGTTGCAGGCAGGTGAAATGCAATATTGGTGACTCACACTCGATGTCAAGAGCACCAGGGAGGGTGATGCCGTCAGCAGACCAGCCACCTATATGGGCGTTCAACTCAGACATTCATAGGGGTACTACTTGCCGGAAAAACGTACCGCCATGAGCGAGGAAGTAATCAGCCTGGGTGGCGCCAGTGGACAAGTCAGGGTGAGCAAAGTGGTAACCACCACGAATGAGACCAGCATCAGTCGCGCCGATGTACTGATTGCTGAACGAAGGAGAGATATAAGCTGCAAGAAAACTCTGTTAGGAAGTCTCAATGCTAAGCGAAGGGGGCCTTTACTTGTGCCTTCAGTAGCCTTGATATATACAAAGCTGACACCGTTGTTTTTAACGGTAGTCCAGTCGACAGTGGGCTGGTAGCTAGAAACGTCAATGCCATACGGCGTAGCGCGTTTCTCGGGCAGCGCACTGGCCAGGGTAGCCAAGGCAAGGAGAGGAAGGTATTTCATCTTGAGAATGAGTTCAGTCCGAGCAAAATTGCATAAGAACACATATGGCAGTTTATATATGACTCGATGGAGACATGCCAAAGCATGTATATCATCCATCTGTCCTGCTCATAATCAGAGCATGTGCAACAACCGGGCCACCGCGACATTGAATGCAGTTCTTAAAAGTTCATGAGAATAAACATGACGTGACATGACCCCTGAGAATTCGGAGATTGGCACCGCGTCTGATACCGTCGCCAATACTAAGATTTCGTGGAGTAAAATGTTAAGAGATGTAATAAATGATGATCAACACTCAACAGTCAAGAGAAAAACCGTCGGGCTGTGGAGGTCGACCGCCCCAGGTTTGTGATGCAGTGCGTGCGCATCAGGACCTATCAGAATGTAACGTATCAGTGACCTATGTTTAGAAACGCACATTCTGTTCACCGGTTGCAAAAGTCTGCAAGGTCAAAGGAATCATTAAACGAGTACCGCATGCAGCACCTGTGGCCAATGGGAAGCATATGATACTGCGCACAGGAGCGCATGTCCTGATGACGCGTGAAACAATGAATGGCCCGCATTCGCGATGAAAACCACCGCCTCCAAGAGGTCACGGGGATCCGTAATATAGCATTATATATCACACTGCTATCATGAAGTGAGCGTCGTGACAATGCGCGCAGGAAAGAAGGGTTCATGATGATAGCAATCAACCCATGAAGATCCGCGGGGAGCTGCTGTCTCGTTCCCAATCGCAGCAGATAATGAATCACCGTATTGAAAAGTGTTAACCCGACACCACTTGACCTCGCTGCACATGGATACTCTGATCTCCTGTAGTCAGATCTTGAACAAGGAAGACAGTCGTTCCGGGGCTCCGATGCATGTTATTGGTACATTGTTACTTATTGAATCAAACAAATTTTGTATCTTCTCTGCACTCCAAGGCGAAGGTTGCTGGTGAACTGAGGGGGCGGCCAGAAGTGCACGTCCCAGCGGCTGCGCTGAGGGAAATAGTGGTGAGTCGTTGCGATGTCGGAACAGATGGAGCTGGACTGGTATAGTCGTCATCCTCCGGGTCATCAGGTTTGCGGTTGAGTACCCGGTATGTATAGGTCACAACCACAAGCAGGTTGCAAACTATCAGGGAAGAAGATGCCTGGACACAGGGATTAAAATTTTGAATGGATGATATATAGATAGGACTCCACCTCCAAATTCACTGCAATTGTCTCGACCTCTGTAGCATATAGAAAATGGGCGATTGCGTGGAACAGGGAGAACATCGACATGATAATGCTGGATGAAAATATCGCGAGAATCATTCGTCGCTGGCGAGAGGGCAGGTGGACGTTCCAGAGCAGTCGAAAGGAAAAGATCACCAGAATAGCGTCAGCTACACACTTGGCTGATTGATAAGGTGAGTATAGGCTGAAGAAGAAAGTGGTGTAATGCCCACTTGTGAGTTGGTACGCTGCCATCGAATAGCCGATGCGGCAGGAAGGACAAGGCAAGCCGTACCAGTCACGACTCGATTCAAAATTCCACGCCTTTTGCACAATGAATCCTCCCCACATCAGGAAGAAGAGAATTGCGAAGCCCATAGATAAGCGAAAAAGCCGCTGCGCGGGCCTCGCAACCCGCGCGATGGCAAACAGTATGCTCATGCGTGCACCCCTACAAGTTTGTTTGTTTCTCTAGACCAAATTGAGGGAGGGATAGGATCTCACCAATTTATGCAGGTGGACATGAATGTTGTCGCCCAAAAAGAAACTACACATGTTGTTCCGTCTATGCCAGAGTACATCCATATGAGCAACATATTGGGGTCAACGCATAATGAGGTACGTACGAGAGAGCAGATGGATCCAGGAATTAATCAGATGCGTCGTGCCACACAATCCAGCAAAAGCAGCCCATGCGTCCTCCCACCAGAATCTCCTTATGTGTAGTCGGAACCAGACACGAAAAATTGTGAGGGCGATTGCGACTCCTTGCACAACGCTCGTCACCGCTGAGTTCGAGTAAGATAGGGTCCTGACAACATAAGAATATCAACGTCTTGGGCTATGTACCCACCCTTCATCTGAATTAGTGATGGCGACAACACCATCTTTGCTGAGGATGATGATCTTCTGAATCAACGATTGCTAGCATGAAGCGTCGAGGACGAGTCGATGGATAGGTGTTACTATGATTGCGCCATTTAGAAGGGGGTGTAATGTCCAACTTGGCAGATATTCATTGCAGGGCCGAAGTCAATTTGACAGAAAGTTGACAGATAGCCGCCCATCGACCTTCTCATGCATATGACAAGTCGTACTTCATATCGGCGCCGCATCATTCCGCCTTCCATTTCAGTGACTTGTCCAAGCCATTTAAGACCGAGGAAGTAGAACAGTGTACTTGTTGCTCCTTCAATGCCAGTCAGTCAGGCCGGCCTTTTGTCGGTAGAAAGTCCTGAGTACTTTTTGGTTTGACAGAACGATTGTCATATGCCAGACTAGTCAGGAACGATGGCCTAATAATATTTGGAAGTTCACGTCACACCTGCGTCTGCTGGCACTCCTGCGAATTTCGTGGTGGGATGAAACGGACTCTGACGTGGTTCGTAGCCCGTGGGGGAGTTCTGAGCCAATTACTAGGGGTAAGGATACATTCATATTGTGATGTCATGATGTACGGGTTGGGGCGTGCAAGCAACTGTGCAGACGGGTGGAACGCCTGCACGTACGGGGTGGGGGAATGTGGCGAGCATGACGAGAGGTAAGGGTAACGCGTAGTTCGGGAGCCACATCGCCCCTGAAGTTCCTCCCTGCAGCAATGAATCCCTCGGTCAAATCTCGTAGAAGAAGCTCCAGCGTTGGCGCTTCAGTAGCCACAATCTAGAATGATACTGCCACTGTGTAGGGCCGGGTCAAGACACGGCGGAGATGCTACAACGACAAACTCGAAGGGACGATCACGGTCATAGAACTGGCAGCATACGACCGGTATGATACTGTTCTCGGAATTTGTTTAATTAGTATTGAGCGTGGTTGATGAGAAAGAGGAACTAACGCCGAAAACTAGTGGCAAGTTCCGTAATGTGCACTGATCCAGACAACCACTATCATACAATCGTCCATCTCAACAAAAACCTTTCTAGATCACATTTTTGCGGGACAGTCGCGGCCGGATGTCAGAATAGTCTTTGTCTCTTTGGGTGGCGACCGGGGCATGGAAAGTCCACTGCGCATGTGGCTACTTGCGCATTCATTGTTCTCGTTCCGGGTTTGGCACTGGAGCAATGGATAGTATAAAGCACATGTGTTACTCTTCTAGCAACCGAATCTCAACGTGATTCACAGTTTGCTCTTTCTGTTCTCCTCGTCCTCCTGGCTTCTGCGAGCTGTGCTTGCACCTTTCTATCGTTCTGCGAACTCTCTTTCTAACGCGTTTCATTCTCTACTGATTCTCAGCCGTGCTGCTCGCTGTTTAAAACTTGAACGGATTTTCTCCGCCAAAATTCTAACGCCTTTCAGTCACTTGGTCGCGATGCAATTCACTACTCTTGCTGCATTTGCTCTTGCTGCTACCGTCTCTGTGCACGGTGCTCCATTCTATAAGCGTATTGCGCAGGTCATCTCTGACTCGACTACCAAGTGGGAGTCAGCATGTGTACGTTCCCTGCAGATGCCTCGGCTCGTCGGATCTCTTAATTTTATCCTAGGATACTGCTGGTGGAGGTGCCCAATGCAACCAAGTTGCTGTCGCGTCCTTTGGCACTCTTCTTGCCGCTCCTGGTCCATGTGAACAGCAGAATGCCGCGGATAACATGATCGACCTTGCAAAGACTTTAAATAACAACGCGGATATGATTAAGTTTGCTCAGATCTTTGCCCAGCAGCCCCGAAACTCGGTTCGTCTTTTTTTAACTTTTTAATTATCAAACCTTACAGGGTTCGATGCACACAGCCCACCTCACTGAGCGTTCCTTACTGCCAGTCAGCTCCGCGCAATACAGAGCTCAATGGGCTCTACCAGTGCCAGTTCCAGGGCGATAACCCAACGACGTTTGTTGGCAGCATTGCCGTTGGCGGTAACGGCACCATTCCTTTTGGCATGAGCGCAGCTGTCAACCCTGCTGGTTCTTGCCCCGCAAACCCCTCCGGCCCTATCGCTGATGGTTCACAACTTGTGGATATCACCCAGAACCCTGGTGTCGGTGGCACAACTGTCTCTAGCAGCACTACTAGTGGAAGCAATAGCACCTCGATCGCCACTCCTTCAGCCACTCCTTCGTCTACTTCTTCAGATTCTGACTGTGAGGAAGATCCAACCGATTCCATGACCACTGTTTCTCCCACCATGTCAGCTACTAGCGCCGCTGCCGTTGCTCCGTCTGCAACTTCCTCAAGCGCCAGTGCAAACTTCAAGCTCGCCAACGGCCAGAACGCTCAGAAGCTCAACGCCCAATTTGCTACGCTGACTGCCAGCTCTTCCTGCACTGGTGAGTGCACTTCACTAGAGGACCGTGTCATTTTCTAATATTCTACGCAGAGGGTACCAATGCATGCGTCAATGGGGCTTTTGCGCAATGCGTAGGGGGAACGTACGTGACTCAATCCTGTGGATCGGGTCTCACTTGCGCCGCCCTCCCTCTCGTCAACTCTGCCGGAACGTCGATCACCTGCACCACCAATTCTGATGCCTTGGCTCGCATTGCGGCCACTGGCGCGCAGGGCGGTCTTACTGGATAAGCGTTGGTAGTCTTCAATGCTGGCATAAAGTCGCTAGTCGACATCGATATCCTGGTTTTTCTTCTGCGTTTTGGAATATGGTATATCAGCCGCTATTTTGTATCGCTATTGTGGAAAGGAAAGGAAATACTTATGGTAGCAGTCCTGGCGGCACTAGTCGCTGGGTAAACTTTGTTGTATACTAAAATGTATAATCAATGAAGACATGATGGAATGAAGAGGTGGATCGTTCTGCTCATGGATATTGGTCGGGGATTGTCCCACAGGAGAAATAGTCCTCGGACCATATCCACGGCAGCACATATAGATACGACCGATATTCAGAGGGTTGGTTTAGTATCGAGGCGTCAATTTATAGACTTGACGTCTCGGAGGTCTGAGGACTGTGATAAGCATCTGGTGAGCGCTTCGAATGGTCGAGCCTGTGCAGAACTAAGATCATCTGGCCAGTACAGATTATATTTGAGTCACAGTCGTGGTGCCGTATTTGATTTCTTTTAAACACGTGACTAGAGGCGCGTCGCGATCGAGTTTGTTTTTATGATAATCGTCGTTCATAAACTACAGCTCAACTGGTGATTCAGGAAAACATTTCAGAGTCGTGCAGAGATCTATGCGAGGTATTATGTGCAAAGTTTAATCAGAGTGAACAATGAGAGTATTGTAAAGCCGTAGTAGGAACCATGGAAAACAGTGAGGAAATATCAGAGTAGGTTTTCTCTAATTAGAGTACGAAGGAGGTCCTGAAGCATCATTGTGTCAGAGTCAACCCCACAGGACAAGGGGACCGAGCTTACCAGCAAAGCGCACGGAATTCTGTATGGCGGATTGCAAGGACATCTTCTCATCATCCGAGAGACTATCAATGATCCGAACGAGACCATCCAGGGAAGCCTTGCGGTCTTCCTCTGCAACCTCCGCAAAGTGGCTGAGTAGATAATCAGCCTTGAGTTTCGACAGGGCCGGCGATATGTCGAGTTGCTCAAGGACTTCGGCCAGAGCACGATTGTCTGACAAGTCACTGGCAGGGATAAGTGAATCCAACAACACGGCGCGCTCCTCGGACTCCATCTCGGGGTTGCCGTCTTCAATCTGCTCGAGTAAGTCGGAGCGTGCGATGCGGGCGCGAAGGGCCCAGTAGAAGTATCTCCGGGCGTCTTTCCATACAGCGGGTTTCGCACAACCTTTGGCTTCCATTCGCCCAGAGCGACTGTAGAGAAATCAGACAAAGATCATCATGAGAGGTTGGAGGAACGCTTACTCATGGAGGTCTGCGTAAAGCAAAGCAAGCTGCTTGTATGTGGGCTGCAAAAAGGCCTCCCTACTGGCTAGTGCCTGCGTTGCCTGGGCTCTCTCCTCGGCGGTTTTCGCTGTATCCTTGCTGGCTTGCTTAAGCTCTGCGTACGTCGAGTCAAGGCGCTCCATCAATGTCAAGATCTTGTCTCGGCGCATCTTGATCTCAACGATACCCTCCGGTTCGAGAACACCAGCACGAGCCTCGACGTCTGCATACATCTCCATCTTCTCCGGGTTGATCGAGGGGTCAAGGACGACCCAGGCACCGCCGCGCAGTTCACCATTGGGAACGATGTAAACAAAGACAGGTTGTTTGTAGGCGGACAACCCATCGACGATCTTGGAGCCCTGTTTGAGCACCTCGTCGTACATGTCCTGCTGACCACCGGAGAAACCACGCCAATTGGCGAAGATGATGAGAGGGAGTTGTTCGCGATTGAAATCGAAGATGGCTTGGGCAGTTTTATAGGCAGAATTGGGGTACCAAACTTGACCTGCCTCCATGACCCGTTGTTCAAATGATGCAGGGTTTGCAGGGTCTGCAGGAACAATGCGCTCAATTGTCCGGGTCTCTACAGCAATGACACCCATGGGAATGCCACCAAGGCGTGCACGCCCAACGACGACAGTCTGGGCCCACCCGCCGAGTGTCTCCTGGAAGGACCCCTTGTCGAAGAAGCCAGGGAGCCACTGCGACGTGTGTTCATCTTCTTTGCCTTCGATGAGCCAACGGGGATCATACGGGCCCTTGGGAGGTGTGAAGGCGATGTCGCGATCCCAAGAATCTGAAGTTTCACGGATAGGCAGGGAGTCGCCCTTCGACTCTGGAACATATGATAACCACTGCAAGATGTGCGTGACACCCTCCAAGTCGCTGCTAGCGGTGAGATGCGATACACCGTTCTTGTACATGATCTGCGTCCCTCCAAGCTGCAGGTTGGAGGTATATACCTCTCGTCCGAGCACCTTGTTCAGGGCTGGAGCACCAGTGAGGATGATAGGCTGGCCTTCGACTTGCACTGCACGTTCTCCAAGACGTACGAGATAAGCTCCAATTCCAACTGATCGAGCGGTGACCAACGTGATCGTGAAGATGTCGTCGTATGCGCGTGATGTTTCACCAGCGATAAGACCTGATCCCTTCAAACTCTCAACACCGAGACCGTCCTGCAAACCTATGATGTCGGTGATCTTGTAGCGCAGCTCGCCGTTAACCTCCAGCTCAGCTGTGCGCACAGACGCAGCAGCCTTCTCTTGAACCTTCAGGTAATTCTCCCTAGTCAGGTAGATGTAATCGATGCCCTTCTCCGGGTGTTCATCATCATTCCAGGCACACGAAAAGAGGTTCATCACTTCTTCTCCCAGGCCAATGCGAGCGCCAGAGTTGGCAGACAGGTAAATGCGAGGAAGGCCGTGTTCACGAGCGTACTTGGTGACGATGTAGAAGAACTGATCTTCGATGGGACCAAACGAGCCGATTTTGTAGGTGATGTCGTTTGCAATCACAACCACCTTGCGCCCGCTGGGATACTCAGGTGTCCTGAGAGTGAAAACCCACGCAACCATACCGAAGGTGTTGTTTCCTGGAGCACGTTCAACTTCCGCGAGTTCATCATGCTCGTCAAGCACGAGTTCCTTCGCCTCCAGAGTGATCTTCGGCGAGTTCAAGGAAGAATCGGTCGCACGAGCCTTGATCCAGAGGTTGTGCAAGGCTTTAGAAAAGAGCTCAGGGAAGTCGTAAACGTAAGTGGTACCGATGAGGTGCGCCTGGTATCGCTTGGGTTGCAACGACTCTTTGGTTGGGTACGGTTGGTGGACGGGTTGGAGGTGAAGAGGTCCCTTTTCTCCAATGGATTTCAGGATAGTTGTGCCTTTGTCTGTTGTAATCTCCTGATACCCATGGAAGTTGACTACAAATCCAGACACGTTCTCTATGATGCAGCGAATAGGGGTAACGTTCCCCTCGCCGTCTTCCAGAGCAATGCGAATTTCGGAACCAGTGACGTGGAGACGCCATAACCGCTTTCCATGGCGCTCGATGAATCCGGCAATAGCCGTCAAAACATCTTCATACGAGACCGCAAGGTTGTAGACAAAGTTCATGAAGATGTGATTGACGTCAGCATTGCGGTGCTGTGCACTGACGACTTCCAGTGCGTCGAGGACACTGGTAACGAGACGATCGGTTTCAGAAATGAGGTACTCTGCGGTACTCATCGAGCCACGTAGGCGTCCAGGACGGATGAGTGCGCGAATGAAGAAGCGGTTGTCCAGTTGGTTCTCCCGAGCAACGGCATGGTAAATGTGAATCTGCTTGGTCTCGACGAAACAGGGTGTGAGCTTGTAGTGGGACAAACGGCTGAGCTCTAGCTGGAAAGCAAGAGCCGGCTCGATGTTACGAATGGCTTGCTCCTCGACCCAGGAGCCGCCGGAATTGCGAAGGGTGAAGTACATCGGGTATTGTCCGCGACGACAAATGAGAATCGTTACGCGGCGGACACCACGCTTTACAAGTACAGGATTGCGTTCGTTCAAGAACTTTGTCAACTGCTCTGCCCAAGCTTCTTCGGCGATGCTGTCGGTCTTGTCAAAGATACGGAGTGCTAAATTCATCACGTTAGGCGGCTGGTTGCTGCCATAACGCTGGCTGAATTCTTCGACATCAAATATAGGCAGGAAGTCGGCAACCTTCTCGAAGCCTCGTGCCATGGCAGCAAAGTCAGAGAACGACGAAATAACACCGCTCCGAATAGGCTGAGACTGGCTGCGACTGATGAGATAAGTCAAATCGCTGACTGAGCCCTGACGGCGAGGGTCGCTGTGATCAAGTGAGTGAGTCGATTGAAGAGGCTGCTGTACGGTGGACTCACGGTGCAGTGACGCTTGGAGTCGACGGTGGCGAGTGAGATTGACCAAGGTTGAACCTCCAAGTGGCAGCGCTCGGCGATTCGCCATCGTCCGAACCATCGCCTTCCTCGTAGTCAATGGAGAGAAGTGAGTAAGCACGGTAAGCACGTCGGATATAAACCTCAAAGGCAGCTGATGAACGGTCTCAGTCAAAATTACTGGATCAGTTCATCAAGTTCAAGACGCACCCATGGTGACGACTGGGTCGGCATGCGAGAAGAACGCAGGAAGGACGTCATATACGGTATAACGCGAGTCGCTCAACTCTCTTAAAATTTCAGACGATGGAGCCCTGAAAATGTTGTTAGCGAGAGTCGCGACATTAAAATGATGATTTACCTGTTAGTAGCGCCGGATTCGCCATAAACGCTCGAGGAGACCGACGCTTTCAAGATGGCTTCCATTTGAATTAAACGCTCTTCGTACGACGGCATCTGCCCGAGAATGAGAACCTCGCGAGCCTTAAGAGAAACTGGGGTGGACGACCTGAAGATTCTCGGTGAGTAATGAGAACGAGAGAAGATAGAGGACCTTACTTGGATTCGAGAGCTGCAAGGTCATTCAGGACCTGGTATAGTCGGCTTTCTGCATTCGAAACAGGCAAACCACCTGTCTTGACATAGTCAAGCATGGCCAACACTAGCTTCGCCTTGCTCTGCGCCTTCGTGTGACTGAGCACAAGCGCTACAACGTTGTCGAGATCGTCCTTGTGTTGTTCTCGAAGCTTGAGGACACGAGCCTCAATGCTTCCGCCAAAGAGTTTTTCGGTCTGCTCGTATGCAGAAAGCAGGTTGGCAATTGTGTGCACCTCGTGACCCTTCATGCCACCCATAAAGCGCTCCAGGACATCATATAGAGCAGCAAGCTGCGAGCGAAACATTGCCTTGTCATGGGACAAGACGGAATCCTGAACATAGTGCTCGAGCACTTTCTTGATGCGCACTGCGGGGAACTCGTGAGCGTCACTCTTCGACTTGGCGGTCTCGATCGCGCCACGGATACCCTCTTCAAGCTTTGCGGGCATGCGGCCAGAAAGCGCAGATAAGATAGCGTTGACCTCAGAATAAGGAAGCTCGGGGTCGTGCAGCACCTCGACGAGGTCCTTGAAGGTCGAGGCCATGATCGCCTGGTTGTCATAGCCCTCAAGAATGTCGTTGAGTGTACTCATGCAGCGAACAAAACGCTGGTAGGTCTTGTTGCCAATGATGCCAGGGAGACCCATAGAAGGGAGGAGGCCTTCGAAGGGTTTAGCATGCTTGACGCGGGCAGGGTCGTCGAGGGTGAGGATGCCAAGAATGTCACCAGGCTCAAGGCTGACACCAGGCTGCTTGACAAACTGAACTACGCCGTCCTCAGCAGCTACCAGTGGCATATACATCTTCATGACCTAGAGGTAACTAGCTCAGGCTCTGAAATATCGCGTCTATTACTATAAAAGACTTACCTCGATTTCTGCGTAGGTCTCGCCAGCGTTAATATGGTCACCGCTATCGATAAGGAATCTGACAAGCTTGCCAGGGCTCGGGCTTCTGAGTTGCGTGGGGTCATTCTCCTGCTCAATTAAACACGTCTTGGCGTCGACCATGAGACGCAGCGCGCCTACTTCCTCTCTCCAATATACGGAATGACTCCGACCATCGAGCATGACGAGCAATCCACCATCAGCCAACGGACGAGCACCAACCATAGTTCGACCACCGTTCAAAAAAAGCGTCCACATATTCTTTGAGGAGCGTGCGCAAGTAAAGTTGTACCGCGTGTTCTCATAGATGAAGTCAACACCGAAGACGGTCTTGAGGAGGTCACGAGCAGGAACCTGACCCTTGTCAAGGATGCGCTTGTACTCGCTGATGCAGGCTTCAGCAGCAAGATGAGCCTTGGTGACGGCACCACAGACGACAGCAAGGGTAGCATCAGGACGTTCGGCGGTGAGCTTATTGCTGATGAGGGTGTCCAGCCATCCGGTTGTGAAGGTGTTCTCGGTGAACGCCTCGAGCTCAAGGAGCTTGATGAGGTACTCGACAGTAGTTCGGAAGTCTCCGCGAATGCTAAGCTCCTTCAACGCGACAATCATGTTCTTCCTGCTCTCGGATCGATCCTCGCCATAAGCGAAAATATGACCGAATTGAGAATCAGCGAATTCGTGTAAACCACCCGCCGTGCTGACGGAGAAGTAACCCCACACATTCGTGCTGGAACGGAAGTTGAGCTCTTGCAAAGATCCAGATGAAGGTTTGAATCCAGCGTCAGGGTTCTCGGCAGTGATACGAACTGCAACGACATGACCCTTGGGACGCGGTTTACGCTGAAGCTGATTCGACTCAGGCTTCACCATGTCGAAATCGATCTCGGACGAGGCATTAGGAGCTACGCCGTAAAGAGTGCGGATGTGACGGATTCTGTGGAGAGGAATACCCATGGCTACTTGTAGTTGGGCAGCAGGCAAATTGACGCCCGAAACCATTTCAGTTGTTGGGTGCTCGACTTGCAAACGAGGGTTCAGCTCAAGGAAGAAAAATATGTCCTCCCCATGGCTATAGAGATCTAGAGGTGAATAATTTAGCGAATTTGACAAAGCCTGTAGAAATTAACGCGCATACATTCAACTGTTCCTGCACTGACATATCCGACCAGCTTCGCCAGCCGGACGGCTGCGCGCTCCATCTGCTCAAACGTATCCTCCTTTGCAATGGTGACGGGGGCTTCCTCGATAATCTTCTGGTGGCGACGCTGAACGGAACAGTCACGCCCGAACAAAGAGATGGCATTGCCATACTGATCGGCGAGCAACTGAACCTCCAAGTGTCGTGCTTGGCCAGCCAGCTTCATGATAAAAATCGGCGATCCTGGAAAAGGCACGTTAGTAGAAGCTTAGGTCAAATTAAATCATCGTACCTGGGATCTCTCCTGCAACGGCATGGAAGGCATTCTTGAACGCATCGGGATGATCGACTTTACGAATACCCTTTCCTCCTCCACCTTCACTGGCCTTAATCATGACTGGATATCCAATGGTTTCAGCCTTGGCGAGACCTTCCGCGACACTTGTGACACAAGCACTCCTGTACGCCTTGTCAGGAACGGTCACAAAACCCTGCTCCGATAGGACAGTGTCCGAGATGCCAGTGCCCGACCAAGCCATACAAGGAACATCCGCGCTCTGAGCGACGATTGTACTTGATATCTTATCGCCCAAGCTCCTCATGGCACTTCCTGGGGGACCTATGAACACGATGCGGTTCTTGGACGCAGCGAGACTTTCAGGTAGTCGAGGGTTTTCAGACGCATGACCCCATCCTGCCCAGACAGCATGCACGCCAGCACGTTCGGCAACATCGACGATAAGGTCAACGTTGGCGTAATTGTTATTGTTCGATCCTCCTGGAACCTCGATGTACTGGTCCGCCATGCGGATGTACTCGGCATTTACTTTGAGGTCCTCAGGAGTTGCCATAACTGTGAACTCTACAGCTCGCTCCGTCCCAAACGTTTCGTAACTCCATTGGCGGATGGATCGAATCTCCTTGACCGCCGCGATGCCTGTGTATAGTGAGTAAGCCTCCCTAGCGCAACCTGTTTTTAATGCGTACCATTATTTGCAATAAGTACCTAGAGAAGACATAGATTGATTAGAATTATATTTTAAGATCATTGGAGATGAATGGGGTTGGTAAAAGCACATGAAGTACACCCGAGGAGGCGGGTGTGGTACTTACCTTCGTGATAACTGTATGACCCCCATGAGCCTTTACAAAGTCCGTAACACGGCCAGCAGAAGCTTTATCCAGCGAATTGCCGCCTGAATATAAGCTCAACATCCAAAACGCGTCATTTATTATTCAGTGATAGGACGCGTACCTATGAAGTGGGCTACTTTTGAGTGATCGTAGGCCGACATTGTTGCCGCCAGTTAATTGATGGTTGGATGAACTGAATTAGCCAGCAGACTGGACTGCCAGAGAAGGAAGATGATGATGGGAAGAAAGAGAAAGACGAGCGGGATGCAGTATGATGGGGACTTTGACAGCTATTTTACCCAGCTTTACTGAGCCCCAAAAAGTGTCTACTTTGTTACGTAATTGATGATAGGGTTCTTGTGACGCATTCTGAGTGATTCAAAACTTGTTTCAGAACACACCGCATCATGCCGATGATCATATCATATGGCGGCGACAGCGCATTCGTTATCTGACACGTCGTTCTCGACGATAGACTCAACTATGCACTTGACCCTTGTCGTTTCTCATAGGGCCTGCCATAGGGGCGCGAGCCTGGACAGACGTTTATGTAACGTCCCCAACGAAAGTTTTACATGCGAAATTTGTTTATTTGTTTATTCCATGAGCTTAAAACCGATACATGACTGCCATCTTACATGATAGTTACATACTAAAATTACCCTTAGAAGCCCTTGATCACACACGACGACCGCGGGGAATGACAATTGCAAGCGACATAGGGGCTATTTCTAGATCCTACCCTTTCCATCTTCCTAGATCACCGCACTTAGATTCACTCCAGGAGGTCAGTTTCGTCAACGTTTAGGATCAACCTCGTAAAAAACCGAATTTGTTCCAAGAAGCCCTCTGCTCTGATAGCTAGAAGTCCAGACCGCCATCTTATTGAGTAAAAAAGCAGGTAGTGCGGCAGCCTGCTTACCTTCATTTATGGTATGCGCACCATTATAGCCATCAGCGGCACCACGGTGGCCATATCGGAAAATGTGTTTGGTAAGGCTCCAGTAATGCCTTGTGTCTGTAAAATGCATGTTCAGATCATCTCCGTATTCTCGTTATCGAGGTGTAAGCACCACCTACCCGTGTTTCCTATCATTATCGGATAAACCTGTTAGCCACTTGATATGAAGAATTAACTGTTAGTCTACCTAAGGAAAGGCCAGGTGACACGACAGAAACATCAGGGAAGTCGTCTGTACGGAGGTTGGTCTGCAGCGTGGACAAGACGGTGCCCGAGAGCAGTTTGTATGGCCCGCTTCCGGTAGTTGGGGTAACAGGTGCGGGTTCTAATGCTGAACCGAATGCATCTGAAACCTTCACAAGACCCCACGTAGGTGCCTCAAGGCCGATTGGCTTCCCAAACGCATTAAGAGACATGTTGTGCTTGGCCGCAACAGGTGCGACGATGCTTGCAAATCGGTCTTGAAGTTCAGAAACAGAGCTGGTTCACGGTAAAATGATTTGTCTGTAAGAAGATCGGCATTCACATACCTGTGGTCTGCGATTCTGTGGTTTGCAATGGCGTAAACAGCTTCTGGCAGTGCGTTGATTTTAACGCCACCATAGATAATGTCTGACCAACAGTTCGTTCAATGCACCGACGTGAGATAACCTTCTGTGCTTACCGATGGCCTGAGTTGTACCTGCTGAAGCAGAGTATGCTGGGTCGAAATCATCAAGCTTTGTCTCCAGCTCATGCAACTTCTCGTCGCTGGTCTGCGATTCGATAACAAGTTTGCGCATATCAGAGGGGAACCCAACATCATACTTTGCCCTGCACTGTAAACCCTGATAGTAGGTTCGGTCGCGTGCAAGCTTCGGGACGTGTGGGTTCGCCTCCAGCTCGGTGACAACGCTGGCGAGGATACCAATGCCCTGTGTACTATGAGACATCTCACTGTGTGTACAAAGGTATCCTTACAGTATGTTTGGGAGGTCTGCTCGAGTGTCCTCCAGGTGTGAGAACGTCCACGCGAACGTCCAAGTACCCTTTCTCAGCAACCGCAGGAGTAGCAAAGATAGTGCCGCTCTCGTCAGAGTATCCTCCTTGATGTACTTGAGAAGTCGCGTGCAACTAAGTCAATGAGCTATCTTACCTCCTTCATCGACAATCATTGAGATGGAATCTTCTCCATAGGTCTTTACAAGATATTCTCCAATTGCGGCAGCGCCCTACAATAAGATGTCAACGCTGACTGGTCAAAACAAAAGCGCACTTACAGTAGGCCCGCCGCGCTCCTCGTCGATGCCATAAGCCAAGATGACGGTTCTTGTAGGTTTGAAACCTTGCTCAAGGAGAGTTTCGATGGCAGTCCTATCCTAACATTTCAGCATCGCAATGATGATTATGCTACTCTTTACTACTCACATGCTGCCAATGACTCCAGGCTTGTCGTCGCAGCTGCCTCGTCCCCAAATCCACTCACCATCATAATACCCCGAGAAAGGGGGGTTAATCCAGTCCGATTCAGTCGCAGCGTTTGTGGGAACTACATCCATATGCGCGGCCAAGAGAAGGGGCTTCAAAGACGTGTCCGTTCCTTGCCAGTGATAGACAAGTGCGTAGGTCGCAACCTTGGTTTGCTGTAGAGTGGCGTGGCTTATTTTGCTATGAGTGATGCTTTGGTATAACAGGAATATGCCACTTACACCTTTGGGAAACGCTGTTCGATGTAAGTATGGAAGTCATTGAATATCTCCCACCGCGGGTCCTCTTCTGGAGTGCCAAGATCGTCATAGCACACAGTCCTATACTTATCATTTAGAAAGGCGAAGCAATCCCTGAGACAAGAATACTCACGGAATCCTTACGGCGCCTCCTAGTGACTCGTATGCCTTTAGTTTGAACTTTTCGGTTCCGTACTCCTCATCGAGAGTGTCGATCAGTGACGCATGGCTCGAAGGTATGATAGCAGAGACTTGTGGACACATCTCATCTTCAATAGCAAGTAACCTCTGACTCTCGTGAGTGGGGAAGTCACTGGATGTAGGAGATGGCCAGAAGCAATGCAAGAGCAACGCAAGACTGAAAATACATGCAAAACCAAGGATCTTTGAGCGCAAAGCACTGCACTGGCGCTTGTAGTTTTGAGTCGTATGCCATATAAGCTCTGAGTCCGCATCGTTACAATCTGTGTTTTGGACAAGGGAAGGTGCCTTCTCGTCAGCGAAAGGTTCTCGCTCCATCTGTGCTGTTTGGCTCATGACGATCCTAGTATGCGGAAGACCACTGAGTTTCCTGTCGTCTGTGAACACAGATATAACAATCACAAGATAAGGTGGGACAACTCTCCACACACCCAATGCACATGACGTCACATGAGAGTGTCACGGTGGTCTTATGACCCGAAGCATGTGTGCAGTATGCGCAAAGCATGAAATCCTTCGGGAATCACTCTTATTCAGTGCTTGGCACACATTGAATAGTGTATGTATTAGCAGGCCAGTCGTTCACGGCAGATGCGTGTTATCTGGTTATAAGTCCTTTGTGACATTGCAAACTTTCACACCTTCCGAATTGGGCATGCCCCTCCCACTTTATACGGACGGTTGGGAAAGTAGACGGCGGTGAGCACACTAGTACTAGTGCTGTGTTCAAAAGGCATCTCCTGGATCGGAAGTGTTAAGCGCGCCACAAGATAACGCTTCCGAGACTCACCGCTGTCGCACTAGGTTCCGGCCGAACGATCAGTCACCCGTTCAACTGTCCTGTCCTAACAGGCGCCACCGTTGTCGATCTATAAGTATGGTACTGGGCCCAAACAGCAGCCCTTGCAAATTAGAAACGGGGAAATGATGCAAGATCATTTTCGAAAACGGCGGCCGGCGACCGCGTTGGCTTTACAATCGTTCTAAGTATGGTTTAAGGTCGGGATATCGATTGTGTTTTCCGTTAGCTTGCGGCATCATATTAGATGGCCAGCTGTAGGATGAGATATAATAAGTATGGTTTGAAAACAAATCGAAATTCAGATATTCCATATTATGTCCTAAACCGTGGGGTGTCGTGTTGCGTCTTCGATCGGGGACACTCGCTTGCTTGCTGTAAGGACACTTATTATATCCCATATTTTTAGCCTGCGGGAAGTTATATAAATTGAGCATTTGTGCCTTCCACAATCTTTAGGCACCCACCGGAGGCTGTTGCTAGTGAATTTTATATCCAACTGAGTAGGTACCGCCTCGACAACTCTGATCAAGATAAGCGCATTTTCTCCGAGTTGGGAAATGTAGATTGGATGGGCGTCAACTGTCTCGCGTGTGACTATCCTGAGGTTCCTCGGTCCTGGTCGGTGTTGCGTGTACGCCTGACTGAGATCTGACATGGACCAAGATTAGACCTGAATATGATTTATCAAATGCAGAATGTAGTGCGGCGTACATACAACTTATTGACACGATGAAGCGCGAGGCGCGCATGCAGGTCAACGGAAATAAGGGTTGGGGTGTAAGCTGGCCACATTGCAGTAATCATTCTCTCTGGGGTAAGGGCGATGTGCCTAAGCGCTCGAGAAGCTGCCTGCATAAGACAACAACATTTATAGGTAAGGTAGTTTAATGCAGACGATTGGAAAACGCAAAACCTTGTTTTCTTACCGCGAGCGAAGCCGGCGGCGCATAGCGAGAAGATGTTTCCAGATCGACTAGTCAGTGGAACTTTGGGGGAGTGGTCACTGACTCGTAAGCAGTGGGAACCGACAAGAACACAGGACTTGCGTTTGTCCTGCGGAGATAGGAACAGGATGTCCTTCGAATCCACATGCTGATTGTGATGAAGGTTCTGTTGCATGTGCACGCTCTGCGATGGACACAGCCTATGATATAGACTAGAAGTTAATACAAAACACATCGTGCAAGGGTAAAATGAGGGTGCGAGAATGCAACGTGTAGTAGCTTCCCCTAGCGGACTGCTGGACCAACTCACGGCATCTACGGAATAAAGAAATTAGTTCTGACAAGTCAAGGAGCGTGCGGAGCGCGTTTCAATTAGAGCATGTGGTTCCAGATAAACCAATACATAACCCATTTTAGCCACGTGCATAATAAAGTCAACTAGCGCGATCTCTCCCTTCAACTACACGCGCAAGTGCACAACTGTCCTTTGCACGCCCAAAAAACGCAAGGTAGGCCAATCTAAGACGCATATATAAACTCATACAAAGCTAAAAGCACCCCAGATTACCCTCTTCCTTCACCATCATGGCAGACAACGCTGTAGTATCTACCGACACTGGCTCTAGCCCCAGAGAACACAATTCTGCCGGCGGGCCCAAGGCTATCATTAAGAACGTGGATATGACTGACGAGATGCAGCAAGAGAGCGTTGAGATCGCATCTGCTGCGCTCGAGAAATATACCATCGAGAAGGACATCGCTGCACAGATCAAGAAAGAGTTCGACAGACGACACGGCCCTACGTGGCACGTCGTCGTCGGAAAGAACTTTGGCAGCTACGTGACTCATGGTACGTCTTTCGTGCGTTGCAGTGTTCCTCTGGCCCATCGTCAGATATGGTGTCTATGCGAGTTATTCGCTTTCATCGATCTCCTTCAAATTTCTTGCGCTTATGTCCATCGCGGGAAGGAATCTAATCTGAGTTATTTTTTTCCAGAAACCAAGCACTTTATCTATTTCTACGTCGGATCGCTTGCTATCCTCATCTGGAAGTCATGAAACAATTGTAGACTCACATTGGATAGATCAATGTGAGTTTTCTTACCCTCGATCACATGTCCCTTTCCTTAACCATCATAATCATAGTACAGACACAGACACGACTCTCGCCATTTTTCACCACGTGTATATATTGTACATTCCTCTGAATCTGCATTTTTCCTCGCACCATCAACCGTCTTGTACATAATGTCTCCTGATTTTTGTGTACAGACTGTTCATTACCTTAGGGGAAGATCGCCTTTGAAACGAACACTGGCTGATAAGCCCATAGTCCTCAGCGTCTGGGAATCGAGTTGAGCCAAGACATGCAGTGTCTTTATAAATGGTAGGAATTTCATGACAGTGGCAGTGATCATGACATGCAATCATATACCTGGCGATGCATGACACTTGCTGTGACGGACTGATGGTTCTCATGAGAGGAACGCTACTGCGGGTGTCCGAAAACGGCGTTATGTATGCATGCACACCGCGGAAAGAAGGTAGATGAACCAAATCTAAGTTAGATAGAATTGCAAATAATACGAAGCCCACTGGTCCGTTGGAAAGCCATGAAACGTGGACAAATCGAATATGAGACAATGTGAGCCAGCTCACCCTGTCAATGGCGGGGATCTTTTATTCCTTCCAACTATCTCAACGATCACCTTTGCAAGACATTCCCCACCGTCCGCATTGAATACACCCACTTGTATCTCCCCAAGATCTTGCTCTGTAGGAATGCCATAAAACTCGACCAGTCTCTTGTCGTCACCGCCGTGCCCCTTCAGCTCCAGCTGCAGGAAGTGCGGGAGAGCTTGCCCCGACATCAGTTTTGCCTCCAACTTGCGGTATGTACCATTGACAGACTTCATGGGAATGCGGAACTTGAACTTCTCGCCGGTCCGTACGATGAATCGAGAGACGGTGTTTTCTGTCCCTACAGTGACAGTACCTTGACCAGGCTGAGACGACGCGAGCGACGAGAAGGACTCGTCAGATACAGATCGCACGTTCGATGAGCCTTCTCCGAGTGTGCGAACGTAGTGCATGCCCATGCGAAGCTCGTCGATACTAGTATGGTGTGCGTCTCGTCCTTCTTGGTAAACTTTTGCTGTCTGGCTGGCAATTCTTTTCGATCCTGGGGATACATCTAGCGTTACTTGATTACTAGACGGAGACCGCGGAGGAGGAACGCGGGAAGAATTCGTAAACTGTTTGAGACGAGGCTTCTCTTCGGCGGTCTGGATAGTTTGGATAGTCTCGGGACGTGATTCATATGAAACGATGCTTGTACTCTGTATGCTTTCCCTGATGATACTGAAAGATGCCTCCAGTCAATATCAAGTCCATACGATGGAAACAACAATGTACCTTCTGCGGGCAGAGTCCTTGACAGCGGCAGGTGATGGCTCTCGCGGACCTCTCGGCGACCTTGGTGGAGCAAAATCGGCTCGCCTTCGTGGAATGGACCTCTCATCCGTAGAGTTCGACGGAGAACTAATGAAACTGATCATCGTACTGGCTCGCTTCACTTTCAACTCTGGGTCGTTGAAGGGATTTTCGCGTGCATCTTGCGAAGCTGGGGTGGCCCTGATGTCTATGTAGTCACCTTCTAGAGGAAGCCCATCCACGCCCTGACGTGCATGTCTTGGTGCCAATGGTGTAGGGTAACCGATGACGGGCCTTGGAGCAACCTTGCGCTTGTATTTGTCGCTGACGTTCCTCGCGGTTTCCTTGATCCGCCCAAGGAACTCGGCCTTCTTCATGACGCCATTGCAATCAGCGTGAACGGTCGAGGGCGTTTGAGGAGCAACACGCCGGAGGCCAAGTCCAAGATTTTCGTACGCGTTTGACGGCTGATTTTCATTGGGCTCGAAAGGGTTCCCGTGCCGCTGACCGAGCTCGAGACTGCCTTTCTCCGATGTTGCGCTCGTGTCGGCCTCCTTGGACCAGCCGTAACCCTTGTTTTCCTCAGGAAGACTACTGTTTCCATTTGGAGCCATCCCGTAGTACCTCTTCTCCGCATCCGACCAAGCAAACGCGCCTTCCTCGCCTAGCAGGGCCGAGTCTCGAACCCTTGCGCAACGCCTGAACAGGGCCAGACCGATGCCAAGGCTAAGCAGGCCTCCGACAACACCAAACACGACAGACAAGATCAGCGTCGTTGTTTTGTGTCCCGCCGAATTTGCCGTTCCTAGTCCCTGGCTTTGATTCTCCTTTTGCGGAGACACCACGGATAGCGTCGCATGGGAAGTGGAGTGCGTGACACGGGAGTAGGCGATGAAGGTAACTACAATCTTCGGGACTTGGGAGCTGCCTGGAATCTGTCCAGACAGTTCCCCAGAGACCGGATCGAAGCTCAGATAATTGCTGGCATCGGGAAAGAAGGTAACACTGAGGTTGACGTCGTTGTGATTTTGGGCAGTGTCGGCCTTGTTGGAGAAGAACTGAGCCAGATTGAAGTGGACTTGCTGTCCTGGATCCGCATTGACGACTCCAAGGTCTGAGGCGGAAAAGTAGGATGACACAACTGCCAGAGAGATAGTCGTGTCCAAGGTCTGATTGAAGTCGGTGGTGAGCCTGGCAGGTAGAACAGGTCCTCCGTTCGTAGCGCTCGTCACAGAAAGTCCAGTGGGCGGAATTCCAAAGATCGTCCTACTTTCCTCGTCGTACTGAAGCCAGTTTTCGTACGCGGATACATCGATAGACAAACCGGTGATATTTGTAGGTTCTAGAGGCTGTCCATCTACCAGCATACCAGTAAAATCGGCGGCAGCCATAACCGTGAAGTTGAAAGGACATTCGGCCGTGACATTGACAATGGGAAGAGTGGATAGTGCATACAGCTCGTGAGAAGCCACGACGAGGTCGAAAGAAACAGTGTCAGCGCTGTAGCCTTGCTGGTCAGATGCGTGAACATCTATAGATAAGGTATAAGGCGTGGGTAGATTGGCCTCAGATGGTGCTACTCCGTCAAAGGTCACAGTATTTGGGTCGAATATAAGCCATTTAGGAAGAGGTGTTCCATCCGCTTGCAAGGCCGCATAGTATAGATCATCTTGGGCAGAGAACGTGTCACTGAGGATACCAATGCTGAAAGACCACTGAGACGGGACCCTGAATGCAAAGTTGTCTGTTTCAAGGGCAGATCCAGGGGATAGAAAGAACACCGATGAGAGCGCGGAGCTGCCTGCATAGAACTGCTTTTGTAGAGGAACTTCAAGCGTTGGAGGAGGATAAGAAGTGACGCAGAGAAAGAACGACGAGGTTACCCAGGACTCGGAGTCTGAGGCGTTCACAGTGATCTGCGGCGTGCCCTCATCTGCAGCAGAAGGCATGCCTTGGAATGTTTGTGTTGCGTTGTCGAATAAGCACCAACTCGGTAGGCCTGAAACGGTGAACGAAAGAGCCTGGTCCAGGTCAGTTGAAAACGTTAAGGAGCTGAAGGACCAAGTGTAGTTTTCGCCAATACGAGCAATAAGGGGCAGTTGGCCATTCAGCGGATTGTTGACAGTGACTGTCGCACGACCCGCTGATACGGCAGCGAGGAGGGTTAAAAGAGTGACGATCATAGTGATGGTAGCCGTAAGACGCGACGACGACGCACGTTGAAAGACGAGTCGGCCAGCGAGCTCAGATTACGAATTATTCAAGCGGTCAGTTTGGAAGGCCAAAGATGATTGATTGAAGAGAGGGAACAAACAAATACGCAAAAACAACGCGTCGCGACTAGGTCATGTGAACATTTATCAAATCCATATTACCCTTGTGAATGAGCAATTTTGAAGATAGCATGTGAACTTTGAAGTAACTCTGTAAGTATTCTAAATCAACGAAAGCGGAGGGGACTGAAGCATGGAATCCGATAGTACTAGCGTTGTGGTTTGGTGAAAAGGAAGACAAGTGCATGACGGAAAAGAAATATGAATGGATTATGCTCCTGTGAAGGCGCTGAGCCCCGCTGCTTGGATTCTCCCCGGATCTTCTGCGTTCAATATGCCAATCAAGGCAATAAGCTCAGCCCCTGTCTCATCACCAATCTGCTCCGGTCCATTGGGATCAAGAACGTGAGCAAACACGGCAAGCAGCTGGTCCATGTATGGCAAGAGCGACTGGGGGGTTGTGCGGAATAGATGGAAGATAGCGCGGAAAATCGGGCGATTTTCAAGGTAGTCGGTCTTGAGCGGGAGACTGCCGATCAACACAGGAAGGACCTGATCCAGAGGGACGGCAGCAGTGTTGCGGATGATGAGACGGGCAACAGCGCCAGCAGCATTGTCCTTCGCATTGAGTTTCGCTGAAGGATCAGTGGGCGAGACGTTGAACAGCAGGCGGAGGGCGCTGAGGACATGCATATATTGCGGCGAAAGGTCGACTTCAGAGTGTTCAACGAGAAGACCGATGGCAAAGCACGCATTGCTCTGAACCTCCGGTTCTGGGTCGCTGAGCGCGCGGTAGAACAGATCCATCAGAGGTTCTGTCGAGGGCGTGACAGAGGATTTCATGCCAGCAATGATCTCTGCGAGACAACCGATAGCGGAAGAGCGATCGCTCATCGACCGGCTCTTCTTCTACAAGTGAATGGACATGGTCAGTACCTGAACGTGCGCTCGCAAGAACTTGAACTGACGTAATATTTCGAGATAAGAGGGAAGAAGGTACCGAATGCCTGCGCGAAGTCATTGCCCAGTGCATTTGCAAGTGAAGATACCAAGTCGCCTGCAGAGGAAATGAGCACTGAATCGTATTCGGCTTGGTCTTCGGGTGCCTCCTCGGTTTCGTCCTGGTCAGGGTCCTGTTGGCAAAGTGCCTTTTGCTCAAGGACCTGTACCGCAATGCTGCAGATGACGTCGAGATCTGCACCAGATGTCAACATTGACAAAAAGGAGCTAATGATGTGACTTACGGCCTTCAATAAAGGCAGGTCCGATCTTGTTGATAGTCTCGGCAAGACCAAGACATAACGATGCCACGACACTCCTGTGAGAAATCATTCAGTAAAAGTACAAGAGTGAACATGAATCGACTGACTTGTGATCCTCGGTTTCGTACATCTCAAGCAAGGGCTTCAAGCTGTGACCAATGAGCTCTTTCACGCTCTGCTCCAGAGGCACAGTCTAGACGCTGCGTTAGCATCATGCTCAGATATATATTTTTAACTATGACTCACCACTGTCGCCCCAGGGGTCCAGTCTGGCGCACCGCTCAGTTCGTAGAATGTCCTGACCATCTCCAACAAAGAGTCCGTCGCGGACTTGCGAATACCCTCGTAATAATGTGTGAGCAAGTTGACAAGCTCGAGAGCACAAGGCTCGACGAAAGGGAAGAAGTGGTTGCGCGTGGCAGCGAAAAGCGTTCCAATCGTGTCTGCAGCAATTTCCTTCTCGACTGCGATCGCGCTATTGACTTCGAGCATCTTGTCAAGATCAACATCTTCGAGCTCAAGTTCGAGGTTCCCATTGACATCGACGTCATCCGTAACAGAGATCGCGTTGGTAGGAGACGACCCTGATGCAAAGGCGGCGGCAGCTTCAGTATTAGAAACTAGAAACAATTATTCATCAGGAAACTCCTCGATCAAAAAAAGACAATAACATACAGGTAGAAACATTATCCTCGCCATGCTCAGCTTGCTTGCAGCTCTGCAACAACGGAGGCACAACGCTCGGTAGGTACGGCGCAAATTCCTCGCCAAATACCCTAGCCATCACACCGAAGAACAAGAAACTGCACTCCCGAAGACGTGCGCTACCCATCTCAACACCTTGGAACGCCTGTTTCATCATGTCCGCGAAGTATGGGCGGAAGACGTCGACGCCAACAGCCTCTGCGAACGTTCCAACAGCGTCCATAGCGATGCCGCGGAGCTCGGTCTCCTCGCCTTCACCAGTGAGGACGAGGAAGTGCTGCAACTTGTTCATGGTCGGCTGGAAGTAAGGGAGGAACTTCTCTTTTGAAGCGTGTGCCGCACTACCAAGGGCTCCAGTAACCACAGTCTTGACAGCGATAGGTGCAGTGTCGAGCAGACCAGCAAGTTGCTCCATGATAAGCTGGAGGTATTGTTCAATGACATCCTGCGAGATCTCAAGCAGTGCATCAAGAGCAGTGCAAGCCGAGCGTTGAGTCGCAGGATCGTGCACCAGGCTCATGATCACCTAAAAACCATCACATAGATCTTAGCACGGCCGTCAAGTTATGACAAAATTTTCGTGCTCACAGGAACAAGAACAGCGTGCTTCGCAACACACTCTTCCTCCAGCCACTCGCACAAACAGCTTACAGCGATACAGGTCGCCTTCCTGACAGAGTTGTCACCGTCCTGGAGACCAGCCTCGATAACAGGCCATATGTGGCTCATCAAAGGCGTCATGAACTCGCTGCAGCCCTCCACAGCCACGCCAAGCGCAAGCATCGCACCACGGCGGTTGTTGGCATCAGGAGAAGAGAAATAATGGGAGATAAGCGTTCGGAGAGGAGGGAATACTTGGGTGGGGGGAAGGTTCGTGGCGAGACCATCGATGATACGAAGAGCAGACTGTAAAAACCGATGAGCAGAGGTCACTTCGGCTAGTAGTCAAAGTTACGTACACGGCAAGGGGCGTCATCATCGGAATCTGCAGGTTCGGGTTCGGTGGTAATAGGCATGAGGCCCTCCAAAATAGCGCCAGCAAGGGACTGGCTTTGGATTTTTGATTTTTTGCTGAAAAGATGACATGAGTACGTTCACGAGACCGATCCAAACATGATCTCACTATTGCACGGTCCAGTTAAGGGCGTTGAGGGCCAAAACACGGATTTCAGCGTCGAGATTGCGGTTCCCACCAGCTTGAAGGAGGAAGGATGCCAGCTCCGCAATATGTGGGCCGAGAATTGGTACTTCCTGCATGGAGTCTCGCAGATAAGTCCAAGTCAACAAAAACTGAAATGCAAACGCACAAGGATGAGAAGAGTCTCGAATACATCGAATAGTTGACGAGCACCAGCCTCATCACCAGACTCAATTGATTGTCCGAGAATTCGGATCATAGCAGGGAGAAGTGCTTGGAAGGATTTCTGTAGCACACAATGAGACGATTATTTGCGAGAAAAACAATTTGCACGCACGATGTCAGCCTTATCATCAGAGTCAATGTACTGGGCAATGACACCCAAAGCCCTGGAAGCTGGATTAGCTTACTACCTACGATTAGTTGAAGAGCACAGCGCACCGAACAGTCGTTATACGAACTTCAATACTCTCAGGATCATTCAAAAGACCTTCGAAGAGTTTGAAGAAACTTTGGAGATGCTCCTGGAAACCTTCCACGATGCTTTCGAGGACAGTGAACAAAATGAAAATGGCGACCTCGCGATGCGCGAGCTGTGCTGATGTACATGACTGGTGTAACCACGGAAGGAGTTGTGGCCATGTTCCAGCTGTAAGTTCGATGCTAGCAGCAGCAGCGATGACACGTGCGGCAGAGTGTCGGACGAGCTTACTACAACATCGAAAAAAAAATCTTCAGGAGCGTACTTTGGGAAGCAAGGAAATAGACAGACTTTTCTTCCGCAAGGATCAAAACAGGAAGCTGTTCTTTGATCTGCAAACGGACATCTTGTGGGAGTTGCATCCATAGATCACCGCTCTTTTGGGAAACACGCTTTCGCATCTCGACAGCAGCCAGTTGGCGAACCTAATCAGAAAAACATTCACGCGCGCAGAGCCAATATCAATTAGGTGTAGCTAAAATTACGCTGATATGAAGTTTGCTCACCGCGATTTCAGGCGAACTGGCGAGTATTTGTGCGAGTGCGGATATGCATGCTGGATTTTTGTAGTATTCGGTATTAAGCTGCGCTGTTGCCTGATGCACATAACAAGTCAGGAAACGCGATGAACAACGCGTCTGATGGGAGCGATCTTACAGCTTTAAGCTGGTTGGTATCGTTTGAAGTGGATTGCAGCAATAGATTGTGCAGCCCCTGCACAAAATTCGGCTATCATCACGGGTGAGAGAGCAAAAAGTAATCAGATCGGACTGGACGGTGAGCATTCAAATAGTTATCTGCACGTACATCCATCTTTGACAGTCGTGAACAAGGAGGAGAGAGAGGGCAAGGGGATAGATGAGTCTCTGATCGTCAATATTCAAGTTCCCTAATCTAAAAACTTGGCGGAGTTCAGAAAATTTTGCCACGGATCATGGTCTAGTCAATCCGAGTCTATCTATGTCACCTTGATGATGCTGACCGCATCATGGCATGCGCATGCCACGAGTCTGTTCACAATGACTTCTCTATTGTTGTCCCAGGCCGGTATCGTTCAAGGTGGCCAGTTAATGAAATATCGATGACCACGGTCCATGCAGAGGCTCGAACCATTGCGCAACCATAGATCTTATGAGATCCTATACTCATCATTCGGTCTTCACAGCGTTCTTATCGATCACATCAAGCCTCAAGGAGACTAGACTAATCTCATAAACAAAAGCACGCGTCGATCCGATCAATAAAATGAACTGCTGTGGATGAACCGAGGATGGCTTTCCCGAACAACCGTCGAAGAGCATCGATTATCTTATCTGCATCGTATCCACAGGACGTCGTAACATTGTGTTCAAGCACCGTCCGTTATTGGACTTCAAAGCTTCAACGTCAATCTCGACCGTCCATACTGTACTCATTGGCCAGTGCGACATGTACAAACTTCAGTGAGTAATGGAATTGTCAGATCTAGATGTCCAGTTTCAATGTTCTCGACAGGAATCACATTTCGACTTGTTTCGCATCAGGTCCGCACTCCCAAGCCGGAGGCACTTCACAACTTCTATCATGGACCATGATGAAAACGACCCGGTGCTCAACCTCTTAGATGTCGTACATGATGAACCTTTGGGCTCAGACGAGGAACAGATCCATAGTGGAAGATGAGGTCGACGTGACCGGCCCCCAATACGCCCCTTCCGCATTCTCTGATTCACCACACCTTGTGAAAAGCCACGACGCGGAGCTTGAGCATAGTCTGCGTACGACGCGCACTGCACCCCACCAAGTCCGCAGTGATAACTTCCTCTTCGCGTGCGTCACGTTCGGACATGATTTATTCGATGGATGCACGCACATTTAATCGATCGTATCCATAACAGGACTACCTAGCGCTGTGTATGCCAGTGCGAATTCAACTGCGCACAATTGCGATCACCACTTACGTCTCCCGATCCCAGGTGATTGTTTCTCAAAGGTAGATACTCACCTGTCACCAGAATTGCGAGACAGCAATGCCTCGATGATTACCTTCTTCGCGTTTCACTCAAGCGCACGATCTCAAGCGTGTCCGAAGAATGTACAAAACTAGATTGGATTCCTAAACTACAGACCATAGATACTCGTACCGTACATGTGTAAAAATATAGAAACATTGACAATGAGATAAATTATCGTACATGGAAGAGATAAAAGACATGAGGAAAACGTGTCCATGAGTCACGAAATAAAAGATGTGTCCATAAGTCACAAAAAGAGACGTACATAACGATAAAAGGAAAAAGAGAAGAAAAAATACATATAATCGAGAGACTGACATGGCGAAGGAAATGAAAGGGATAGATTGTGGGGATAGATTGTGAGACCGCGAGAAACGGCCTTCAACTCGGAAGGAGGCCGTTAATGTTGTTGCGGCGTGTCGGAGTTGGGTCGTAGGGGACCTCCGACATCGAAGAGTGCAGAGAGGGGCGCGGTGATATAGTTTGTGCGCGGCCTGTGGTGGCCTTCAACCTCGCGGGCAGTGAAGCCACAGTCGTAGGGGACGGCGAGGGAGGTGGTTGCATGTCTTCGGGATTCGGTCGTAGGGGACCTCGGGAGTAGTTGGACAGTAGTATTGTCGAAAGGATCAGTCTTGAGGAATTTCGTCCGAGTTTCCTAAAGTTGGCGTCTTCTGTGGTGTTCCTGGCGACAGCATGGAGGTAAGTCCGAGCTGCGCCATGGCGGCAGCCCAGCCGTCGACAGTGTTGGCCTGGTCGACGAGGAGTTCGGCGTGAAGTTGTTCAAGTTCACCTGTTTGAAATCAGCAAGGGAAGCAGCGCGTGATGAGAAATTGCTTACTGATGTAGTCGAGATGCTTGTTGTGAGTTGATATGATGCTGTCACGGACAGCGTCCAAGCGAGAGGCTCTAGATTCGATCTAAAAATACAATGAGTGTTATTAATAATTTAGTTGATAATGAGTGCGTACCTTGTGTTTACCCGGGGGGGAACTTTGATATCGCTTCTTTTCCGGATGTTTTAGCCGCGGGGTAGCAATCGAAGGTTCCGGTGTGCTGCCGAGCGGAAGAAGGTCCGAGGTGCCAGGGGGGTCGCCAGCGAAGTCGTCATCGTTGTCCACGAGGGTGATATCAGAATCGAGCGAGTGTCGTTTCGGCCTCTGCATTGGTGACAAGGGGAGTAGTGGTGTGGGTGTAGTTGCATTGGGTGTCGAAGTGCTGGATAAATTTGAGGAAAGTGAGATTGCAGCTGATAAATTGTTTTCGTTGATGGGAGGTGCTAAATCGGGCTTGTTGTCCTTTCCGAGGAGTATCCGGGCCGTCTTGTGGGAAGCTAAAAGTAGAACCGCCGTGTTGAAGCACAGTTCCGATGCGACGAGGCCCGCGGTTACGTGATCGGCTTCTTTGATTGCCTTGGTCGTGCGGTCCACCATAGTTCGCTTGAATAAGAATGCAGCCAGGCATCCGGAGAGGGAGACGTGAACAGCGCCGTGGTAGATAGTGGAAATGAAAGGCATGATGTAAGGCGAAGTCGTTAAGAAGAAGAGATAAGTCGTAAAGATGCAGTACGCGAAAATAGGACGGGCACTGAATGGGGATATCGTTAGCGGGCGTCTGATATTTATACTATGTCGGGAAACCTTAATTGCCGCAGAAAAACAAATGGGCACAGCTTTTCCGATAAACAAACTCGATCGCGACGCGTCTCTAGTCACGTGTATAAAAGAAATCAACTCCTGTGGGAAAATCCCCCCTTGAGCAGAACGATCCACCTTCTCTTCATTGATTATACATTTTAGTATACAACACAGTTTACCCAGTGACTACCGCCGCCAGGACTGCTACCATAAGTATCTCCTTTCCTTTAATACACAACAGCGGCTGATATACCATAACCCAAAACGCAGAAGAAAAACCAGGATATCGATGTTGACTAGCGACGTCGCCGACTTTATGCCAGCATTGAAGGCTACCAAGGCTTATCCAGTAAGGCCGCCCTGCGCGCCAGTGTCCGCAATTCGAGCCAAGGCATCAGCATTGGTGGTGCAGTTGACGAGAGGAAGGGCGGCGGCAAGTGAGACTCGATCCACATGATTGAGCTTTACGCAGACCTCCATGAGTAAGTGTTCCTCCAACCCCGCAAGATGATCTTTGTCTGATTTCTCTACAGTCTCTCTGGGCGAATGGAAGCCCAAAGGTTGTGCGAAACCCGCTGCATGGAAAGACGCCCGGAGATACTTCTACTGGGCCCTTCGTGCCCGCATCGCACGCTCCGACTTACTCGAGCAGATTGAAGACGGCAACCCCGAAATGAGCGCGCCGTGTTGTTGGATTCACTTATTCCTGCCAGTGACTTGTCCGACAATCGTGCTCTGGCCAAAGTCCTTGAGCAGCTCGACATATCGCCGGCCCTGTCGAAACTCAAGGCTGATCATCTACTCAGCCACTTTGCGGATTGCGGAGGTTGCAGAGGAAGACCGCAAGGCTTCCCTGGATGGTCTCGTTCGGATCATTGATAGTCTCCCGGATGATGCAATCCGCCATACAGAATTCCGTGCGCTTTGCCGGTAAGCTCGGTCCTCTGACACGATGATGCTTCAGGACCTCCTTCGTGCACTAGTTGGGGAAAACCTACTCTGATATTTCCTCGCTGTTTTCCATGGTTCCTACTACGGCTTTACAATAGAGTAGACTAGAAGAGAGGAATGATGAGCGGAGAAGGATGTACCGGTGGTCCAGAATCCAGAGCTACGTAGAGCCAGTCGAATTGAGCCCTCATTGTTCACTCAATACCCCGCATAGATCTCTGTGCGAGTCTGAAATGTTTTCCTAAATCACCAGTTGAACTGAAGAAAAAAACGACGAATGTCATAAACATCAAAGGTCCGACGCAATGTCGAAGGACCTATTATCGCATTTACATCTACAAGAGGCATGGTAATAATAACATAAAAAACTCAGTACCTAATCATACAATGACATCAGCATTCAACGTCGTTCAAAGGAACATCTGCAGTGGATGCCTGTCATATACATTTTGCCCTTCACTGAGCTCACCCAGATCAGGATAGAAGGGAACCATAGCATCCGAAGCGCCCAGGTACAGTGCGTTATAGACGCGCCAGTAGACCTAATAGCAAAATATACCAAATCAGTATGCGGTGTAGAATATGCACCTGGAAAGACGCACCTCGCGGACTTTGCGTGCAGGGTGGAATAGACCCTGAAGAACGTAGCTCAAGAGGACACCGTGACCAAGACATACCCGCATATTGCTTCGATCGCATCCATAACAGCGCCGATGACATGCGGCAACGTTTCAAAGCAGTTAGGCCAGACAAGATTCATCAAGCGCATCATGGAGTCTTCGCAGCCCATGAAAAACAGCTACAATATTTCTAGGGTCCTGTTATGGTCAGCGCATGGCGGACATGCTATCCTTGCAGCTGAATAAAATAGGTTCCCTATGTCAGGGACTCTCGAGTGGTGACCAGCCCAGAGCTATCACCGGGCGGCTTGAGACATCCGATCCTGGGCCACTCGAGAGGGAAGTGAGTCCGCAAGGACTCGGGGAGAGCATGAGCGGTGTTTGTCACGGTTTGTTTATTGCGTAGCTTAGTCAGCTGGTCCCCACGAACGACCTCCTCGAATTGGCCCCATAATCAGTATTAATGGTCCCGGTTCTCCACCACGACGTTGATCTGCACCTCGATCTCTTTCAAGTCGATATCAGAAGATACCCTGACAATGAATCGTGGTGCAAAACGATTTGTTGCTCGCCAATAGGCTTCGAGGTTATGCGATTTGATGGCCAGCTTTCGAAGTGTACCGCTCTGCACTGCACCGATCCGATGTCCAATCGTCGGGACCTTAGAAGATCCAATCATGAGTACGTGATTCAGACCGAGCCCTCATAGTAATTTAGTAAAACGACCGTCCACTTCCCATAGCAGATTTTTTAGATAGAGAGGTGATACGTGTTTAGTCCGCAGAACACTTTCAACCTCCTCCTCTTCCGTCTGCTCGGTTTCCTCTGTCAGCTCCTGCTCCTTCCCTTCCTGCTCCGCTTCTTCCTATTCAGGCTGCAACGAATCCTGACCCGATTCTCCATCTACACCAGAGGGCCGAGAAGACGGACCAGGCATAACCTCCTCTGAGTACACCTCCAGACAGAAAACAAGGTCCACCAAGCCCTCTTCCTCCCATGCTTCTTCATCGACCTCGAAGGCGGAGTCGTCCTTGAAATACGAGAGCGGTGACAAGCTAAGGTTGCAGGTCGTTCGGAAGCGCAGGGATGAGAGTGGACGGTCTTGAACAAACCAACGCAGGCAGAGGCTCATTTGCTTGGCGTCGATATTCGGGTAACGGTATATGCACGAAGCCGGCTTCAACTATCTCTGACATGGTGAATGTCCGTTGGCAGCAGGGTGTTTCAGAGACATGGAGCTTTTCCCAAGATCGCATTATCTAGCGAATGACATTCAATGGTCCGTGAGACAGATCTCGGGTGAGGATGATCAACGCATGCGTTGAGAGCTCGTTGGTGGACGTTAATCGTTCTTCTCTGGTGCAACACGAAGCAGAGGTCTGTGCATAATTCAAGAGAGAATAATAGCACCCACGTGCACTTCATTGAGAAAAGGCAGCGGTGTTGAAATGGAACACATACAAAAGAAAAATTACTTCATATAAGTACTATCAGCCGGATTCAATTCGAGAGCCGAGACGTACCGACTGCAATACATTTTGTAGAGATGTAAGTTGGACCCCATGGCTTCAGTGTGTTATACATCGCAGACGGGGATGACGAGGCGTGTGGAATGAAAAAGGACAGTTTTAAACGTAGCAGAAAGGCGTATGATCTGGTAGAAGCACTCAAGAAATCATCATAGGGGACGAGGAAATCGTAGATTAATGACGACCATCCGTGTATTCAGGAGACAGACAACAAATGAAGAGCCAGAAGCGAGTCCAGCGTCCAGCGTGTCTTATCGTTGCATGAGGGCGCAAATTTGTTGACGTTGAAGCTGTGGTTGTATCACCGACAGCATGTGTGGTAGACGAATTGGAGACAGGTGCCTGTGGTTGCGAAGATGGCTGTGTCTGAGTCGCACCATTGGATTGCTGCGTGGCATTGGGCTTGGGAGGCCGTGAACCCGTTTTCCGTTTCTCTCTCGCTGAAGCATTCCTCTGCACAATGTCAGGTCGAATGGAACATTTGGGAGGAAGAGAAAACTTACACGTTTTCCCTTTGCATACGGGACCTCGACAACTGCTGGGTTGCGCCCGTGCAACTCCATGCCTTCACCACTCTGTCCACGCCGTTTCAAAAGGTTTTGAGCCCAGTCGAAAGGAGTGGACGGTGAGGTATCATGTGCATCAGAGGGGCTGCGGTGGAATAAGCGGCCAAAAAGTGTGCTTCCTTGCGGTGCTGAGGCGTGGAGGCGGCTTCGTGGAGAGAACTGAGACCACGGAGGTCAGGATAAAACTCGAAGTGATACTAACGACGTACATGAGAATGATCTGGTGGGACATCAAAAAAGCCCGGGGGTACCCGATGGGCAGGTAGACGTCGTTGGGCGTGATGTCGTGTAGCATTGTTCTAGAGTGTACAGGTTTGAACTCGATGAAATATGTTTATGAAGACGGTGTCACGTACACGGAGTGCCGACTTGTTTGCCTGGCAGAGCGCGTTCAGTGATGAGGATGTAATGAATGCCTGTCGACTCACCTTTGGATCCAACAGAAGCTCGTTGAGGCCAGCTTCTCTGACAATAGTAGCAACATCCCATGAGTACGCGTTCTTGTCATCGCAGCCAGTTGTTAGTAGTTTTCCATCCGCGGAAAACGACACGCAGTTAACATCATCTGGATGCTGGAATGGAGAACTGATGGGCTCGCCGTTGTCGAGGTTCCACAATCGCGCTGTTTTATCGAACGATGCACTTGCGAGGATGCGGCTATTTGGAGATATTGCAATGCCATAGACAGGCCGAGTGTGCGCATCGAGAACTGCGATCTGCTTCCATGATTTTGTATTCCATGTCCGAATCGAGTTATCGTATGACCCGGAGATGAGTGTTTTTCCATCCGCGGTCCAAGCCAGGCACGACACTGAATGTTTGTGTCCTTTGAGAGTTGCGACAAGCTCGCCTGTCTTTGCGTCCCAGATTTTAATTGAGCACCCGTCATCATCTCGCCAATCATATCCACCAGTTGCAATCCTGGTGGTGCCTGGCGAATAGATGGCTGCGTTCATTCGTAGATGCCCTGTGTTGATTGGCCCGGGTTCCAGAATTGTCTCTCCGCTCTCCACATCCCACTGCCTCACTGTCCCATCTCCAGATCCACTCAGTACTCGTTGACCATCTCGACTCCAACAGACAGACCACACTGCCCTTGTGTGCCCCGTCCATTTTGCGATGACCTTGCCTGTCTCGATGCTCCACAACCTCACTCCACCATCGCCACTCCCGCTAACCACTTTCTTCCCATCCGGAGACAACGCTATACTGAGCTCTCCACTGTCTCCGTCCCGCCAGTCCTCTCCTATCTGTTTCCCGCTCTCCAAGTTCCATACCCGCAGTGAGCTATTTTCTGAACAAGTAATGATCCGCTGTCCGTCAAGTAGGTGTATGGCCCCGCGGACCCTGGTGTGTCCTTCAAATTTCTGGCGAGGCGTTATTGCTGATGTCTCTTTCTTTTTAGTGGTGGGTGAAGACATATTCCAAAATTTCAACTATCGAGTGCAGCGCCGTCTCAGCTTCCACCCACCAAATTCAAAATTCATTACTCACCGAGGACAACAGCGACGGGTGGTTAGTAGGGAATAATGGGCGTTTCGGTCAAGTCAGAGTTGAGTTCACCACTTCTTGTTACATTTGACATGCTGTATCCTCGTGTTCGCTTCACAGCTTATATATACAGCATAGGCTGTGCAGTTGAAGCGCCCAAGAATCCATTTCCCACTCCGGTCTTCCATGGCGCAGAGAGTGATATTCTGTAGCTTCAACGAGACTTCAATGTTTATTGTCGCTGGACTGTTAAACATGCCTCAAAGGCGCAAGACTTTCGGTACCTGATAAGCAGTATCAGCTTGCCAATTGGTGTATTCGGTATGTCGAAATCATCTTTGCCTTCTCTCCTTTCCTTTCCCCTCCAAATCACAGGACAGATCCTGCATACTTTTATGATGCGATCATTCTTTTCAGAGTTCAGCGCCAACTATATCGGCCAATAGGAAGAAATTTCATGACCTTGTGACACGGATACATCGAACCCTCATCATTGCACCAACCAACCACAGGTAAGCCAGTCCTTGCATTCGCACATTTCTTATCTCCATCTCATTATTTTGATTATGAAAATCGGTTCTCAGACAATCTTCCAATCCAGCGTCTCCCCGGGCTCTGTCTCAACACAACTAGCGACGCCTGTCTCTACCGTGGATCCGGCAGAAGTGCCTGACGGAACCACTATCTTTGGACAAGTAGAAATCCTGTTCATTCCTCCCGATCAGCGACAGCCCTGTTTCAGATGATACAATTGTAGTCGTGGGGTCAGGCCTGGCAGAAGAAGCACAAATGAATCAAGTCCACAGTTTTAAGCAAACCCCAAACTGGAGATCGGGACGACACGGGCGAGGACGAGGCATTCAATTACGCGACAGTACCGAACCTGCTCGATGATGTCTCACCAGCCCCTGAGCAGCTCAACACGAAGAAGAAAAAGAAGCAGAAAGCCAAGGGTATGTGATCGCTTGTTTTCTCAATCTCCTTTGTTGCAATCCTCCAGCATCCCACACCCCTTTTTTCGCCGCCATGTCGCTTTATTGACAGATTATCATCTGTCCCCTTCGTTCTTTGTCCTTCGGTCGAAACGTGGTATGCTTACGCTTACCGGACTGGTGACAATTTCCAGGATGATCTTGGTCTGATTTCTCTACAGCCGCTCTGGGCGAATGGAAGCCAAAGGTGGTGCGAAACCCGCTGTATGTAAAGACGCCCGGAGATACTTCTACTGGGCCCTTCGTGCCCGCATCGCACGCTCCGACTTTCTCGAGCAGATTGAAGACGGCAACCCCGAGATGGAGTCCGAGGAGCGCGCCGTGTTGTTGGATTCACTTATCCCTGTCCGACAATCGTGCTCTGGCCAAAGTCCTCGAGCAGCTCGACATATCGCCGGCCCTGTCGAAACTCAAGGCTGATCATCTACTCAGCCACTTTGCGGAGGTTGCAGAGGACGACCGCAAGGCTTCCCTGGATGGTCTCGTTCGGATCATTGATAGTCTCTCGGGTGATGAGAAGATGTCCTTGCGATCCGCCATACAGAATTCCGTGCGCTTTGCTGGTAAGCTTGGTTCCCTTGTCCTGTCGGGTTGACTCTGGACCTCCTTCGTACTATAATCAGAGAAAACCTACTCTGATACTTCCTCGCCCTTTTCTATGATCCCTACTACGGCTTTACAATACTCTCGTTATTCACACTGATTAGACTTGGCACATAATGCCTCGCATAGATCTCTGCATAGGTCTGAAATGTTTTCCTGAATGACCAGTTGAACTGAAGAAAAAAACGACGAATGTCATAAACATCAGAGGTCCGACGCAAAGTCGAAGGACCTATTATTGCATTTACATCTACAAGAGGCATGGTAATAATAACATAAAAAACTCAGTACCTAATCATACAATGACATCAGCATTCAACGTCGTTCAAAGGAACATCTGCAGTGGATGCCTGTCATATACATTTTGCCCTTCACTGAGCTCGCCCAGATCAGGATAGAAGGGAACCATAGCATCCGAAGCGCCCAGGTACAGTGCGTTATAGACGCGCCAGTAGACCTAATAGCAAAGAATACCAAATTAGTACGCAGTGTAGAATATGCACCTGGAAAGACGCACCTCGCGGACTTTGCGTGCAGGGTGGAATAGACCCTGAAGAACGTAGCTCAAGAGGACACCGGGACCAAGACATACCCGCATTGCTTCGATCGCATCCATAACAGCGCCGATGACATGCGGCGACGTTTCAAAGCAGTTAGGCCAGACAAGATTCATCAAGTGCATCATGGAGTCTTCGCAGCCCATGCCCGCAACACCGAGTGCGATGTGTTTCACGATGACGCTAGCAGTTTGACGGTGAACAAGGTCGCGGTCTGTGAGAGCATCTTCAAGCATGGTGACCACGGAGTCGCAGTAGTACGCCGACTGGGGACCAATATATTCGAAGACGAATGTGAGGGCTTTCAGACAACCGGTGCGCACATTGAGTTCTGCTGTTCGGTATTCGTTCAAGATGGCAGGGATACATGTGAAGGGACCACATGTCTCAGCGACGATGGCGATGGCGACGGTGCTGCAAACACGACTTTGACGTTCTTGCACGCGCAAGTTGGTGAGGAGAACCGATAGGACATCCTGAGGACCCAAGGACTTCGCAATGTATCCGAAGGAGTTGACAGCAGCACGTCGAATACCTTTCTTGTGCGCCTTCAATAAATCCAATAGCTCGAAACAAATACGCATCCACTCTCGCGCCGGTACGAATTCTGCCCCACGATCGGCTGGTGGAAGATTAAGTCAGCGAACAATACAATGAACACATCGCATGAGCACTCACCAATACGACCAATCAAGTTGATAGACGCCTCCTGCACCTTCTCATGACGATTACGGAGGATAGGCGTCATTCGGGGCACTGATAACAATCATTAGCAGCGAACGTTACGACATAATAACAGCAACTCACAAAGATCCTTCACCGGCGGATTCATCTGCGTCATACCAACAACGTTAGCGATTGCTCCCTCTGCAGCAATGATACTACCGAGAGTGTCGGGATATTCTTCACCAAGCTGCTCAAATAGAACCAGGCCCAGCTTGCTGAGAAGTTGGTCTTCCCCGCACTGTTTGATTACGACAGCCAACCTGGTCGTGAGATCTGCAGCCTGTTGCCGAACCTTGGCGCTCTTGTTGTTGAGTCGCCAAAGAACGGTAGAAACTATCTGGGTGAGATAGGGCTTGACACGAATGCCAAGAGCGTTGACGACTGTGCCGAAACCATCGAGCATGACCTGATCCTCTGTGGTCTGCTCCTGGAAGGAGTAGATGATGCCGTCGACGAGACGAACTTCGAGCCGCTCATCGATATCTGAAGCACCGAGCATGGCGACGACTTTCGTAATCGTCTCCATAACCATCTTCCGGTAAGGCTCCGCTTCGTCCTTCAACTCATTCACAACTCTGCCAACGATCTCAGACACCCCAGCCTTTTGCGCAAGCTCGACAGTTGTCTCCACAACCTGTCGGTAATTCCGCCTATCAAGCGCCATGCGGCGAACCCAGAACGCCCTGAAGAAGTCGGGTAGGATGTCTTGCTTGATATATTGAGGCGTGACACCCTCAGTGGCTGCACATTGCTTGACCACCTTGAGGACGATCTTCTTCATCTCTTCATCAGAGGTTTGGAATTCACGAATGAGAATGACCGTGACTTCCTTAGTGTAGTAGGATGCGTACTCGGGGTCCATGAGGGGAATAATGAAGCCGATAGCCTTCAAGAAGGCAGCAAGACCCTTGCCGCGATGCAGACGAATACCAAGCCAGAGAGGCTTCAGAACCTCATCGAAGGACTCGATACCGTAGGGCGCGGCTGCTTCAGCAAGGGCGGCAAGCCCGAGTGCAGTCATGGTCCGCACTTTCTGCTGCTCATCCTGCAGACCGTGCGCAATGCAGGCCACGAGATTACGAAGATGGGGTAAGACGGCGCAGCCCATCATGATAGCGATCTGTTGCACGATACGGATACCGGTATGACGCGCCTGCCATGACTTCTTACTGCGACATACGGCCTTCAGGAACGGCAGGAGGGAGGGGATACCGAGCGCGGAAGCAACGACAGAGAATGCGCGAGCGGTAGTATTACGGACGTACTCGTCCGCATGGTCAATGTCAGGACGCATAGTGGAAATCATGTGTGCAAGACCGGCAGCTTTGGAAAGGTTGGATATGATCTCGCGACCCTCCACACGAGCGTAGTAATCCTCATCAATGAGGAGTGGCTCAATGACAACGAGAATTTTGTGAACGTACGGACGAACGAGGTCATCGAGCTTGTAGAGGACACGGTCAATGACCTTCACGAGTAGGTGGCGCTCCTGATCCTCGAGAGTACGCTCCATGAGCAAGGGAAGGATCTTATCAAAAAGAGGACCAGCACCGAACTCGCGAGCCTTGTCAGTGATTTGACGGAGGGCAGTTTTTCGTACAGGAGGAGTACCGTTCTTGATCTTCAAAAGTAAACGCATGATTTTGCGTTCCTTCATCTCATCCACCGACAGCTCCGTTTCGTCTTCCTCCTTTAGAATCTTGGCGAAGTACTGAGCATCCTCGGCCTTGAAAAATGCAAGACTGCCGACGCCAGGAATTTCGGTGGGAAGTTCAGGCGCGAGGCCGGCGGCAGCAGCCACCGCTGCGGCGTCTGAGCCTTCCTGGATATGGAAGCCGCCTACTTCTGTGACCGATGGACCCATAAGCTTGCGAGGAGCTACCATCGGTGCATATCCAGGAGGAGGAGTAACGATAGCATACCCAGAGGCCGGTAAGATAGCATCCAACTCCTCATCACTGAGATAGCGATTATGCTTATCCTCCTGCATGATACCCGGCGCATTCATAATGATCTGCGTCATTGGTGCTTCTGGAATGACAGCAGCTTGATCCCAACGAGATTTCTTAGGTGTCTCACCAACAGCTCCGCCCTCTGCCGGAGTAGCGTCCCAGCGAGAACGACGCTTTTTCGGCGCAGAGGCTTCCAGGGCTTCTTTCGACCATTCGTTCTTATCAGTCCTATTAGGGTCGACATTCTCATCCGCAGGCTCAGGAACGTCCCATCTCCGTTTGCGTTTAGTCCCAGAAGTGGCTTCGCGAGAGGTTGCAAGCTCCTTTGCAGCGGCAAGCTCCATGGCGACATCCTCGAGCTCGGCACGAGGAGGGGTCTTGTCGAGGTCCATTTTCATCTTTCCCTCTTCTCTCTCCTGCCTCTCTTTCTCTTCAATCGCGCGCCTGACTCTTGCTTCCTCCTGCTCCAGCCTAGCCAGTCTCATCGCCTCTTTGTATCCCCCTTCCACCTCCGTGCCATCTTCAACAGATTTGAATGCATCTGCGCTCTCCTGCGCAACCCGACTGAAGCGACGGTTGTGGTAGTCAGACTGCCGTGCTGCAATTTGACGTTTTGAGGCTGTTTCTGCGAAAGGGTCGATATTTTCTTCTTCTGCAAGATCTGCAAACTCCTGTAATATTTCCTTGGGTGCGGTAAACGAGTCGACGAGTCTTGGAGAGTTGGGGGCCGACATGGAGAGGGTGATGGTGGTGGTGCAGAACAAAGTCGTGAACATCATGACCAACGGTGAGCTGAGTCTGAATAATGCCAGGTACAAGCAAGACCAAACAAGTAACCTTGAACCTTGAAGTTAGGACTACGAGTCGTCCCCGGATCCTTACATGCAATGCATAGATTGTTTTTCGTGCCAGAGCTACTCATTATAATTTGCGAACAACTGTATGACGAAGATGATCTCCCAAACGCTTCCAAAGAGGCTCTAGCACGTCTTTCCAGAACCTGCAAGGCCTTTCATGTTGTGGCATTGAATGCTCTCTGGTCAAACCTCGATGGTGTTGCGCCCCTAGTACAGTGCCTGCCTGCAGAAGTCACTCGATTTTATTGGGACCTGGTACGTCGTTTTTATATACTTTAGCATTTAACACGCAGAGTGCTTATCATCTCCTCAGCCTCTAGGTACAGCAAAGGTTGGTATAGCGCGGACACCTCAAAAAGCAGAATGGGACATCATTCAAGGCTATGCTAGACGTGTCCAACATCTGCGTGTATCAAACCCCCGTCGATTTGTGGAACTATCCGTCATTTTTACACTTTCCCGTCCACCTACCACGTCCCCACTGTTCCCGAATCTACGTTTGCTCGTCTGGAATGACAACAGACCTCAAACAATGGGCTTCTTACGAACTCTATGTGGACCCCTTCTGACATCCCTCACGTTTGATTGCTCGACTGCTCGGTGGGATATAGTTGCATTTGCAAGATTGATTAGTGTGCCCGCCATTTGCCCTGCTGTCAAAGTTGTCGCCCTTCCCTCCAGCACTCGTTATCCCAAAATTCCAGACATGCTTCTCGCATGGAGCCACCTCGAGGAGGTCACATGTGGTGAAATCGATGCAGACATATTTTGTCATCTCGTCAAACAAACCTGCTTGCGAAAACTTGCATTCAAGTTGTCACAATCCATCTCTCAAAGTCTTACAGACAGCCCTCCATTTCCGCAAGCTTTTTCGCGCGTCCGTGAACTGGAAGTTCATGCACCTGACCTATCTTCTTTGATCGAGTTCATGCAGAAACTGCAGATACGTCCCACATCTGTTCGCGCTCAAGTGCATGCTGGTCCAACTCCTTCTGACATGAGAGCATTTATCGCCTTTTTCACGGAGCATTACGTTGGCGTCAAGCTGCAGAATGTCTCATTAAAGAGTCTGCCTTGTAAACGAATGCCCTCTCTGGCCCAACCTCCGCCGCTGCCAGTTGATGGACGGTCGTACCACACTGGCATCCATGGCAATGATCTCATGCCTCTCACCCAGTTCGGAAGCATTGACACCCTAACAATTGACGTGAATTGCAGTATACATCTTGCGGACGAAGACCTGGCGTCTTTTGCGTCTGCATGGCCTCGCCTTCGGACCTTTAGTATCAACAAAACGCATGGTTGGGTCCTAAAATCTGACATCACCCAGATTGGCTTGCTCGAGATGCTTCAACGTTGCCCCGAACTCCAGACTCTTTGTATTGCAATCAATACCGACACATTCACAGAGGTGCCTTTAGAACGCCCAGGAGGAGGAATCCAAAACAGGAATATCCGGACACTGGCTTTCGCAGACTCAGCCATCCAACCTCACGCAACCACCGTAGTCGCTGCATTCCTGTCCGATGTTTTCCCCAGACTCAATGAGGTAACAGCTTGGAAGTCGGATCAAATGCGCACCCGACGGGACGCAAATGGCGTGGACCCTAGTACGGCGTACGCCATTCGTTGGGAAGGTGTTTCTCAAAATGCCAAGGGAATGATCAGAATTCGACAGCAGGAAAGGAGGTGGCGCTGAAACGAACAAACCAGGTGCGATTTATGCTTAAGGATTTGATTCCATGGGGTTTGACTGATTTGGCCGTCATCAGTGGCCTGATTCTTAAATAAATGACCTATGACTTTCTCAGTCCGAGGTTCAGGAATTTCTGGGAAAACGGTCGGCCAAGTCTTATTTACTTAAGGTGCAGTTACGGTAGACTCGAACTATGACTCTGATGTTTTGCCCGGTATGAATGAATGTGCAAACCAATATGGCGATTTCAAGGAAGGTTCGCCATGCGACAAACAATCATTGAATTCGGCTGAGTCGATCGATTCAGTGTTCAAACCTCAGAATGATCAATCCTAATCAATCCAGGATGGATATATTTTAACTGTGATCAGCGGATTTGGGCATTCATTGAATCTGGGGGCGCAAATGGATGTGAGAGACTGAGAGTCGGAGGGACATTGGCACATACATATATTAGACCTTAACAAACATCCTTCAATACCATTCCTTACACGAGAAACCCTTTCCCCTCCAAGTCTACTACAGTACTACACAATTACTGACACATTTTCGAGCCTTGCCCATCTGTTGATCGCGTAGGTTCAATATCGGTGCGCGTCTGAGACGGAAATGGATTCAGAAGGAGCCGATGGCAACTTTCAATACGTGTCGCATTCGCCACCACAACACGCGCGAATGCACAGACTTTTCCTTATCCAAGAGCTTCTCTATATCATATGTGAACATGTGCGGAATGACCACACCAGCAGTATTGTCGCAGGAAGAACTCTTGCTTCTCTCGCTAGAACCTCCACGGTCTTCCATCATGTGGCCACCAGTGCTTTATGGTCGCGATTGGACGGACTCGCTCCATTACTACGATCATTTGATCTCCATTTTGCCTCACTGGATGCCGCGGTACGTTTTTTGCCCTCGATGTGTGATGTGACAGGTGATCCAAACTTCGAGAATTTATGTAGGCAAGGCCACAACCCGCGTTAACGCTTCGGAGGCCACTCCGAATAGCAGAATGGGAGAAACTTCGCAGCCTTGCACATCGTGTAGAGCACTTGTGCGTCCATGACCCTACTCGGCCACTAGACGTCTCAACCGTTTGCTATCTTTCCCACCCTCCAACAACGTCACCTTTGTTTCCGAGATTGAAGTCAATCCTCTGGAATGACGATAGAGCAGAGACCTTCTCGTTCATTCGCACGCTTTCTGGGCCCACAATTACTTCCCTGGCAATACGCATTTCAAATGATAGTCGTACATGGCGTGTACTCGAGCTTGGCATATTGGCTTCGCTGCCCTACCTTTTCCCCAACGTTACAGAAGTGACCCTGCCCACCAACGCTCTTTCCAATGCCTTTCGCACTATGTCAGAGGCCCTTTGCGCGTGGAAAAATCTCGCAGAGATCAAATGTGGGGCAATTGAGCTCACTGCACTTGCGCATCTAGCCAAACAACCAGCTCTTCGCAAGCTTTCATTCAATATGCTCAACAACCCGGCACTCGGAATATCTTTGCCTTCAGGGGCATTTTCATGTGTCCGCGATTTCGAGATTCACGCAGCGAATCTGTCTTTCCTAGAAACATTCATTAACAGCGTTGAAGGATCGTCCGCTTCTCTGCACGTGCTCGTGGACACCAACCCGCCATTTACTAGTATCACTTCATTTTTTACTGCTCTCAGGCGGTTCACGAATACTCAGTTGCAAGATCTCAGCCTACGATGGATGACCCCCGCCAAGTCCTCGGGTAATGGCAATGTATCCACAGCAATTATATCCACAGATGCATGTACTCGCTCATCCACAGGCCCCACATGTAGGAACTTATGTGACACCTCCCATTAATATGATGGGTCATCCGTTTCATGTACATTTGGGCTTCCAGCATCCGCTTCCCCCGAATGGAACTCACGTTTTGCCTTTGGGCGGCGTTTCAACTGTCATATCACCTCCTACAAGTCAAACTCTCACTTCGCGCGACTTTATGCCCCTTGCCTGCTTTGGAAACCTAGGCAGAATAGACATCAATGTCGATCACAATATACACCTGGATGATGACAGCCTCGGGTTGCTAGTCTCTGCATGGCCCCACCTCTATTCCTTCTCCCTCAATGACACTGCTGGATGGCGCGTCAAGTCTGGCATCACTCAGATAGGCCTTATCGCGATGATTGAGTGTTGCCCCAATCTCGAGAAGCTTTGCATCGCTTTGAACACGGATGCATTCATAGAGGTGCCATCAGACCGGGAAGGGATAGAGAACACAGCCATGCAAACTCTAGGTCTCGCTGATTCCCTTATCGAGGCGCGCGCCACCGTAGCAGTCGCAGCGTTTCTCTCCGACATCTTCCCGAACCTCACCGCCATCGTCGCATGGGATTCGGCGGCAATGAGTCGGCGCCTCAACGCAGGGATATATGCTGAGCGGTGGATGCATGTCTCTGAGCAGGTGCGCGGGATGAACAGGGTCCGGGCGCAGGAAAGGAGATGGTGGTAGAGTGACGATGATGGCGAAAGTGAGGCATGTGCTTTATCTCAGGTTTGACATGTAGTATTCCACTTGAACGCGTCGACTGATATGCCAGACGATATTGTCCTTACGAAATTCGTGGGTAGTACCTAAAGGTGTCTGCCTCACAGTGATGAGTGAATGACACCCAGGGGGTACATATGTCAATGAAGCTGAGGCCAAAGCTCTCCATTGAGCTGGGTCATCTGACGGTTTACCTTAGACTACTACGGCACGTATCTGCATGAACATCAAACAACATTCGAAGAAGCTCAGACGCACGCAAGGCTCGCTCGACACGAATTCAATAGGAAATCAAGGACTGTTCGTGAATAGATACCCTGGTAGTAAGGACATATGATTCGCGGTTATCATCCTGAACGAGAGTGGTGAAAATGCCAGTGTCGATAGATTTGTGCAGGTTAAGCATAAGTCGAGATACGAGAGTCACGGACATGCTGGGGGCAATGTGAAAATCAATTCGTCTTCATCGCAACAACTACTTACCAGCTGGTAAATGAGGCCAGAGTGGTTTTGCTGATATCCTGGCCAGTCGTCAGGAAATAGTTACAATATGTGGGTGTGTGCTCACTGAACCAAACTGAACCAAGGTGTGAGCGTGCGACTCCACCGATATTTAATTCATTGACTCACGTAGAACGCCAGGATGTTTGGTATATTAGATAGTGACATCACTCTGAAGGAATACGGATCAGATTCACTCGAATCACATTTCACTGGCAACCTCACGCAAAATACATCGCACCTGCGTTCGCTTGGATCAGTAGTTGCGATCCTAATGCAACGGAAATTTACCATCTTGGAATATGATATCAATAATGTTTCTCCTGCACATAAGCAGAGACGGTGACCGCAGCAATCCTTTAGTTTTGAAAATCCTGGACACTGTGAGGATAAAGATAAGTGATTCGTAGGCAAATAGGGCCACCCAGGCCAGGCCAGGACCTGCAAACGGAAAAGTCATGGTATCATGTTCCATGCAAATTTGACCCAGAATTCACTAACTGGCGGGTCTGCGACAATGTTTGAGCAGGCGCGCGGAACAGTGCAGAAGATGGCATACGTCGTTGCATCATATGATTCATAGCAATCAACTCCTGGCACGATGATCATAATGCTTGAATGATTTCCAAACATTCCCGCCTACAAACTATCAGTACTCCCAGAGTATAGCATTCTATGTAAACACGTACAGAAGCTACTCCCGCAAGAGTGATGACGGCGACGACCATCCAAGCCAGCAGGCGCTTGCTACGGCCGTAGAGAGCATACGTGCGAAGTGTCAATATGACTGGAAATTTCAGTACACGCAGTTCTCGCCGTATGAATCAACTCACAGCAAACAATGAATTGTTGGAAAAAAATAAGCAGTTCTCTGGATATCCAATATTTCGCACAGCTAGAATTTTTTGAGCAAAACATCAAAGATTGAAGAACCAAAGTTGAAACCTCTGTAGAAATAAGTTGTGAGCCTGCAAGTTAGATACACGCACAACGAAATCATATAACCTCATCTGAAACGGGTAGGAAATTAATCAATAAGGAATAGATATTGCTGAGCAGAGCGACATAGCGATTGATCAGAAATAACATTGCAGATAGTCCTTTCGGACGACACCAAATGAAAGTGATTTCTTGTGTGAGGGTCGCCATATGATCATACATTAAGATACCTGGAATATATTGTCATTATCCTGAGCGCAAAGACAAAATTTGGCCTAGTACTGTTTGCCACGAGAACGGCGTACGAGTGCATTAAACTGGGAATATTGAATCGCCATCAGAACATGCAGTCACTGAATCCATACGTATATCACTCACATTTGCTGTGTTTCAGTAGTCTGATTCTCCATTACAACGAGGCAAAACACAACGAAGGAAGGGCTAGGAAGGGTATCGATGAGAGAATGCTGGCGCGATAGGTGCTACGTATACAAGTATGCAAGGAAAACACAGTCACACACGGTTAACGTCACGAAGCAGTTGGTGAGTCCAGAGCGTATGATGCTGTGCATGAATTTTCCCTGGCACATCAGACTGTCAGTGTAGCGCATGGATATGGATGATCTTTGATCCAAGAATTAAGCTGTTCCTTACGACAAGGCTATTTCTGGCATTCTGCTGGAACACAGTGATCAATCGATGACATTTCCAGTGCATTTCGTGTAAACTTGTAACGATCTGAACAGGAGGAAGCTCCAAGGACCTCCAGGGACCCATGAGAATTTAATCCACGATAACACGGCTCGATTTGCGACCATAACTTGAAATTGGACCCCAGAAGAATGATAGGGGCCCGAGAAACGTTGAGCCGTGGATGAGATTCAAGACAGATCAGATTTCTCGCACATCAATGTGATGATACGGGGAGGTCGTTGCAAGGTCGACCCTACACGAAAAAGTCTATATTTAAACAGATTTAAACACGGGCTATTCCTTTGTTCCGTCAGACAGACGCTCCACTCGCTGGATTCGGCTTCACCAAACTGCAAGCAGTCCGGCAATGCGCGAACCCAAACGTCCTCGAGATCACCACAAGCGGAAATCATATTCTCTGTCGAACGAGTGAGCGCTAGTGTCATCCAGCGGAATTGAAGGATGTGGCATGTGTTAACATGCGAGACTCGAGTTAGTTTCTATAAAATAGATCCTAGCTGAGTATGTTCTAAAGAACAACAAAAGTTCGACAGCAACTTTATATAGTTTCTGTTGATGGTCCGTGCGTGGAAAATCTGTGTGCGACAAGCAAAGAATCGGCATTTACCGGAACGACTGGACCGTTCTCCTTTCATGGGAGAGCGACGAGCAGATTTAGTGCAGAGTACAACTTCCAACATTTAAGGTGCTCGTTCAGTGTCGGAATTGACTCTGAAGCCGATTCAAGGGCAGCTTCCAGCAGGTCTCGGGCCCCCGCATGTTCTGACGAAGAGTCCGATACTACACATGCTCTCCCAGGCCAAGTTACCCACCCCATGTCGCAGAGGATATAGTCTCACCCAAACCTTACAAGATTTTACTACCCAGCATCCGATATTCCAGTGCCTTCACCCATACCATCCTCGCTATAAATATTGATTCCCATCCGGAGAATAAGTAGCCAAACACCCCTTTCGCATCGCCGAACTTACAGTTACACTCCCTGAATCCAGAACATCTAGTCTGCAAATTAGAATACTATTCCCATTCTCTCTCGGCACCTGGCCAACAACCCTTTGTTCAAAACTAGAGCCACTTGATGGTCATGATGCTGGGTCGACCCGTGGGACCTCGATAAAGATGATCAGGCAGACGGCTTGACGCCATGGGATGGGCCGCGGCAGTGCTATGAGGTTTTTGACTTACGCTAAATGTCGATCATGAGAGATGTTATACTCACCCCTGCTTTCGTTCTGTATTTTGCATGGATTACTTTTTGGTGAGATTTTGCATTTACATGGGACTCATGGTTAGTACTGAGATGACTCGGACCGACCATCCCTTCTCCACTTTTTCGATGTCAAGTTAAAGACCTACTTTACTCACAAGGCAGATAATATTTGCCAGCATAAGCCATTGCACATCAGACGAAAACACCAGACTACTACTCACGATGGCGTATATAACCATCGACATCTGCGTGTGTCTGTATCAAAGGCATTCGCTGGTGACAGTTGTGGGCCGATCCAACCTCGTCGCAGTGACAAGCAGGGGGGTTGCCATAGTCAGACCATTCAAGAAGGGAGACAGTCATTCTTTCTTGATAATGGCGCTGCGATATCGGTCACCAACAAAAGGATTTGAAAAAAACCTTCGCTACCATGGCGAGCCACTCCATCATGGTCTGACTAAAGATAAGCAGCACCGCTCACTCTTTTCGTCTGCCGTCGTAGCCGTCTGTTTCAGTTTCCGGAGCCAGTTGTTTCATATAGACCGAGGTGTATATGAAGAAAGAATAACTGTCTGCCTTCATCAAGATCCGACTACGTGATACTAAAGATAAGCGGCACTGCTGACTCTTTTCGTTTGTTTCAGTTTGGAGCCGGTATGGCGCCCAGGGAGCATAAAATCCGAACGTTCGCTAACGGGAGAACCATATAATTTTCTCTCTCTTCATATCTACCCCAAAATGACGGAATTCACTGAACCCGAGGCCAAGCTTGAAGCTCTCTTGGGCATCATCAACTCCTCTGCACGCCAAGCAATCGCGGAATACAAGAAAACTGGACACGGGGTGCCTAGTGCAGACGCAACCACCTTCCACCCCCTCGACTTGGCGACAGATACGCTCGCCCTCAAGAAGGCCACTAGGCTGCTCGAGGGTGCATACCACCAGCTGAGCGCAATACTGGCTCCTCCCCAACACACGGTGATGAACGTGAGTGCTGATCGCAGATGATAACTCTAGTACTCATTTACTCAGTTCGTTTTTAATTACAATTGGGCATGTACGAACGTTGCCTTGCGAGCACACATTGCGGATGTTCTGGAACAACACCCGGAAGGTCTTAGCGTGGATAGGATTGCTGATGCAGTCGGCCTTGACGAGAGCAAGACTGCACGCATCTTACGAGCGTTATCCCTCATGGGTTGCTTTAAAGAAGGTAAGATGCATACTGTTGACGGAGAATTATATCTGAAGCCTTGCGGCAACATGTTCAACAGTCAAACGAGACGTCTTCGCAAACACCCGACTGTCCCTCATACTCAAGTCAGCAAACAACACTGGGTGTTACGCACATTATCATTCCCGGGACGTCTCCAAATATGCCGGAGTTCTCTATGAGACTATGATTGACGAAGAATTTTCAAGATCCCATGAGGTTGACAAAGCACCTCGAGTATTTGCCTGCAGGAAAGAGGGTATGGAGGAGAGTTTCTGGGAAATGATGAAAAATGACGTGAGCTTTCTACCACACTCCCGTTCCCTGCCTTTGACACATTTTCTAGGATGAGAGACGCGATGTATGTGCGGAGTCATCTATACATGATTGCCGGCTCATATTCATGTATAGATATTTCACAGAGGCTTGATTGGCCACAGCGAGATGATGGGCACTTCTTCAGTTCTGCATCGTAAGCCATCACCGTTTTTAATCGTCAACATGATTTTAAAGCAGCTCTATTAGAATACAATTGGGGCGATGTATCCTCTGTGGTGGATGTCGGCTCTGGCATTGGAGCGTTTTCCATGCCTCTGGCGAAAATGTTCCCTCATCTCAGAATAACCAATCATGATCTCCCGGAAGTTATGGTACAGGCACGGAATGTGAGTACATACATCCAGAGCCATTCCAGCGCAGCGAGCACGTAGCTCATGATATCCTATTAGGCATGGGAGGAGAATGTTCCTGAGGCTCTACTCGACGGGCGCGTGGAGTTCGTGCCAATCAATTTTTTCGAGGACATACCTGTTGCTGGGAAGGATGTCTACTATGTAAGAGCCTACATTTGTAATCACCCATCACCAGAAACTCTATCATCTTATTATATAGTTGAGGCACATTATCCACAACTGGCCAGACGCTGAGGCAACGACGATCCTCCATAATATTCGCAAGGCTATGGGACCAAACAGCGTAGTGCTAATTCGTGAGTCTATTGCGATCTAATGTGGTATTTCTCCAAGGGCTATGTCTTGTACTAGATGATAGCGTCCTCTTCCACTCATTCCAAGAACCTGGCGTAGGAACTGCTGACGGGTTAAGCGTTGTGAGTCTCAGAGTACAGCCTGATGTATTTCTGAATTCATGATTGCCAGGCCCCTGAACCTATGTTACCGAACTTCGGAGCAGGCAGTCACAGAGTGTACCAGATAGACCTGACCATGTGGTTCCTTCTGAATTCCAAGGAACGAACCTTGGATGAGTTCAAGACTATTGCGCAAGTTTCATCTTTGACACATTGGTGATGATTGATTGATGATAATTCACAGGGCGGCGGCTGGTCTAGCGCTCACCCAAGTTTATGATCTCGTAGAAACAATGGTCATTGAGTTCAGAATCGCTCAGAACTGATGTCAAGTTTTTCAAATACGTAGTATATGTCCATTGTACATTTCGCTTCCTGAATCGATTGTGCCAGCCATAATCCAATGAAGACCACGACAGCGACAAAGCAGGTTTAAAAGAAGTAAAGCAGACTATAGCAAGTCAAATAACGATGGGCGAGCGGAGGCGCGATGTTGAAAGTTCACGAAGCACCATCCTTGAATGACTGCCATGAGCGTCGACGGATGACACCGTTTGGCATTTTTGGCGTCCACCTACCTGTTATCTATTGCGAGACGAAACACGATGTGTTCGGTCAGCCCTTCCAGAAGATCGTCGCTCAGTCGGGCAATATAACTAACCTAGGCTAGAGGAAAACATCCTAATTTGATTGTGGAGCTTGCGTCGACACTGTATACCCGACCAGGCAACCTGACCGCTCGTTTTGCGAACCGTAGGTTGCATCTGCCTTGTACCGTATTTTCCCCCTTGTCGGTGACGGTGCCTCCTTGTCAATTGTCGTCTCATTGCTTCCACTGGACCCGCAACAGATAATCGCTTCCCACAGCTCCTAGCGCCATCTGACGGTGTCCATCTTACTGTTTCAAATGCGCGATCGAATGGACGCGGTTCCGTCTCTGCAGATCTGGGCACTCCCCTAACATTCATTAACACTTTCCAGTTCCGATAAGAATATCCGCATCCAGAAACATAAACATGATATTAACCTAGCAATAGTGAGAGGAAATCGCGGACTGTACGTTGACCCTGGTGGTGAGGACAGCAGAACCGTGGTCATCATCCTGGATGAAGATGGGGAGAATACCAGTGTCGATAGATTTGTGAAGGTTAAGCACCAGCCGAGAGACAAGAGTCACGGACATGCTGGAGGGCATAGTCAAAAAGACGATCCGTTGTTTATCGCACCAAATACTCACCAGTTAGTAAATGTAGCCAGACTGCCTCTAGCGATATCCTTGGCAATCGTCAGCAGACAATTAACCAAATTATAAGATACGGGCGTGTATACTTACCGGACCACACTGAACAAAAGTGTGAGTGTGAGTGTGCGACTCGAACAATATCATTCATTGACTCACGTAGTACGTTAGGATGTTGGGTAGATTAATCAATGTTATCGCACTAAAGGAATGCGGATCAGATTCATTTGAATCACTCTTTCACTGGCAACCTCACGCAAAATACATTGCACCTGCGTTCGCTTGGATCAGTGATTACAATACTGGTGCAACGAAAGATTACCATCTTGAAATATAATATCAATTATATTTCTCCTTGACATTACCAGAGATAACCGCATCAATCCTCTAGTTTTGCATATCCTGGACACTGTGAGGACAAAGATGAGTGATTCGTAGAAACACAGGGCCATCCATGTCATCCCATGGGCTGCGATTGAATAAAATCATGACATTAGTTTTGCATGTAGATCTGACTTCGAATTCACTGACGAATAACTCTGCAACATCTTTTGAGCAAAGCGCAGAGCGGTGGATAAAGCGGCGTACGTTTCTGTATATGATTCATAGCAGTAAACTCCTGCCAAGAAGTTCGCAGTGCTTGGATAGTGCCCAAAAGTTCCCGCCTAGAAACGATCAGCAGACTCCAGAGTACAAAATTTTACACACGTACAAAAGTTAATCCCGCAAGAGCAAGGACGATGATTATCATCCAAGTAAGGAGGGACTGGCTACGGCCGTAGAGAGCATAAGTGCGAAGGGTCAATATGACTGAAATTTTCAGTATACGTAATTCTTGCGCAAGAAAGTTCTACTCACGGCAAATAAAGATTTGTTGACAAAAATGAACAGTTTCCTGTATAGCAAATATTTCGGACAGCTGGAATTTTGTTGAGCAAAACAAACCGACAGCCAAGAACCAGAGTTTAAACCTCGAACTCTGTGGGAATAAGCTGTGAGGCTGGCAGTTACAAACAATCATAGAAACTCAACTGAAATATGGAGGAAATAAAATAACGAGGCATATATATTGCCGAGCAAAGCAACATAGCGATTGAGCAGAAATAAGATTGAAGAGAGTGCTTTCGGACGACACCAAATGAAAGCGATTTCTTCTGTGAGGGTCATGATATGGTCGTACATCAGGATACCTAGGACATTGTGTTATCGTCCTGAGGAAAAGATAAAAAGCATAGTATGTACTGTTTGCCACGAGAACGGCGTACAGCTTGAAATTCATGGACCTGAGAATGTTGAGCCGCATGCATTAGGACAGGTATTGAGTGTGTTACTCACATCTGCTGCGTTTCATAATTAGCCTCCATTACGATGAAGAATACAACAGAAAAACGGCGTTGAGAATGGAGTACTATATATCAGGCGTAAGACCCTGTTAACGTTCCTTCTCGAACCGACGTCATCTAGATCTGTCGAGTGTAGTATGTATGAGAGTTACACACGCGGATAACGTCATGAGTTGATTGATGATCATGGTAGTACTGACTGCGTACAGACAGGTATAATTTTCACGCTTTATAGATCTGTTTCTTGTGTAAATTACCACGCTTCAATCCATGTCATGAACTTATCTTTGGGACCCATTACCACTGACCAACATTCCGAACAGGGCAAGGCCTTGCTCGACACCTCCAAAACAAATGGCAAAAGGTGCGCGTGTGCGAGACACAAATAGATCCGATGATACCGGTGCCGATAATCGCTACTTCGTGGCGCAAACCTCACACTCACCGTGATGGTCCGCGGGAGTCAGGGATACATCGATGTAGTGTTGTTGTGCATAGAATTTTCTTGGCACATAAATCAGTATATCATATATGGATCTTGTGACGATTAAAGAAGCAGACTTACAAGGCTGTTATGCCTTGCAAAGACCATTTCCACTGTAGTGGTTACGAGGGATTCAAACAAAACAAAAGTTAGCGACACAATAGAAAATAGGCCTTACGAGGCCAGCCTGAGAATAGAACCGAGGGCCGTAGGTCCGCAAGATCAACCGCGCGAAGACGACCGAGCAACTTAAAAGAAGCCGGAGTAAGACTCCAGAGTCCAGCGAGATCCAGCGCGGGTGCGATAGGAGCCTGAATGCAAGAGCTGTCGCAGCCTGCGAGTCGTATGTGGTAGTGCGACTTGGTAGCAAAACGCAACCGACCCCGGGCCTGGTTCGCGGGACTCGGACGTGTCCATGTCACGTGTAGCACGAGTTAGAAAATTCAATATGTCATGTGATGTCTGGATTCGGAAATTTTGGTGATGCTTGTCCTTGATCTTGCTGTCGCGATCGTGGGCAAGCCAATATGTTCGACGTTCTTCGACTACGGGTTATTTGGTTTTATTCATCGGACACTATCATACGGCGCATCGCTTACGTTAGTCACTGTGCCTTGTTCTAGTATTTGGCGTCCAATTGCACAAGCACTACCACTAAGAGCTACGGAGGCCCCTGCGCGGCACTGACTCGGAATCTGTGGCTCACAATGTGGACGAGGAGGTCAGCTTAATCCACCTACTTATGTTGTGGTTAAAATATACCATAATCGTCGCAGATCCTTCTCATCTACACAGCTCCGAACCACAGACCACTCGATCTGATAGGATCAGATGGATTCCGCGGCCTATGACACATTATTCTCGCCAGGACGTCCTGACTATCCGGTTCGAACCAATCGCATTATCACATCCGACATTGTCTCCTTCTTAAGTCGCTGAAGATAAGCCTACGCCAAAGTCATGAAAGGACAAGTCCGCAAGGACAACATATGTGGCGATGAGACTCTTTGGTGCACTTTTTCTAGCGCAGCGGCGTGGTGGGGATACAAGAGAATCGCTTGGGATCACAATATCATCGCGCGAGTCAAGGTCATGGCTTCTGTCGATGACATGATAGACATCAGAATGCACAGACGCAATCCCGTCTCTGCATATCTGGGCGCCCTCGAGATGACAATAATTAACGCTTCCCATTTTTAAGAAGAATCTCCGCAATCAGAAACAGAACCTACTATTGAACTAGCTATAGTGAGGAAATTGCGGACTATACATTGACTCTGCTGGTAAGGACAGCGGAGCCGGAGTCGTCATCCGGGATGAGGGAGGAGGAAATACCAGTGTCAATAGGTTTATGCAGGTTAAGTACCAGCCGAGAGATGAGAGTCACGGACATGCTGAGGGCATAGTCAGAATCAATTCGTATTTATCACACCAAATGCTCACCAGCTAGTAAATGTAGCCAGACTGCCTCTGATGGTATCCTTGCCAGTCGTCAGTGATAGCCAGTGTAGTCATAAGAAGCGAGTGTGCTCACTGAACCACACTGAACGCAACGTGTGAGCATGTGGCTCGAATATTGTATTTGTTAACTCACGTAGAACGTCAGGATGTTTGGTATATTAAACACTGTCATCGCTCTGAAGGAATGCGGATCAGATTCACTCGAATCACGATTTCACTAACACGCTCACACGAAATATATCGCACCTGTGTTTTTTCGGATCAGTATTTGCGAAACTGATGCAACATAAAATTTACCATCTTGGAATATGATGTCGAGAATATTTCTCCTGGACATTACCAGAGACAATCCTTTAGTGTTACATATCCTGAAAACTGTGAGGGCAAAGATGAGCAATTCGTAGACGAATAGTGACGCCCATGCCAGCCCAGGACCTGCAATTGGATAAAGTCATGACATCATGTTCCCATGCAATTCACTGACTGACGGCTCTGTAACAAATTCTGAGCAAGCGCATAGAACAGAGAAGAAGATGACGTACGTCTCTGTTGTATATGATTCATAGCAACCAAATCCTGGCACGCCGACTGCAGTGCTTAAAGAATGTCCAGATGATCCGGCCTAGAAACGATCAGTAAAGCCCAGAGTGCAAAATTTAACACGACCCACGTACCAAAGCTAATCCCACAAGAGCAAAGCTGATTATTACCATCCAAGTAATCAGGCGCTTGCTGCAGCCGTAGAGCGCGTAAGTACGAAGAGTCAACATGACTGTAAATTTTAGTATGTGAAGTTCTCGACATCAAAGTCTACTCACAGCAAACAATGATTTGTTGAACAAAAATAAGGAGTTCTCTGGATAACAAATATTTTGGACAGCTAGGTTTTGTTGAGCGAAAACAAGGGATCAAAAAAGGATCGAAGTTGAACCTCTGTGAAAATAAGTCATGAGACTGCCAGTTGGAAACATGCATAACAAAATCAAAGAACCTCTGAACCAGGCAGGGAATTAATCGATAAGACATATATATTGCTGAGCAGAGCGAAATAGCGATTGACGAGAAATAATATTGCAAATGGTGCTTTCGGACAACACCAAATGAAAGTGATTTCTTCCGTGAGGGTCGCGACATGGTCGTACATCAGGACACCTAGAATAACATGTCATCATCCTGATCAGGGCCAAGGTAAAAACCCTAGTACTGTTTGCCACAAGAAGGGCGTATAAATTCATCGACCTGGAAATGTTCAAGGTGAGTCGCCATCAGAATACATAGTAAACTTTATGCGTGTCACGGCATTACTCACATCTGCGGCTGCGTTTCACTAGCAGTATCCATTACGTTGAGGGCAAATACGAGAGAAGCACGGTGTTGAGCACATCTGGTGCAGTATTATATGCGGTGAGTAACAGCCCTGTCAACTTGAACGTTCCTTCTCGTGTGCTATGGAAGGCACAGTTGCACGGGACATCGACGGTCGGACGATCCTGTACTGTCATAATCACTGCCATCAGAAACTCGGCAATGATTTCCATCCATTGACCTGCGTCCAACTCTGGCTCACGTTTCACACGATCAATCTGTGTGGCCCACGTGACTCACTGATGCGAAGAGCGCAACTCTTTGCATCCAAGTTACGTGGATACATTCCTCGCGATCATACCTTGTGCACAGACCTCACCATCCCCGTCCTTCACCGAGTATTTTCAGTGAACCGCATGCTCCTCGCGCCTATTCTGGTTTAGCTGAACCTCCCGCAGACGTATAAATACAGCTCATGTATGTTCCTACTATAACAGAACTCAGACATTGATTCCCGCTCAAAAGCACGTCAGAAAGCCTCTAAGGCTGTCTAAGCCCTCATCTCACTTCATTTAGTCCTTTCAAGCTTCACGTCATCACAAACGTGTCTGATTTCCGCCGGTTCTCGAGACCGTTCCCTTTCGTACTCGTTATCAGCCTTACACACTCCTCTCTCCCTGTCCATCTTCCCTGTTTCCCAGACTCCAGTCCCACACCAGAAACTCAGTCTTATTTAACATGAAAGTATGCGCCGTACACGCCCTCTGAGATAGAGATTAGCTATGACCGATACCACTGCGCAACCGCTAGTCTCGGTCTCTCCGCAGCACCGACACACGGGCAACTAGCAAGCTCTAGCTGAGGTCAAGATGATGAGACAGAAGAAGGGCCTGAAATCTGGGGCGCCATTACAAAGGGCAAGGTGCGTGTATCCGTTGATTGTGACAACTCAGCTCGTGGGAAATAGTTTCATAGGCGTCTCTCTAAAGCTCCTCTAGGCCAAGCACAAGCCGGGGTTTTGAGCCTAAGCCAGGCCCACAGACGTTCTTGCTTGTCCGTCCATGGGATCGTCGCCTCCTTGGGCTGCCCGACTTTGCAGACGATGCGGAGAGCGTAGGGGATTGGTCCGAGCCCGGGGCTCCGTTAGATGACTCTGACGAGTCCTCCGGCTGTTTGCCTGTAGAAGAGGAGTTGGTTCATTCGGAATCTCACTCACGAGCGTTATTGATGGTTCGTCTTGGACAGCCTTTGGCGCTTTTATGCTAGCGGAGCAGCACGGCGGAGAATGCAGGAGGATTGCGTCGGATCATGGTGTCATTGCGCCAGTCAGAGACGTGGCATCTGATCACGATAAGATGGAGATATCGGGACACTATGTAGCCGTAAAGGTTCTTTGAGAGCGAAATCTCTGAGCGGGTTTGTGCCTTGACATTCTAGGCCGTCCTACATGATTGATACCCTTTCATCCTCCATATTAACCTGCCTGGGTGCTCCGTTTTACGCTCGTAAAACATGATGTTTGCAAACACAGAAATCCCACGGTGTTGGTATTTCATCCCGCTTGGTCAACGATGTCCACCTGATGAACCGCGACTAAGGATTTCTCTAGCCAATCGAGTTCAAGTTCACCAACAATCGCTCACTGGTACCACCAGAATGGAAGGCGCAGTGTCTTTTTTTCATCAATTTCTCACTATTCATGTAATCGTAACACGACCAAGTCAGATCTCACTTGAACAAACCCCACCCCAAACCAACTACTAACAGAAAAAGGGGAGAGCTGTGACTGCCGTTCACATTTTTCATATGACAGACTCCTTGGCCATGCCATGAACGAATGGTACATGTGTGACTGAGGCCAAGGCCCCCCACTGACCTTATAACGCCATCTCACGGTCTCTAGTTGCTGTTTCAAACGCACGATCGAATGGATGCGGTTCCGTCTCTACAGATCTGGGCACTCTCCTGACATTCATTAACACTTTCCAGTTCCGAAAAGAATATTCGCATACAGAAACATAAGATAATATTAACCTAGCAATAGTGAGAGGAAATCACAGACTGTACATTGACTCTAGTGGTAAGGACAGCGGAGCTGGGACCGTCATCATTGATCAGTGTGGACAAAATGCCAGCGTCGATAGATTTGTGTAGGTTAAGCATGAGCCGAGAGACAAGAGTCACGGACATGCTAGAGGGCATAGTCAATATCGATCCGTGTATATCATATATCACACCAAATACTCGCCAGCTTGTAAATGTAGCCAGACTGCCTCTGGTAGTATCCTTGCCAGTCGTCAGCAATAGTCAGTTTAATCATAGGAAGCGGGTGTGTGCTCACTGGACCACACTGAAACAAGGTGTGAGTGAACGACTCGATCAATGTTTCATTCATTGACTCACGTAGTATGTCAGGATGTTGGGTATATTAATCAATGTCATCACCCTGAATGAATGCGGGTCAGATCCACTGGAATGACCATTTCACTAGCAACCTCACGCAAAATACATTATACCTGTGTTCGCTTGGATCAGTGTTTACAATGCCGACGCAGCGAAAAATTACCATCTTGGAATATGATATCAAGAATAGTTCTCCTCGACATTCCCAGGGACAGTCCTCTAGTTTTGCATAACATGCAAACTGTGAGGACAAAGATGAGCAATTCGTAGACAAATAGTGTCACCCATCCCAACCCAGGACCTGAAATTGAACAAAGTCATGACATCATGTACTACTGAAATCCGACTCGGAATTCACTAACTGACGGCTCTGCAACAATTTTTTGAGAGAGCGCGCAGAACGGTGAGGCAAATTACGTACATGCCTATTGTATATGATCCATAGCAATTTAATCCTGGAATGGCGATCATAGTGTTTGAATGGAGACTGAACGTTCCCGCCTTTAAAACAATCAGTAGACTCCAGAGTACAAAGGTTTATGCGAGCACATACAGTTACTCCCCCAAGAGCACAGACGATGATTATCATCCAAGCAAGGAGGCGCTTGCTACGGTAGTAGAGAGCATAAGTGCGAAGAGTCAATATAACTGGAAATGTCAGTACGTGTAGTTCTCGCTATGGAATTCCACTCACGACAAACGAGAACTTGTTGGAGAAAGAAGAGCAATTCTCTGGACATTAAAAATTTCGGACAGCTAGTATTTTATTGAGCAAAACAACAGATGTTGAAAATAAAGAGTTGAAACCTCTGCAAAAATAGGTCGTGAGCCTACCAGCTGAGTACGTGCGTAACGAAACCATCGAACCTCATCTGAAATGGGTATGAAATACACAAATAAGACATAGATATTGCCGAGCAGAGCGACATAGCGATTGACGAGAAACAATATTGCAGATAGTGTTTTTGGACGACACCAAACGAAAGAAATTTCTTCTGTGAGAGTCGCCATATGGTCGTACATCAGGATAGCTAGAATATCGTGTTATCGTCCTGAGGCAAAGGTAAAAAGTCACAATACTGTCTGCCACGAGAACGGCGCAAAACTTGAAGTTCACCGACCTGGGAATGTTCAAGGTTAATCACCATCAGGACACATAGTAAGCCTATGCGTGGATTACTCACATCTGCTGCACTTCACTAGAATCCATCATGACGAGGCAAAATAACAACAGAGGAAGGGTGTTGACGAGAAGTCTGGCGCAGTATATAGCCTACCAGCCCTGAAGGCCTGACATTTAGCCTCGTAATTGTCCGATATGATCAGGGTGCTATGCATGCAAGGCACACATAGTTACTACACACGACTAACGTCACGGAAATTGACGTGTCGAACATATCGCCAGCCATCCCCCGTGGATGATGATAAGATGTCGTACCGCAGGTGCCTCCGGCGGGTTCCTTGTCCATCCGGGGCCAAGGCGCAGGGTGAGCATCCTTGGGACCCAGGGACCCGCCAGGGGGCCATTCTGAATCTGAAACAAGGCATCTTGTTCAGAACTTGAAGCGATGTACACTGGATGAAATATGAAACGCATGCGACGGATACGGTTGTACCGATGATCGTGAGTTCCTGGCGCCTGCGGAGCTCTCAGGGATACACTGGTATATGGTGTGCGCACCCCGTAGATTACGCACAAATCTTGGACATGGATGTTGACTTACCATTAAGAATCCAATGTTAGCGATAATAACTCGGGCTAGCCCGAGAGAACGGCATAAACTTAAATGTGTGGTGTCATTTGTCAATAAAAATCTTCTTCAATACAATTGGTTCACGTATAATATTGCGTACTAGCATCAACACGTTGTCCTGCCAGACTCTGACAAGAAAGTGACTTGTAAGTGCCAAAGGCAACAACTTGTTACCCCGTTATTCATGACTTAACACAATGGCACTCGTTGTTCCGCAGGGTTTTACAGACTAGAGAGGTACATCTGGTGCAAGGGCCGACGAGTTCCACGTAGGTTTCCTCTGCTGGATTCTCTGATGCTTCATCGGCACAGTCGTGGCAGAGGCCCGAAGCTCTACAGCCGCGACATCTCTCGTTGTACGAGTATTCCTCGCAAAATGTTCTGTCGCAGCGAAGACAACGCAAAATGGAGCCGCCTTTTTCGGTGCAGAGGTCGCACAGACTGGTGGAACCGCCGCCGACACAATTAATACAAATATCACCGTACCAGGAGCAGTGGTATCCTGCGGCACATGCACGCCAACGCACACAAGATAGAGAATACCCAATGCAGTGGAGCGAAGGACACGCAATTTTCTGACAAATCCTGCATTGGCGGAGGTCCGATCGACAAAGATCACATTCAAGTTCATCCTGAGAGTCTGTACCCTCGATAAAGCCTAGATCCCGAAAGTTTTCGTGATGTTCCTGACACCAGTAATTTGCATTACAACAAAAAGGTCAATAGGGACGAATCAGCTCTCACCCGTATTTGAACTTGTTGCCACACCTGACTTATTGAGTAGCTCTCCGGTTCACTGGCATCCGGGGAAAACGGAGACCTCGCAACGGCGAAATTGCAGATATCTGTCACGATCGGCACGAGCTCAGGCGGGACGGGTGTACGAGATTTTCGTGCCATGTCTCGATTTGCATGTCCTGGGATATAAGAGAAAAGCGTGGAGAAGTTTGGGTGGATAGACCAAAATGGATGAAAAGGCTTGACAGTACAGAAGATCCGCCGGTTCCTTCTGAATCTCCAGAACCAAAGGTTGCGGTATGTTTCCCCTTCATGTTTCCGCGACGGTTCATTTTGCGGACCCAAAAGCCCGTAGACGGTCTTCATGATGTGAATTAATTTCATAATCATTGGGTGACAAGCAGGTGGCTCAAGGTCCCCCCTGGGTTGGCGGGTGGGGCATGGTGAAGCGGAATTCTAGGGAAAACGGTAATACGCGTTTAGTAGCAGCGAGTCTATTATAGAGGTGCGCGAGACGTGTCGATGTGTTTTGGATTTGGGCACGTAGCGAACCGTCACAGCGTGCTTAGCTACAGCTGGAGATGATGAGAGAGAGAGAGAACTCGCGAGAGATCGTATATCGTAGACTGCAGCGCACGTGCACGCGTCCAGCAACTCCAGCGCGTGTGCCCTAGGGACGCGACGTGTTCAAGTCACTGATCCAAATACTGTCGGGACTCGGCAACGTAGTACAGGTTTTTGTTTGGCCTTGTTTTCCTGGACCCTCCCAAAGTCCTCACTTACGCAGCTTCAAGAGTTATACCCCTTGCTCTAGCATTTGCCATTTGGTGTCCGCCTGTATATCATGTCCTCGAATCTGCTGAAGCTCCCAGACGGCACCGAACCAGTGACCAATGCAGACGAGGAGGTCAGCTTAATCCACTTATGTTGTGATTCAAATCTATATCGTCGCAGATCTTCCTCGTATACACAGCTCTGAACCAAAAACCACTCGACCTGACAGGACCAGATGGATTCCGCGGCTTAGGACACGTTGATTCTCGCAAGGACATCCTTTCGATCCAATTCGAACTCTCCGCCCCATTACAGCCAACATCTTCTTGCACCGCTGAATTTAAATCGACGTCGAGGTCACGAAAGGGCAAGTCTACAAGGAAAACAAGAGTTTGCGACGAATCTCCTCATGTAATCGAGATCGAGCTCGCGCAAGACAAAACTGCGCTGCGCAGTCGAAAAGGAGATACTGGGAGCGTCTTGTGGCGAGCGAGGTAGGATCATGTTGCGTGCTTTGTTCGTCGGGCAGATATACGACGAGGTGATGGCAGCATAGCGTTCGCTCAAGTGATCTTGCAGCAAAATCGCTTCCCTCCAAACAATCCATTATTCGATAAGGATTTGCTTCGGGAGAGTCATATACTTGAGTTAGGGTGAGCTTCGAGGTTTGTTTCCGTTTTCGTTCACCCTGATCGGTTGGACAGGTCAGGCACGGGCTTGCTCAGTATTGCACTTTCTGCCTGTTCAAAGAGCTACACTGCAACGGACATTGCGCCGCTTCTCCCACTTATCCGAAAGAATGTCGCACTTAATTTCGCGGGTTGGACGCAAGATACAAAGCCTTCAGGGAGGTCACCAGGATCGAATATCTCTGTGGAAGAGTTAGACTGGGAAACCCTGCTGTCCCTGCCCCCGGCCGGGCGGTCACGCTATCACCCTAAACCACCTGAGCCAAACGCTGCGTGGGATCTCGTGCTGATCGTCGATTGTATCTATCACCCCTCGCTTCTTCCTGCACTCGTCGAGACAATCGAGACAGTTTCAAGCGCAGAGAAGACATGGGCATTGGTGATCGTTGAACTACGGCAAGAAGATGTCCTGAGGGAGTTCCTTGAGAGATGGTTGGACAAGGGGACTTGGCGGTTGTTCAGGGTGGACGGGCTTTTGGATTTACCGTATGTGGTTTGGGCTGGTCAGAAGTATGTATGACGGGCCAGCGCTGATCAGCTGATGTTACGTTTCTTTCTGCACCGCTGTGTTCGCAAACTTGACCCGTCGGAACAAACACGATGCCTTGCACAGCATGAAGTCATGACGCAGGTAAGATCGTCAGAGGATGTACAGGAGGTATCAAAAGTTACATGACAAGTTTCAGTCTGGGTTTTGATGACGACCAGCTTCAGGCGTGGGATTGTGCGGAATGACTAAAATGTCTTGGGAAGATCCTTGGCCTTCCGCAGTACCAAGACACTTCTCACTTACTTGTACGTTGCCCGCTGTGCGAGTACACGACCACGTTCTTTCTTTCCCTCACCACTGCCTCCTCCATAATTACTATATATCATCTATTAAGTTCTCGTTTTCATCGCTTTCAAGTCAGCCTAGCCTCCATTCGCAATGCTTTCCTCGTTGACACTCGCACTGTCTTGCCTCCTCATCATCTCACCAAATACCTCCGCTGCCCCAAATGGTTATGATTCCATCCCGACTGCTGGCCAGTCTATCCCGCTCATCCGAAGAGTCCCAACTGAACGCTCCGTGTCTGATTGGGAAGTATGGGCCAAGAACGAGCGAGAGGCTCTCACCGTCAAGTATGGGGGATCTATAGAGAAAAGGAGTACCGGAACAAATTTGTGAGAATTGCCTCCTAGCTCCCACTTCGCTATCGCTGATCATTTCAATAGGATCACTAACCAAAACGCGGATTCAAGGTCGGTCGGTGATTCCCTGCCGTAGATTAATTCATCGAACGCTTTCATTCCAGTTATTATGGAACTGTCGCTATAGGCACTCCACCGGTCTCCTTCAATGTCATCTTAGACACTGGATCGGCGTGAGTTTGTTTACCCCTCACAACTCTCTCCACAACTGTATTCAACCTTGTCCATGAATTAGCGATCTTTGGGTCGCAGATCAAGCCTGCACCATCGGCTGCTCCAAAGTCCAGCTGTTCGATGACCTACAATCATCTACTTTCCACAACCTGTCCCAGCCATTCGACATCACATACGGTTCTGGCGCTGCAGCAGGTACATTAGGCCAAGATGTCGTGCAGATGGCTGGGTTCTCTGTTTCCAGTCAGACGTTCGGTGTTGTCACGGAAGCGTCGTCGGGTCTTCTTAACCCACCCGTGTCTGGCTTGTTGGGCTTGGGATGGCAGACCATAGCTAGCTCGAAAGCGTCACCGCTCTGGCAGACCTTAGCGAGCTCCGGGTCTTGGACAGATCCTGTCATGGCATTTCAGCTCACGCGGTTCATCAACGCTACCAACGCTCACACTCAGGAGCCTGGTGGATCGTTCACTATGGGTATGTCATCTTGGCTCGGATTTTGTTCTCAGTTTGACGGACGATTTCTAGGCTTTGTCAACAGCAGTCTTTATACTGGCACCATCGATTACCAGGCCCTGCCATCGACGCCATCATATTGGATTCTACCGATGAAATGTGAGTACATCCGTCGTTTAGCTCTGCAAACATTGACATTCGCCGCCTCCCAGCGTTAACCGTACAAGGAAACTCCGTCAGCATCCCCACAGGTTCTTCATCCTACTCTGCCATCGACACCGGAACCACACTTGTCGGCGGACCTTCCAGTGTCATCCAAAACATCTTCGCACAAATTCCAGGGTCGCAACCCGGCACAGGCAACTGGCAGGGATACTGGACATACCCATGCACTACCACCGTCAACGTAGCCATCTCATTCGGCGGACCCAGCTGGCCCATCTCCCCCGCCGACTTCCTACTCACAAAGATCAGCTCATCCCAATGCGTCGGTGCATTTTTCGAACTGAACACAGGTGGCAGCGCGCCAAGTTGGATCGTTGGTGACACTTTCCTGGTAAGCTTTGCCGTTCATGTCGTTGAAAGGACGAACTTGCTCATTCGGTCGGTCGATCGTAGAAAAATGTTTATTCGGTTTTCCGGTATAACCCAGCTTCTGTGGGTTTTGCTGCGCTTTCGAATACTGCGCTTGCTATGAATGGAGTTGATGCTGCTCCTCCTTCGGCTACTATTGGTTCGGTCTCGGCTAGTGCGACAGCGGGAACGGGGGGTGGGACTAATGCTGCCTCTCACCGATGGGGTGTTCAATGGGCGCCGCTTGTGGGTGGTATTTTTGTCGCTGTGGGTACTGCTTTGATGTGAGACGTCATGGGTCAAATAAGGGTGCTGGGGTTGGACGGACGGGGACTTTAACTAATCACTTGTTTATTAACAACGGACTCTGGAGGACAATATTATTTTAACATGGATTGTATATCTAGCATCAGTACGATATGGTTGGATATTGAGTTAATTGTTAATGTTGCTTTCCATCGCGCTGATACACAACATAAGGCAAAGAGCTTACCAAGTGACAGTATCGTCAGGTGAGTCGACTGTGAACGAGATTTCGACGAACTCAGTTGGCCGTATAACAAGGATGAAGTTGAACCGCGTTGTGTTGCATAACTACCATTTAAACGTTGGTTATACATGACTATCACAAATCACATCCCTCGAGGTCTAGACACAGCCGCATCGTACGTCAACATCGGTGGCTCTTCATCGCCGACGGGTTCCCCATCAACATCGATTGCTGGTTCGTCAAGGCCGTCAGATGGGTCGTCAAAGTTGGCGGATGACGGGTTAAGGGTGGTGCTCCCGAGAGGGCTGTCGAGGTTGAAAGTAAGAATCTGGGGTGTCGCGGTGTCAGAGGGCGTGTCAGACGTAGATGGGACGGGCTGTGGTGTCTCGGATGCACTCGCGTCGTGGGAAGCGTTGTTATCCGTGGTCGCAGATATGTTTTCAGAAGGAAAGCTCCCCGCGGAGTTGGGTAGAATTCCGGGAGCGTCATTGCCTGCGGAGGGACTACCAGTGGAGTTTCCAGATGTCGTGGGCCCAGTTGCAAGTTCAGGCGTCTCTGAAGGTGTATCCCCTGGGGAGTCAGCGGATGGGGAGCCAGCGACAGAGTGGGCAGGTGAGGTAGCAGCTGCGGGAGTCGGCGAAGGCTTGGCTGCGGAAGAGCTAGCACTCTGATTACCTGTAGCCGAGGAACTCTGTGGAGCGCCTCCGACTAGATTGGCTATGCCAGCCGTGCTATTACTCCCTGTCAGATCCCCTAAATCTCCAGGCAAGGAGCTACCTTGCTGACGAGCGACGAGCGGGCTAGAGGATGAATGATCGGACTGGTGACATAAAACTAGGAATTCAATGAAAGCGCGCTCAGATACTCCAGCGGGAGGGCTAAGTTCTCGTCTTTCAAGGAGGACGAGGGCATGCGGAGGGTGTGGATAAGCGACGCCCGCGATGACACAGGAGGAAGGTGGCTGATAGGGTGGGTAGATCAAATCAACAGTGCACCTTGATGAATATTTAAGGACTTACATGTTGGTGATGAGTGGTGAATTCGAGAGGCATTGCGAGCACGGCAGGGAGGACGGCAGCGAGAGTTGCAAAGGAGCGCATTATGAATGAATGTGGGGGTTGCGGATGCGGCAAGCAAAAGTATAAGTCAAGTCAAGTCGCAGTTGGAGGCAAAGATGTAATGGGTTGGAGAGTGCGAAGAGTGAGCGTTTATACGCCCGGAGCTTGGTGGCTGACTCGGACATGAACTGCTCGCTCATCCTTGGCTGACAGAATTCCCTCGGGCGCCCATGTTGGCCACCAAGTACAGCAAGTATAATATTCATCGGCAGATTATAAATATTAGATGCTTACCCCAAGTTCATCGTCGCTCGACATAGCATCAATCAAACATGCAACCTATTGCTAGAGCAGTTTTTGTTCGAGAATTCAATTAAATTGCCTGTGCAACTTGTAAGTACAATAATGTGGATTCATTCGTGGTGCTTACCTTACTTAAAGAGCCCCGGAGACTACAAGAAAACAACGTATGCTCTCGAAGCAGTATATTTCGGACGATAATTGACTCGGGAGTTCGAATAAACAATCATACGACGTATTCAGCAGAAGCAGAATTATGTCATTGTTCCCACGGCTGAATTCACTAAGAGATCATGTTCAGGACTTCGGAAAGCATTGTGGTATGTGGAATCCGCTCATCATTGCAGATTGCATGTCAAAATAGTCCAGTCGGTAGTACGAAAAATAGATAATACAATAGAATACAACTCAACCACTAATAAATAAAACCCTCTACGAACGCTCGCCGCGAAGCCGCCGTGCAAGAGCAAGATCTTTTGGTTGGATAGTGACACGCTTAGCATGAATGGCTGCCAAGTTGGTGTCCTCAAACAGCGAGACGAGGTATGCCTCAGCGGCTTCTTGAAGAGCCATCACGGCAGATGATTGGAAGCGCAGGTCAGTCTGACAAGCAATGAGACACGACCATTGTTTAGACAGAAGGCATAACTAACCTTGAAATCCTGTGCGATTTCACGAACAAGTCGTTGGAAGGGGAGCTTGCGAATGAGCAGCTCCGTTGATTTCTGGTACCGACGGATCTCACGAAGAGCGACGGTACCGGGACGGAAACGATGGGGCTTCTTGACACCACCAGTGCTCTGAGAATGGTTGAGTAAAGTCCGGATGGATCAAAGATGAAACTTACTGCTTGTGCGGTCTTGCGAGCAGCGGACTTGGCTGCCAATTGCTTACGAGGGGCTTTGCCTAATAGCTAATGAGCTCGAGTCCCCTTTGTTAGACTGGAAGTACAACTTACCACCAGTGGACTTGCGAGCGGTTTGCTTGGTACGGGCCATTGTTAAGTTGATTGGTACAAGGTAAAGACAATAGTCGACAAAGCGGTTGGTGGTTCGGGAATGAGCATATGTCTCCCAATGGGGGTGACCCTATATACAAACGCGTCGCGCGGTCACGTGAAAGGCCAAGTCACTCAATCAACAAACCTGGACACGGTTATTCAGCACAGCCACCCGCCGCTGATATATAAGCAGTCGTGGCTCATTTCGGCGTTCGTATCTTCCCAAGCTCGCCGTTTCGCTCACGCGTTTTATTACACTTTACTCCTCAACACACAATGTCTGGCCGTGGAAAAGGTGGCAAGGTGAGTTCTGTATCACAACAACTGTTTTGCTTTCGGTCTAATGTGTCTTGAAGGGTCTCGGAAAGGGTGGTGCTAAGCGTCATCGTAAGATTCTTCGTGACAACATTCAGGGTGAGTCATTCAGCGATTCCTGCCCTTGTCTTTTGTCTAATTGCCATACCTAGGCATAACAAAGCCTGCTATCCGTCGTCTCGCCCGTCGTGGTGGTGTCAAGCGTATCTCCGGTCTCATCTACGAGGAGACCCGTGGTGTTCTCAAGATCTTCCTTGAAAATGTGTGTAGACATGTAGATGCCAACCCGGTGTACATGCTTACGCTTCCTCCCAGGTCATCCGCGACTCGGTAACATACACTGAGCACGCAAAACGGAAAACAGTCACCGCCCTTGATGTCGTGTACGCACTCAAGCGGTCAGGGCGTACTCTGTATGGTTTCGGTGCATAGACATTTTTTTTCGATTTTATCTTATTTATACTGTATCAGTACTTGTAATTTTAACTCTTCATTCTGGCTAAGCCAATGTTTGAAATTGAAGTCGTGGATCGGATCATCCTGGCGAAGGATCGCTGTCAGTCCAGAGTCATCTATTACTCCATCCTGCACTGACAATCAGTATGTCCGTGGTTTTACCGACTTTTGATGTATCTTTGGATGCGACTCTTTCCTCAAAGAGCGACTCCTGGAACGGCGTGCTATGGTCGTGACCACATCGATGATGAGTGTTGAGCTAAACGATGCACGGTGTTTAACTGCTGACTTGGCCTGGAATACTTTCCTACCGAACGAGACTCTTGCAGCCATCTTCCGCGGTCTTTCGCCTTCTGTCCTAGCGACTATTGCGCCTGTGTCACGCCAGTGGAGGGGAGTAGCGGAATGGCTGCTATATTCAAACATCTCCATCTCAGAGACCCTCTCTACCTCATCTCCATTCCCATACAGCACGCTTCGTTGCTGCCAGACCATTCGTCTGCATTCACATCTTGCCAGCGGACTTTCCAAATTATATATCCGATGGAAATCAGAGCACGGTGCACACTACGAGCCAGACTTTGACCTCCTCCTCTCCAATCTGTCACAAGCAATAGGCCTCGCAATAAACCTCGAGTCCCTAGACTTACATCTCGGCCTCCCATGTCTGCCAGAACATCCCACTTTAACTTCTCTCACATTCCCTGCTACCGATGTGCATTATCACTCCCTCCGGCGCGTCTCTCTCAGCGGCATCGGCCCCTTTGCGCACAATCGTCTCACTCATTTTCTCAATATTCTCCCCGCCGCACGACACCTCCGTCTTCCTGACTATCACGACCAGATCGCCCTCCTCCCTCAAGCCCTCCCATCTCTCATATCCTTTTCCGGCTCGCCACGCGTAGCAGCTGCAATTTTACCGGGAAGACCGGTACAATCCCTTGTACTCATAGGACAGGACTACATCACTGACCTGGATCTGTCCCGAATGGCCCTGACAAGCATTCCGCTTCGCCATCTGGATTTGTCATCCATGTTGGTTACCCCGACATTGTTGCGAAATTTATCCAGGAATCTCAATACAGTCGAGTCGTTGAAGGTGAAGCTTGCTTTGAGGCATACTTTGCATTTCGCTGGTATTGTGAGTTTTCTTTCTTTTTTTGCATTCTACTCGAAGACATTCATTTGGACTGATGATTGTATTTTTTTTTCGTCGTAGGGCTTGCTAGCAGCGCTTTCACACCTTCTCAGCGCATTTCACCGTCTGTCTACGCTTGACCTCTCACCTACGCACGTGGACTATACCGGGCTCAGTAACAGCGCAGAAGAGCTCTCACTCTGTCGATCGTGGCAGAACGCGTGTCCTTCTTTACGGCGCGTCGTCTTTCCTTCCCAAACAGAGTGGACGCTCCAGGAAGACGATAATACGTGGCTGTCTGTTCTGTTAGGGGGATCGCGGAGGCGGGTGGGTACATTTTTAGCCTTCCGTGACGTGCTCCTAATGACGGAATGCATAGCCTGCGTTTCATTCGTCGAAGAAGTTCCTTGAGTCTTGATTTGATACTTGGCATCATGATAATCGGTGTCGTTTGTTGATTCATGGTCCCCTCGTGTCGATGTACAATTTTGTTTTAAATTGCGAGCTGGCTGAATTTGTAAAGGTCTGCCTTATGAAAGACGTGGTGATGCCAATTGGAAAATCATTACATCAACCCGTCACTGGTAGCCTACTCACGAAGAATTCTAGAGGACGAAACCTGATCAAGCACCCGCACAGGTAGGTGTAAGGAAGATGACGGTGTGTGCTACATGATATAATGTATGTATTCTCGTCAAAGCACAAGTGATCACTTCTCAGGGCTGCCTAGTCTTTGATTAAATACTGCTATAGAATTTCTACGGTACTGACCTCCATGTTTTCAATGGAAGCTATGTCTTGGACTCGTGCAATAATGTTATAGTCCGACGCGATCCTCTTGTATTCTCCAACACGCTGCTGCGCTAGCAAAAATGCGTCAAAAGGCTGTCCAAGGCGAACCATCAACCGCAACGCTCGTTCATGAGGCTCCTCTTCTACAGGCGGACCGCCGGGCAACTCGTCAGAGTCGTCTAAGGGAGAGCCAGGCTCGGTCCATTCTCCTACACTCTCCGCATCGTCTGCAAAGTAAGGCTGCTCTGAAAAGTCGGGTACCTCGAGTAGATACCGGTCCCATGGACGGACAAGCAAGAACGTCTGTCGAATGGGCTTTGCCCGAGAGAACGGAATCAGGGTCTCTGCAGTGGTGATCAGCAGGTCGCAAAGTCCGTTTGCCTTGATTCCATATGTGATGGGAGTCTCCTGAGTTGGACCGCGCCTCCGTCTGACTTCCGTGACACGGAATGCAATGCAAGGCAGTTGCAGTCTGCAGTTCGCGAAGCGAGGAGCTTTCAGCTGTTCAAGCTGGTCATAGAATTTCCATACCAGATCTGCAGGCGTGGTATGTCGCAGCGAAGAGACTGATGCCTGAATCTGGTCTTCAGACAAAGATGAAAGGGTACGTGGCGGAGTGGTATATGACGTAATATGGGCTGGAAGACAGCTATTGAACTCGGATGGTTGTCCGACCCAATCGAGGACAGTAATGTCGCCCGACTGTGCGACAATCTCCTGCAAGAGCCGTCCAAGCGCCCGTTGCTTCTTCTCACCATAGATAACAGGTAGGGTGACGCCGAAGATGCCAAACAAGACTTGCCGTTGGACCAGTCAAGACAGTTGGCATTTGTGTTGTCGTCAATCATATTCATCATTTGTCGGTAAGATTCCAGGGCCTCTTCAAGTCTACCTGCCCGACGGAGTGCATCACACTGGTTCTGGTGCACATTTGACCATAGGGACTTTAGGTCCCATCCGAATAGCTGTGTAAAACATGGAGCTCGACATAAAAGGCATGTTCGGACTCGGATGAATCATATCAACGCACCACCACCAGATCCTCGTATATAAGATGAATGGCCGATGTAGATGGGAATGCGCTAGAGTTGACAGCAGCAGTGAAGTGGTCAACAGCTTCATTATGGCGTGCATCATCCATGGCATTGATTCCGAGTTGATTACACAGATATGCCTGATGTGCGAAGTTAAGCAAGATCAGTTAAGAATGCAGGGTTGATTAAGAACTTCATACTCACTTGCACGATACAACAGGCAAGAGTATTGTGATTCGAATTTCGGACAAGCTGCGGCTAGCTCTCGCAAGCGTATAAATGCCTCTTCATGTTGGTTTGCATTGAAAATAGCAATGGCCTGAGAACTGTGATGAAGCTCAGAGTATGTAAGAAAAATTCAACTTGCCTTGATCAAGAGAAGGAAATATGTAATATTTGAATCTTCACTGGCAAACATGGACGCGACGTCAAATGCCGTTCTCAGTCAATTTGTCGTCTATTGGGGGAAATTGCAGCTGCTATCACACGTTCTCCATGACCTTTAAACTCTCGCGGGGGTGTGGACCGTGTGTTGCTTGGAATGAGCTTCGACATTTCACTGGTGGTTGATTGTATTGAGCACGGTTGAGATGGACTTTGGAGAGAGATTGCGGGCGTCTTTCTCTAAGCTGCATTTACCTGCCTCGTGTTTCCATAGTATGAGGCTAGCGCGCAGGTTTGGGTACGTCATCACCAAAAGTACGAAAACCAGATATGGGAGGCTAAGGCAGTGGTAGCATGGCACAACAGACTAGTCAACAGCCACATCAAGCTTGAACGTTGAACTTTGCGAGGCATTCCCGAATCCCTTGTACCTGCATTATAAATTTGGATGCTGCTGTCTGTCAGTGCAATTGCAAGAAGTTGGCCAGACAGCGAATACCGACGGAACGCAGTTGACTTCACCACTACACTTGGATCTCCTTTTAACTGCCATGTCTTGGTGCACCATAGCTTCGTCGTTTTAAAGTCCCATGAACTAGTGGCCAGCACTGTTCCATCCGGAGAAAAGTCCAGCAAGACCATAGCACTGGAGTGTGCTTTGGTGACTTGAGTCTCAGTGAGAGTTTCTCCGTGCCAGGCGAGGAGCTCTCCGTTCTCTTCACCGTTTGCTATCAATTGCCCATATCGTGGTACAGCCAATCCCAACACCCCATTGTTATACCCCTCCATCTTCTTCAACATACCACCCGTCTTCAAGTCCCACAGACGAAGTGCGTTGTCGACCGAACCAGTAACCATACGTCGTCTACCGGGAAAAACTGCGACTGCCGTTACCAAGTCTCCATGACCTTCAAACTCTCGAAGGTAGTGCTTGGAATGAGCTTCGACATTTCCTTGTGGCTGGTGGTGTTGTGCAGGATTGAAGTGGACTTGCGGTGATGGATTGTCGGTATGTTTTGTGCTTCATTAACCTGTCTCGTGCTTCCATAGACGCCCACGAAGAGTCACTTTGGCGCCCGTTACTTCGTTTCCCCTATTCACCATCTCTCACGAAACTGGGATGCATTTGGCTCACCGCAATGTCATCTTATTCATCCCTTCAACACACGATGTCTTCGTGTGCATTGGATGTAGCTGAATTTCTCGATTCTCGATTCTCGATTCTCGCGCCCCAAACCGCTACCCATTCTGCCAGTAACGTTTTCCACCTTCCAATGCGCATTGCATCCAACACCAATGTGATGATCTAAGACAAGGGTTTCACAGCCTTATTTCCAGCGCTCTACTCGTCATTCATTTTAGTTTTCAGCTTCAGGCCCAGTTGGTTTCGGGGTTTTTTCGTTTGCCAATCCTGCTCCCAAATTCATCTTCACAACATATAAGTAGTGATGCAAGACGGGCAATCATCGATCATCCTTTGCAAGCTCTCACTGCAGTCGAAGCTATATGAGCCCTGCGGTCAATTATTTACCGACTATCACTGCGCGGAGACGCTGGCTACCGTGGAATAAATCAACCAATCCCTAGATCACCGAGAACTTCACAAGCGACTCGCGGGTATTACAACATCCAAGCGATTTTCGATGACCGTCATGGAGTAGAATCTGGCCAGCGCAACACCTTTTTAGCAAATACCCTGACCCCTGACTCCAATCACCATGCGATAAGCTTCTCGCGAATTCGCCTGCCATCGATATCAGCCCTTACATGCTGTTTCAAGCAAAATGCATTAAAATTATTGTACATGATTGCTGTGGTTCGCATTGATGTGCTCCCGATGTCCGCTGCCGCGCGCAAATCATTGGCGTAGGTACTCACAGCACACCATGAAGATCGCGTGATCCTACGGCTCAACAGTCGTGCGGGCGGGCACATCCTTGAAGCAGCCGGATGTGGTCATCAACTCGTCGGACTCACAGGCGGAATCTAGAGTTGGGTGTTTTGGAGTGCGGGAAAGCTGGCTTGGACTATCAAGTTGGAGCAGGAGTTATATATGTTATGCATAATAAAAGTGTTAAAATGATGTGCTTCACTCTCCTGTTTCCAAGATCGCCTACTGCTAGTCCCGCGCTGGGTTGTGTTGTTCCAGTTGTCGATCGTCTAAGCTGTTATTTACACCACAGGGAATATTTAATGGCGATGAGTGAGTGACCGGTGATCCAAGTGAGGTGTAAGAGGGCCAACATAAGGAGAGGAATCAAATCTTCGCTCACGTTGACCCACAGCTCAAATAGCTCCTCCAGCGAAACAAACACCCCACCGTTCAAAGGGCTATTCTGTCGAATTTGGTTATCGTTGCTTATAAGCGAGATAAGCGAGCTTCAACATCAATGTCATGTCATTCAATCCGATCCACTGATCTCCCAAACTAATTATAAGTGATACACAGTACATACTTGAGGGCTGAGTACATACATAACATCACGGTCCGAACGAGTAGGCATGGATAAATAGAATCACAACCCAACGATTATATCAAACGAGTGACTAGAAATCTGTTCCAAGACCAAAGCTAAAACCAAACAGTGAATAACCCTGGCCTGCGGAAGTTAATGGGTATCACGAGAGGGAAATAAAAACCACGGCGAGTTGCCTGCCTGAGGAGGGGGAGAGCCTAAGCACCCACTTCAGCGTCATCAACGAAGATGTCGGAGTAGTGTTCCAAGATTGTCTCGATCGCCTGTCCGGTATAAACCAATGTAACAAAGCTGAGCAATGAGTTAATCGATAATCAAGGCTTGATAATCACCTTGTTTTGAAAGGGAGCATCTGCCATGCCCCCGTTCCCATGACCCGAAAAACTCCCGTTCCCAGGTATCATCTGACCAAACAGGGTCTGTCCAAAAACAATGGCAAGATTCTGGATAGACATGGAATTGTCTGCTTCATACTCCGCAATCCTGCAGTACGGGGTCAATTGATTAATCAGGCAGATAAATGACGACGAGGGTGAACACACTTGTGTAGGTGCCCCAAAAAAAATTTGAGCGTAGCGTAGTTCGGGTCCGGTAAGTCGTTGACTCGCTCGTGTAAGCGTATGTGCCTCAGGCGATCATTCTCGATTTCTGGAACTCCTGTCAGAAGTTGCCATATTTGCTTAGCATGGATGACTTACTGGCGGCTTCCACGAAGCCCTGATGCAGGCTTGATGTTAGTAGCGGATCAGGAAGCTCTCTGAACCACATCTTGAGGACGCTAGTGACATTGTTGATGTCAGATATCCACTCTTCCGAATCCAAGTTGACGGAGTCCATATCTGCGGAGATAGCCGTAAGGCTTTAAGGATCGAACGGAGCCGAGGAATGCAAACCTTTGTCTAAGCGCTCTTTCAGTGAAGCGACTTTTCGCGCCATGCCACTGATTCGATAGATGCCTTGCGATTGAAGGCCATTCTTTTCAATAGCAGCACAGCACTTTTCGAGGATTGCTGGAAGTTCAACATTGTCTCTCGCCATCTGCTCTGCAAGATCTACGCCGAATGTTGGCCGGCCCTTATCAGGTATGTGGGAGTTGTGACCATTCCCAATCGGAACATTTGTATGAACAGTAGAATATGCGCCACCCCCGTGGGTCGGCAATGGTGGCAGCTGATAGTCGGTCGGTGCAAATTCCGAAAGGAAAATATGGATGACGTACAAAACCTTCTTCTGCTGGACCTTCGCGTCGCGGACCACGAGGAGCGGCTCCGCCACGTGCGTACGCATAGTTCTGCATGTAGATCTTGAAGTCTGCTCGATTATCAATAGACTCGATCGTAGATTTCAGGCCGATGCCTATTTAATGTGTGATGAGGTGTTTAGTATGTATTAATTTGTGGCTGATGAGATCTCACCATCTTCCGGCCCTACTGGAACAAGGGTTGATCCGTCGCTTAGAACAATGCTCTCGAATAAAAATGCATATCTCGTCAAATGATATTGTGTCCCGAGGTCTATTTCGTCAGCACATTCTTTGAGCGCCTATGAAATTATGTCAGCCCCATCACGACGTCACGGTCGATTTTACTCAACACGCAGTATCCGAGGCAGCTGGAAATTAAAGTATTCTTGTCTCATTGCTTGGGTATCAGTAAGTGCCTTGCGGTATAAGTCAGATGCATTCGATACACGTATGCGGATGTCGTCTTCTTGTCTTTGTATCTGAAATGACGAGTGAGGACCTGTCGTAAACAGCAAAACCAATACTAACGTTTCCAGGATTCTTCCCCTTGAGCAGAAGCCCACCTTTAGCCACTGCCTTCCCAAGTGCTCGTTTACCTGCGGGTCCTCCTTGATTCTTGGCCTGCAAACCACCGTCCTTGAGGGACTCCCCCTCTTTCTGAAGCAAAACTCGCTCAAGTTCCTCCGATGAGACTTCCAATCGATTTTTAGACTTCTCCATGTTCAACTCTGATTCTTGAAGGGCACGTTCGTAGCGACTAGCCAGCTCCTTAGTCTGGGCAGCGTCAAAATATGACCTTCATGTGGAACGATGTGAAGCACCTGTTTTCGATTCTTGTCCACTTCCTTTGCGAGTGAGGCCAGCTCATCGCTCATCTCATTTAGCCGCTGCGCAAAACGAATCCTGTTCTCTGCCATAACTTCATGGATTTTCATGGATGACTGCCATGCACCCACGAAGGACCTTGGGTCGTGATCAGCGACACGCGAATAGTGCTCGGGATATATTTACCCAGCTTTCCCGTCGTTCATAGAGTAGACCTCGGACGTGGTTCGTGCGAGCTTCTGCAAACTCTTCCCATACTCCTCTTCCAAAACCGCTTTTTTCTTGAAGAAAACTGAAGCTTCCTAAAGACCAAAGGAATTTCATATAACTCCTTTTCAAAAGGACGAATGGAAATAATACTCACACGACACGAGACCATGCTTTGTTTAATCCGATCCAGCAGTAAAGGTACACCACACTAGGCGGTGCCAAGACATGAACACGGCAGATAGCACAAAGTTTGAAATACTTACGTCCAGCTCGCATAATACTCTTAGTACATTCTCATCAAAGCTAGTCTCCACAAGACTGACAGCGTCGCTCGGGATCATGGACAGTGTATCCTTGCGTTCAATGGTCACCGGTACGCTATCCCGCCATTTCGAAGTGGACGATCGACCCAGCGAGTCTGAGCTTGACCTGGGAGGAGGCGATGATGGTTTGACTGGTAATGACGACAAGGCAGGAGCAGTGGCGGATTCGTGAATAAGAGACGGGGGGTTCTGAGGCTGGAATAGGCCGTAATGCGGAGTCTGGCTGGCATTAGGATCGGAATTATCAGTTGATTCCCAAGCAGTTGAGGAGTAGCCTTCGTCAGCCATGGCTACATTCAGCGAGGGTTGTACAGGCTCGGGAAGATGGCGAGCAATTGTAAGGATCCCGTGTGTCCTCTAATGTTCGGAACAACTATCACGGATTATGTAACTTTTCCAGAACAGGCTTATGTCGTTCGGAGAACGTTGGTGTGGTTTCCCTGCACAATTGCAAGGGCCCAAGAAAAATTGACAAAACTGTTTCATTGTGTGAAATAACAATCTCTTCCACCTCTTCAGCTAGTACACGTTTTGCCTAGATTGCGTAGCCGTGATCTAGTAACCCAGAAGAATGCCGTATACAGTGCCACCCAACCAGACACAAACACAGAACGAAGGGTAGATATAGGAATCGTTAACTTCTTCAGTGACCGTTCGTAACCCCCCCACAACGCGGACAAGCAGTATTGAATTGTTCCATGATCAATCCCTGGTCAGGAAACATTCTGGTGTGCGTGAGCCCGGAGTACGATTTGTCAAGTAAGATACTAACGTTTGAGCGCAAGTCGATCCACAACTGTGTATCCCTGTCTGATGCGATGGACTGAAACGACAGTCTCTCTTGCGACAGTCGATCTGCGCAACGATTAGACATCGATGGAATGTGTACTGTAGTCAATACATACCACTTGCTGTCTAGTGACCGTTTGGTGGCTGCAGCTGTACTCTGCGTACTGAATAATTTTGTAGCACATCTCGGGAGAGATTCGCAGACGAATAATTTTCTGATCAGCATGGAGGGCTGGGTTATAAGTCACTTTGTGATCTACACATCACCAAATCAACATAAACTCACCTGACCGCAAAAATGATGGATGTATTAATTGAGTTTCGTCAGCTGTGCTCTTGGGTCCACGAGTCAATGCAATCTAGTTCGCGATCGCAAAAAAAGCTTCGCTCCACTGAGCTGCTTTGGGCTCGGCTATTGCCACCCCATCAGAGCCCCGGGTTATGGCTCTTCTCTAGAAAACAAATGCAATCTGCCGACGATCCATTGCAAGATCACTTCCGCTGCGGAGCGGATCATCGGTGACGATAAGGGGCGACACTACTACCAGTTGTATTGATGCTGTTTCGGCGATTACTAAGTGAGCGGTAGGAAGAGCACGACCCCAGGGATGCTCGCCAGCGGCAAGTACCCTGTCGATAAGGCTCAATCCAGGTTATATTGAACACAATGGAGAGGCTCACAATATCGATTGAGAAGCCGTAAGGTGGGTTAGCCACGCCGCTTTCATGTTACTGAGTGGCCACGCAAGAACGCACTGGTATTACCCGTCGTGTCAACCGCATGCCGATTCACAGGCACGGGCCGAGACAAGATCGTCAAGACTTCGCATGCTATAATCGACAATCAGAGAACCTCGTTGAAGACACACAATGACCAACACGAGGAACTCTGTATCAAACCTCCTCGATGGCCTCGGACTAAATGAGGTCCTACGAAGGTTCTAGCGCTCTTCTACTATAATTTGTTTCGGCACCGGAGTTTCAATGTTCCACGACAACGGGACGGACCTGACGCACTTTCAGTGTCAGAGGGAGGAAAAAATCGAGTAAAATTCCAGTTGGGCGAACCAGAACAAGTAAAAGATCGGGCTCAAGGGTTGCCTAGGTATACCGAAAAATACACATTGAGCGCAATTCGCCAGCGGTACGAAAGTTTGCCTTTCGAACAGCACATGCACTTTTTGAAGCTGCATTAAAGTGGTACTAACTCATAGCGTCAATCAAACACAATAATTGCAAAGACGCAAAAATCAGGTGTCACACCGCAGCAATGAATTTGCGCTCCAAGATCTGTTTTCCCCCAGTGCCAATCATCGTGCATCTGGCAAAATACTTCGCCAGTGCCAGCCGCACGCCTTGGAGTGCATGAAGTGCATCGGTCGTCCCACCAGAACCGAGCTTTGACATCAAAATACGGAGATACTCGTCGCAGGATCCTTGATCGGTTCGCGCAATTACTTCTTCCAAATGCTGTAACAGAATGCACGCGCTTGCATACGTAAAGAGCAATGTGCCGTCTAGCAGAAAAATAAGGCACTCGGCATGTGCATATGGGGCTCTTACGTACCATGCTGCAGAAGTGGTTGGGAATCGCACAGTAGTACCGCCCACCACGATTTCGGAGCAAGCCCGTCTTGGAACATTGATACAAGATCCCAAGCAGCATCTTGCAGATCCTGATTACACAGGCGCTGATGGAACTCGGCGTAACGAACGGCAAACATCAAGCGGTGAATGAAGATGCCCTGTGCACCGGACTGCATCCGAAGTGCCTGAAGTGACGGTGCAATGCCAGCCACGTAACGGGTAAATTGTTCCGGTCCTAATGGTACTTCGTTCAACTGCAAGCAAGCAGATTCAGAACGATTCATACCTGCAGTGATATATTCTTGTAAAACGCGGTCAACAACGCGACCTAACCCAGGCCAGTCTTCCGCTGAGGAGGAATACGAAAGTGCGAGTCCGTATTCCTTTTCTTGTACGAAGGTTTGAGCTGCTATCTGTGGGAAAACATAGTGAACATAATTGGCGTAAATTAAAGACATTGCATACGCGACAAATCGTTCGTCGGACTTCCTCCCGCTGATATTCATAGCACGTCGCATTGATGTCTTTTACCACACCGGCAAGATCTCCAGACTTTAAATTACCGGCGCCATTTTGCTCCCCTTGGCCATGGGTAGTTGACCCGACGGAACGCAACTTGAGCGGAACGTGCATTAACACTTCGTCGGCACTTCTGACGCCAGTTTCTCCACAAGAGAACATGTATGCCACAGTAATTCTCCAAAGCGCAGGATCAGCGTGAAGGTACTGTGCATAGCCGAGCACGTAAAAATCTCTGATATTGAGACCTGAGCTGCAGAAAGCATAAGCACTGTTGTCCCCAGTAATAAAAACTTCACATACTCCTCGTTGGGATCCTTTTCGATTAAAGATAATGCTTGCATCAAATCTGCCATATGCGCAGCAAGCCATGGGTCGAGCTGTGCTGCGTGGGATAGTGCTTTGGTAGGGTCACCGCTGAATAGCGCCGCATGTACCATATCTTCCAAATTCGTCGGATCTTGGGGCATGTCATCAAGAACCTGAGAGACAACCTCACTTCGAAAAACGTCAGTATAGATTCGTTATTGAAAGGGGGCGACATACGGTAAATCCTGTCTTCGTAGTCTTGCATCGGCAAATACACCCCATGAGACAGAAATTTCTCTCCAGTCTGCGCCAAGATCTTCGCAGACACGGCGAATTACTTCGCTGCGTCCTTCGAGTATACCAACAATGTCGCTTAGACGATCCCACCAATTTTCAATCCCGTCATGCCGATCAGATTCTGAAACACTGTCTAGTTCAATTCGCAGAGCTTTCACTTTATCCTTCCATCGGTGAGAAGCATATGCAAAATCACGCTCCGCCTCAAAAGACTGAAGGCGAGGCTGAGATTGAAGCAATGGGGACAACTGTTGAGCAAGCCGGCGGAGGTTGTCGGACGGGTGAGATGATAGTGTTGCGAGGAAGAAAGTTGCGGCTTTGGAAAGACCTCTTAAAGTCACCCTGTACGATATATTAGCATGTTAATTATCACTGAAATAATATCTTACCTGACAAGATACGGCCAAAATGTCTCATCTTCCCAAGGATGATCCAGACCTGATAGGTGATCGCCCTCCTCCGTGGAAGGTTCGATGAAGTGGACATTCAGCCACTCCATTAAATCGTCACCTACTGGTGCGTCTTCGTACCCGTACTCGGGTACGTATAACACAGCGAATAGAGCAAGACACGTGTATAAGCTGCGATAATGATCGCCGGAAAATTGGGAGGAACCCTGAGACTGAACAGACGTTTGCTACCTCCCGATCAACACTTCATGGTGAGATAATACGTAAATACTCACCGAGGTGTGTATCCAGCACTCTCTGGCGAAATTAACATAGTCCAGAGTTAGCTTTCTGATCACATTATGGGTTTCTTGACTGTGTAACCTAATGTGGAACGGGGTTAGTGTGTATAACAAATAGGCTAGCGATCAAAGGCACCATTCCTGTCCCCGGCTTTGAGCGGTGTTAGTCAAGTTTTGTAACGCAGCAAAGATTATGGATGTATCTCCAATGAACTATCCAAACATGAATGCGCGTGATAGAGCATCAACCATATGGACACACCAGTCGTCTTTCAGATGATGGCGAAGTTTCACTGCTCGCAAAGAATATGGGCTGTTCCTCCGCACCACTGACTTTTATGCTCGGAGTACCTTTCTAGCACAAATAATGAACTGGCGCTTCGTCGAAGAAAATTGACGGTGTAAAACCTACTCGGGCTGACGGAAATACAGCGTACGATTGGTTCAAAGGTGATTGAGTGGACAAAATTGTCTTTCCCGACTGGATGAACTGTTCAGCATGTCCAACTTGAATGAGAGGAGGGAAGAGGTTAAGGTGGTGATCGGTGGAGCTCATTGGGTTTTGATGAGTGACGCTTGCAAATAAGTAAATGAGTTCCCTGCCCTTTTGCACCTCCACGTGTGAATACAATGGAGCGAGCCCAGGACGACCTACTTATCAAGAGAAGTGGTTGGTCTCAGTGCCTTCGACCCGGAGACTGATTACATCAGCTTCCTCATTTGGTATAATAATCCCACGAACGATAAGCGATTTTAATTATTGATGCTAACTCAGGTGGATATCACAGCAGCTCCCTCCTGAGTAGAGACGATCATGCTCGTGGATGGAGATTTAGTAGGTAAATCGAAAGTACGCTGACCGTTAGTTAGGTTGACAGCACGCCTGTCACCTTTGATTCCCCATGACCTGTCCTACAAAACCGATGTCGCATGTGCGCGATTTTACTTGCAGATAGTACTAGGTGAAATTTGCGATGGCAATTTGATTGCGGGTACGGGACTGATATCGGAATGCCGAACACAAGCGACGATCATCCGACGAAGAGGCACCGTGACGGCGTGCGGAGCGTTGCGCAGATATAATTCCGTTGTCTGGATTGCTGCTTTCGCTTCGCGAAGAAGCACGGAAGTTGCTTCAAACGCTTCTACGATGTGACGCAAATATCGACCCATGCGGGGGCTCGAGCGCTCCGAGTCAAGCAAATACTGTTGATCCTGCATTCGGCACCGCAGACTGAAGGAACAACAGAGTGGTAAAGAAACGGGTTGCAAGATGGCATCGATGCGTTGCCAATCAGGTATGGGCCGTGTCACAGGTGCTGATCACAGCCAAATTCCAAATCGATTTATTCCTCAATTTTTGGTTGCAGGTCATTCGCGATGATTTGGCTCCCTTGAAGCTTGAAGCTTAAACTTAAGGTTCACTGATATATGTATATATATATATGATGAATATTGTTAGCATAAACTGATTAATTAACTTCCAAAAATTTTCAGGCAGCATCTTATTACGCATACACTCAACGGTTTCGTTATTCAATCACGGCCTCGACCTCCCTCAATCACTGATAAGCTTACAGCTACTTACGCCCGGGCGTAATGCACAAGATCAGTACATCATCCCCCAGTACTAGTACCGTGCTAAATTGGTATAAGTACAGGCTACATGACACATCAGCATGTTATTAGGCACATCAAGCCAAAGGGTTTTGCAGGAGGGCGCGTTACGAGGACCTAATGCAGCTTGGGCCTTTTCAATCGGCGTTTATTCGAAGGTGTACCCACACCCTTGATGTCATGCTCATTTCCGCAAGCATCTACGGCCACCTTAATGCGAGTTCGGAATTTTTCCGTGGACCTGTAGTCAAGTGGTGTCTTGACTCATGTTGATTCTTGAAACCTTGGGATGAGAAGATAAGGACAGGAAAAGAAATCTCAAGGTAAGCATGTCTGTCTAACCCCTTTTTGAGAGAGATGGGGAATACCTCTCGTGGATGGATCGCAGTAGTTTTCAATACCGCTACTGAGTGACTGCCCCAATAACGGCTGATTAACCTTGCGTCCCCCCGTCTGCAGAAAGACCGCGATACAACGCCATATATCTCAGGGCATGATTAGCAAGCTACGTACCGCGGTGCCCAGACTTTGAGAATCCTGTGCGATAGCATCGATGCTCGATGTTACCACATTGGGCAAAGGGCACAATTTCCCCTTCAATCTCGATTGACTTGGTTTCAGCCCTCCAGCTTAGAAAGGCCAAGGCTTTGGAAAAGTGATGCCCGTGAGAGTTGCCCTGTGGCCGCCTCATGTGGATGACTGATTTGAAGACCCAATGCTATCTATCTCGATAGATCAGAACATCGAGGCATATTCTTACCTTTGTTCTCGGGCATTCCATTTTAGCAGTTCCACGGTGATCGCAGATTGGCAAGCTACGAACCGGTTTGCATGACATTCAACCTGGTCGTGGACGTCAGTTTGAAACGCTCATGAGGCTCTTGTTGTCTGAGAATATCCAATTGTGATTGTGGTTTGTTGTGAATATTTTTCATATTTTCCTCCGTAGAATATTCACGGACCGTGGATAATTGAGGAGAGAAGCTGAGGAGGTTGTCTTAGAGCCTGCCGCCGCTTTCAAGTTCTGGACTTACTAGAATGTAATTTTTCAACCACACTTTTCAGTTCTTGTTGTCACCAGCGCCAGGAGGTGAATTGACGGTCTATAAAATATGTAGGATCATTAGATGATATGGCAAAGTCGTCAGCGTGTTGAAGTCCGAATCTGCGGTTCGGTGGTGTGAACGAAGGTTTTGATCTCCGAGGTGGAACCATTAGCGGTAATATCCCACTCGTTTCCACTAATCACCTATGCTGTTATCCGAGTCCTGCCCATGTATCGTCCTATGGTAGTACGCATAACTCAATGACGATTATTGGACAAATATTCGTTTTCATGGACAATTCGGCATGTCCGTCGTTTTCGATTCCCTTCGCGACGAAAAATAATTTTAGCTTGAGGCACCGTCCACGTACCACGTTCGACCAGCATGTTTTGCACGACTTAGCCATGGCCACACTGATATGACTTCGCCACAAAGAAAAAATCTCCTAGCCCGGAAAAAAAAGGTCATAAGACGACCTCGTCACAGAGGATGAAGAAATATCACAAGAACTATCGCTCTTCCGCTCGCACGAAATGTACATTTGTCGGCGCCTTTGAAGATGGGAGCTTTAATCACATCACCGAGCTGGCCGCCCCTCGCGCTTGGGATCTCTTGGCACACTTGTCTGTCTCGCCTTCAATGTCAGACAAGTGATATTTATGTCATAGGATGAAGAGTTGTACTCAATACGATTTGGTATCTTTTCTGGGAATGCGGAGCAGGTCATCCTCGGTTGCTCGATGACCCCCAAGATCGGTGAGCAGAATCTGATTGGCTTCGAGATCCATGCGGTATCGAAAGATTATATCCATCCAGTTGATAATAGAAACACACCAGCACGCCATCTGCGCGCCTCGTCATCGGTATTCGTCCTAAGATCCCGCCGGCTCCAAAGGTACTCCAACACAGGGTCCTGATTCCTTGAACACCACAGCTCATGTCGCTCCCGTGCGCCGACCACAGAGACGAGGGCATCTTCCATACCCAAGGAATCGGTACATCACGTACGCAATGGCACACTCTTACCTTTGAATGTACAGCGCTCATCGTTCTCAGCATCACTGGCCGCAGAAGTCGAAGTTGTTTGGGTAAAGAATGGTTCCATTGGGCTGGTCGAGAAAAATTACGTCTCATTACTGGGTGCTGGGGTCGTGAAAAGACCTCGCTATCTCGAGAGTCGACACCAGAAGGCTTGTGAGGCATCGGGAGACTGGGCTAGGAGGTCGGGTTGGATTTCCAATGAGTCCGGCTGACCATCCTAAAAGCGGGATAGTTTTGCGGCTCCGTGGCTGGATGCCTGGTGGGCCAATGATTACATCTTCCACATTGCTGTTGTCATCTAAAACATATCTCCAGCCTAATGTGACTTCATTGCAGTCAAATGTCATCAAGTTTTACACCTTTCGATACATCGAAGAATCGAAGACGAACTTTCCGACCTGCAGTGATGAAAAGTAACGGCGTCTCCTACGAAACCATTTTTCATACCGTGCAGTACCGTGGTTTCGCTGCTATGTATGATTGTTATCTCACATTCATGACGCGTGTCGTTTTCCTTTGCAACATAGCGTATAGGTTGCTTCATGTGACGTGGCCTCCTGCGGTAGCAAGCAAATTAGGTTTGGTCTTCCTGCTCTCGATGTCAGAGCGTATCAGCACCGCAGAGAAAGCAGCCCCAGTGAACCTTTGTTCAGCTCACCGTCAGTGTTTCAGTACGTTATCAGCAATTTTCGGGTCTTATCCTTGACGAGCTCGCCCTCGGTGCCGCCTCTATGGACCCCCGCATTGCCCAGTCGCGAACGATCTCGAGGGTGCTCGAGTATTGGATCGAGGCATGTACTGGAAGGACGTCGCGTCGCATCATACATCATGGGTTTGATGAAAGAGCTTCACATTCACCTGAAATCGAGCTCCACCAGTCAGGAACTCGCATTTCACTGGAGAAGATTGGCTCACTCCGATCCTTCGAAATTCTATCTCCGCGACCCCATGGCAAGATGCTGGACATTCTTCTACCAGATGCGTATCCCAAACTTGGCTTGAAAATCGTTTAGAGACCTTAAACGGCGATCTATGGTCTTACAGCACATGTGAACCACATTCGGACACGACGCCAAGGTCCAGGTGCGTGAAAAAAAAAGAATGGCCGCTGGCTAACATGCCACAACAGTCCTAACGCTCCCACCAAGATCACATTCATGCATACGAACCAAGTTTCCTGTCTTTACTATCAAGGATACAGCCCAGGGACCAAGGACCTATGATTGGCGCATTTTCGCCACAGACCCCCAGCCTGTTCTGGTCAACGAGGCTCAATGCATGTTTCTATCGATTCACGTTTCACTTTTTTGTTGTTTTCAACTCCAATTTTTGACCATTGAGACAATATACCCATGTCGGACAGTACGACATTCCCCTTACCATCGTGCCCCCAAGTCAAAGATCTAATCTTCTAATTTTCAATTCGCGACCCTTCTCCAGCTCGGTTAAGGACCCTGGATCAACGCTTAGTCCAAGTTTTTTGAGTAAATGGACTCACCCGGACGGATGATTTGGGATGGAGAGCTGGCCTTAATTTTGTACCGTTCTTCTCAGGAGAGTCCCGGGTATCCTATTTGTAGAAGTTCATCATCAGCACCCGCGTCTCCAGCAACCGCACGTTAGTGAATCGAAGGAGTGGTTTGAGAGCATCGTGGATTTTGGTCCACTCGGTAAGCCCGTGATTTTTTTCTTTAAACTTCGTATGGCATGTGGCAGTGTCGGATTAGTGGGGCAGCATGGGTGTGGTACACGAACATGTAACACACAGGTCGTTTGCAGACCAGATGCTTGGAACACATCGTAACTCGTCGTCTTTTGTTTCCTCCTCCAATGACTCCGTCTGTGGAGCTAGAAATTGATCCCCGACAGGCATGACAAACCACTTCCCTCATCGAGAATAAAATGCGCGAGCTAGATTCTTGCAAATTGCGCTATAGGGTACTCGGTTGAGACCTAGAACCCTCTAGCCACTCGCTGAGTCACCGAGATCGTTCAGTGACGTATCACTGATGACGCTCGAAGCTTGCACTAGATTCTGGCTATAAAGTCAGAAGTCAACTCGAGATGCGAAGAAGGGGACTGCTATTGCAGCAGCGGAATCTGTTTGCCATACATAACTTCCGACGCCGTGAATGCGATATGCGGTAGCGCCGTCAACGAACATAACCACCGACGGACAAGATTCTGTCTAGGCCAAAGTGCAGAGAGACGCTCTCCGTGAAAAAGGTCCCACCGAGCGTACCACCTGCAGAGACTGAAGCATATACCGCACCTTTAATGCTACGTTGCCGATAAGGAGAGGCTGCAGCACAGCTCGGTGACGTATCCCCTCCTCAAACCGAGCAGTTATTTTCACAAGCGACAGCGCGAACCACGCACCAACGCTATATTCTCCCTCTCAGGCACAAGGCCACCTAGGAGTTAGCCATGTGCAAACGTGCATACACTCGCCCCTTCAGGCTTTCACTGCTTAGGGCGATCTGCACTAACCGGAGCACAAGCCACTAAATGTCATATATGCACCAAACACTTTACCATTCACCATGCCTCGCTTCCACCGCTGTATGTATTTATGTCTCCAGACATAATTAGCAAGGCGAGGGCGAGGCAGCCCTTGGCATCACTATTTTCGGAATCATTTGCTGCGCAACGGTCGAGTTTTCATCAATGCGTTTGCCACGATGATGTATATACTTGGCTGTGCTAATTTACCAACCGGTATGCTTGTGGCAACCAGCTTGCAAAAATCATTAGTACTGACGCCTAGTCCAGGGTCAAACGTAATGTGCGTGCAAGAAGCATGCTTCTAATCATTTAAGCTCTAACGAGCCTCGCAGAAAGCATCAAAACAACACGAACTATTATATATGACCGACACACCGGCTGAGATGGAGATGCAATATTGCAAATACTTCCTTCCATAATGGTTCAGAGTGGCTGTAAGCTGTTGGTAATATTAGGTGTAAGTACGGCACGCTTGCAGGCTGCCAGCCAATGATATACTTACTATGTTGACCAGCAGTACTTACGCATTTGAAGTTCTGGCTGGCATCAACCTCGTTCAGGACGCAGTCCCCCAGCCCCATGCAGCGAATGCAAGGCTCACAACAGGTCCTTTATAATTAGGCATTCGAGCTAAAACTTGGATTATCTCCCACCATCCACATCGAGGGTGGTACCCTCAGGACGACTTATCTGAGTCTCACAAGCACAGGGCTCATTTCGGGCTGCGCGGACGTACGAACACCATTTTCCAAATGAAGAGTGAAACGCTTTTGCACTCTCATCATAACAACGCCGACGAACCGGCTACCAAGCTCCATTGGCCAGATGACTCGCGCCAGAGTGAGCCTGGTATACTCAATGCGGTGCATGAGGTTGCACAGCGCAAGCCACAGGTGGACGGCTGGCACGCCCCAGAGATGATCTGGCTCCATCAGGTTGAAGAGACATCCGCGGCAAAACTCAGAAGGGGGTTAGAGGTTGGCGACCCTGAACGATGCAGTCGCATCTTGAACATCCATGTATATTGGAAACTTCAGCCGATCACGAATCTGAGCGAGAAAGAGTTTAAGCGCGCGTGGTGGCTAGTCGTAATCTGTAGGTGTCTTCCTTATTGCGCTCATTACTGTCTGTTAATGACTGCTACAACAGGCCATCGTATCCTCTGGGTAAGCGACGTCCGTCATTATGACGTCAGCCTCAGCAATCACATGGCCTACCGGACCCCAGACGGTCTAGTGATGGGTATCATCAACGACTGCGACTTGTCGTCGTCTCAAAATGGGACTAGCGGTCAAGAGCGCACAGCAATGGTACCATTCATGGCGGTTGACCTTGTCACGAAGGAAGCCATCGAGGGCAATGTGGAGCCCTTGTACCAGCACGTCGCTGAATCGTTCATATGGGTCTTCATATGGGTCATCCTTCAGTATGAGGATGGAAAGCTCCTGAGCAAGAACAGACCACTCGATTACATGCTCACAATTGATGCGGTTGACTGCCAGGAGTTCAAATGCGGCTTCTTAAAGTTGGCAATGGAGAACAGAATACCAGTCTCTCCGCCGCACTCTCCTTTCTGGAGTTCCGAGCCGTCTTTCGAGTTGGCTTACCTTACTAAAATCGCTCCCTACATGGAGGGATCCTGTCTGTTTCGGACGTGGTTCACGGCGCAGCTACCATCGCTAATGCGCTCTCTTGTCCAATCGTTAGCTCGCACGAAATAAATATCCCCTTGACCCCACATCCTTCGATTGCACGTACCACCTGACACGTTAATATATAATATACTGTTGGTAAAGTTACCTTATCTTGTAGTAGTTTTACTGTAACTGAGAGCCAAGACTGAATTATTTGCGGGCCAGACAAGATCCATGAGACAAGGAAATATGATTAGAATAATACATATACAATACAACAAGCTGCAGCGAAATCCTCAAATATCTATGCACCGAAACCATACAGAGTACGCCCTGAGCGCTTCAGAGCGTAGACCACATCAAGGGCGGTAACAGTTTTCCGCTTTGCGTGCTCAGTGTATGTTACCGAGTCACGGATGACCTGCAACAGGACATGAGCATGGATACTTGAATTCGGTGAGCACATGCACGCACATTTTCAAGGAAGATCTTTAGGACACCGCGGGTCTCCTCGTAGATAAGACCAGAGATACGCTTGACACCGCCACGACGGGCAAGACGACGGATAGCAGGCTTTGTTATGCCTAGGCATGCTAGTTAGACAAAAGATAAGGGCAGAAAGCGCTGAATGACTCACCCTGAATGTTGTCACGAAGAATCTTGCGATGACGCTTAGCACCACCCTTTCCGAGACCCTTCAAGGTATGTCAGACTTGAAACAAAACGACGCCGACTCTGAGATTCACCTTTCCACCTTTTCCACGGCCAGACATTGTATTGAGTTAAAGGTGAAGTGTAGTGAAGTGTGTGAGTTTACTGTGCTGCGACGAGACGAGGCGGGAGATACAGGAGCACAGCAATCAATTGCGAACTTGGTTATATACCGTGGTGTGTGGCTGTGCCGAATTACCGTATCTGGGACGTTGATTTGAACGCGGGAAGCACGTGATGTGACGCGACGCGTCCGTATATAGATGGGTCCATGGCAGAGGACATGTGCCCATTCCTATACAAACACCAACCATCGCTTGTACTTCAATTACCCATCCCAAATAAACAATGGCTCGCACCAAGCAAACCGCCCGCAAGTCTACTGGAGGTAAGTGGTTGTGGGACTAAGGACATAGAAACCGAGCTCATTCACTATCAGGCAAGGCCCCCCGTAAGCAATTGGCCGCCAAGTCCGCAGCCCGTAAGACTGCGCAAGCAGTGCGTTCAATCTTTCAACCGTTTGGGCTTTGTTTACAAGATTTGTTTTCTTAGAGCACTGGTGGTGTTAAGAAGCCTCATCGCTTCCGTCCCGGTACCGTCGCTCTTCGTGAGATCCGTCGGTACCAGAAATCAACGGAGCTGCTTATCCGCAAGCTCCCTTTCCAACGACTTGTTCGTGAAATCGCACAGGATTTCAAGGTAAGTTGTACCTTCTGTCTTAACTGTACTCTTCTCATTTCTCGTCTCAGACCGACCTGCGCTTCCAATCATCTGCCGTGATGGCTCTTCAAGAAGCCGCTGAGGCATACCTCGTCTCGCTGTTCGAGGACACGAATTTGGCTGCTATTCACGCCAAGCGCGTGACTATTCAACCCAAAGATCTTGCTCTGGCACGGCGGTTGCGTGGGGAGCGTTCATAGACCTGACATCTTTTATTCGTATCTGTGGTGTACCTTACTGTATTTCTATCTATTTCATTTTTGACAACCCGATGTGTGCTTATTTGCAGCATGACTTGCACCATATTGGCCTCTGGCATTCGAAGTTTCGACGTGAAGATTCTGACAAGGTGTGGTGAACTAGAACACGTAACATGTTGACGAAAAGCACCCACATGCACATCAAAGGGACTCGCGATGGCCGACAAAAGAAGTTGACGTTTTTCGGACAATGGGGTGATACAGTCGTGGATTTAAACAGACATTGACACAAGACACAATGGGACACCGGAACTGACGACAGTGGACGTCGACTTTGAGTGGACTCACTGCAAGAGTCTGCACGTGATCGCGCGACGCGATTCTATAAAGCTTGAAAGAACATGGTTGTTGTCCCCAGGACCATCACCCAAACCAAGCATCTACACTTTTGACAATCAACACTCTCTGCCTAACAATGGCCCGTACCAAGCAAACTGCCCGCAAAAGCACAGGCGGTAAGTCCCAGTAGCTCTTCCGGTCCACTGCCACTCAAGCTCATTCACAACCAGGTAAGGCTCCTCGAAAGCAGCTCGCGGTGAAGTCCGGCAAAAAGGCTCCCATTCACCATCCAGTATGTTCTTCCTTCCTGAACTTCTGAACCCACCTAACCTCCTTCCCTCAGCCTGCTGGTGGTGTCAAGAAGCCTCATCGGTTCCGTCCTGGTACCGTTGCCCTTCGCGAGATTCGTCGTTACCAAAAGTCGACGGAGCTACTCATCCGTAAGCTTCCTTTCCAACGACTTGTCCGCGAAATCGCACAGGACTTTAAGGTAAGAAAATTTATGTAAATCAATCCCATTGAATTCATTTGACATTTAAATGTCGCAGACCGACCTCCGGTTCCAATCATCAGCCGTAATGGCGTTACAAGAAGCGGCCGAGGCGTATCTTGTGTCGCTGTTTGAGGATACCAACTTGGCTGCTATCCATGCCAAACGTGTGACTATTCAGCCGAAGGACCTTGCTCTTGCCCGACGTCTGCGTGGCGAACGTTCGTAGAAGTTTTCATTTGATATCCGCTAATCTTCTTTGCTGCGACTTCGTTGTCTCTTGGTATATCTCTATGTTCTTAACTTCCCATTTGAGAATTTTGCTGGCGTTTGTCTTGTTTTCTATAATGAGCAGAAATTAGACTTGTCTTAAGCTTCTTGCTCTTCGGTGACCCGGCTTGGGTAAGATGTCCGGCCATGCATTCTCATGCTTAAAGACAAGACAAGACATCACATCTATAAAGTGCCAGTTCTAATTTCAAAGACGTTGTGACCACCACGCACCAAGTACTGATAATCAGCACCAATAGCCTGCACCAAGCAAATTGTGCGCGAGTACCCGCAGTGAGTAGCTTCAGGTTGTCTGGTCACTGTGTCGATCGTAGGGAATTCTCACTCATATTTGTCAATCTGTGCTGTATCATTGGGAGCCCGGCGCCCACTGGCAGCACTAGCTGTGATGAGAGAACGTGTACACAGGCTGACTAAGTTGCAGAGCTTTATCCTTCTCTTCCGTGTTCCGACACTAGCACATTGACCTCGTCCCGACCTTGTTGTAGCTCTTGCGTGGTACATGACTTGCATATGAAACTCATGCTTCGCCCTGAATGGAGGCTCTGGCCGATCTCAACTTTCCTTGGTGTTACTGACCTCAAAACTGGCGTCATTGTTGCCCTACTGTTCGCAGTAAGCTTCGAAGCCTTTTTCCTTTGACCAATGTCGCGAATATAACTTGCCTCACAGCTCCTCAACAAAGTAGCAGGCGTGTACGGCCTGATCGCTGTTCTGACCGGTGCAGGTGGCACTTTTGCACAGCTCAGTCTGTACTTGTATTCAGTTCTCGGTCTCGTCGCACTGAGCTGGGGACTGAAATCCGTCAAAGATGTTCGTCGCTTTAGCACAACCCTCCATCTCTCGATGACAACTGTCTTTGTTTTGCAGGAAAATCCTCAGCACACACTCTATTTTGCATACTTTTTCTTCGTCGACCACATTTTCTCAACAGCTTGGACAGTATTCTTCTCCATCCTTTGGTGGAGTCATACCTTGCATGACGGGCAGCAAATATCCAATTCGCGTGCGCAGGAGGCCATACGGAATGGTGCACCAGCTGTAAACCACACTATGACGGATGCGCAGCGGGCTGCCGAAGCAAATATCTTGTGGGATGAGGAGAAGGGCACCGCCATGGGTGTTATTGTCGTCAGCTGGCTTGCAAAGGTACATACTCGCACAATTTCTACACATTACTGGATTCCTAAACTCTCAATCACTCAGATATATTTTGCACTATTGCTCTACTCATACGCCACGCACCTCCGCAAGGGCTCTTACAACTCCATCCGACACTTCCGTTCATATTCAAGTACTCCCACAGGCTACACCGCAGCACTCACCGAAGAAGAGGATGAAGTTGATGATTTTTACCTACCCTCGATACGAAAGAACCAGCCCTCGCATGCTCCAAGTGACTCTATATCACACCTTCCAAACGGATCTACACCATATTTCCCCAACGGTTCTGCTTCACACTCGCAAAATGGCTCCTCTTCCCATGTTGCCAATGGCTCGATATCGCATCTGCCCGATTTTGTGAGCGCCCCAGGAAGACACGGGAGGAAAGCGAGCAGGGGCTCGTCAGGGAAGACCAATATACCCGGGAGGAAAAGTGAGGGGAATGGGGAGGTTATATTTGAAGACGCCGGGTCGTAGTACTTGTTGGTAATATACCTTTTTCGCATTGTTTGGCAATATATCGACGAACATAATATTTACGATAGAATAAATGGCAGAGCCCTTGGTGTCGATTCAGCAATGCGATGAGGGTGTTGATCTGCTAGTCAGTCATGTATTGGCACTATCCTTAAAAGACGAGGCAAGCCTTCGTATAGAGCGCTGGATTCTTTAGCTGGTTCAATGCTTCTCGAGTCGCAAACAATATGGCATGGTACACATCTGTAGTATAACAAGAAAGTACATCAAATTCGTGGGCTCCGCAACATTCGTGTCCCCGTTCACTAGAAGCAATGCACCCCGAAGGATGCGAATGTTATAATGTCAACCTGTCCGTATCTTCTTTGCCTCTGGGCCCTCGTTCGGGACTCGACCTTGGGTTGCACACGATTCGGATGCCACATTCACTTTCAGGAACCTTTCCTCAATATCCCGCACCCATTTACCCCCCTCGGCACCTTCAAACAACCATACGTGACTAAATCAAGACTAAATCAAGCAACGCGCAATCATCACGATATAATGTGACGACACACCTCTTTGCAACACGAACAGGTTCGGTTTTGCCCATCATTTCACCCGAGGGGCGCTTTGTTGATTTCGCCAGTGACGAAATCTCGAGGCGCTTCCCCACTGGTGGTGGTAACTCCCATGAGAGCTGCTCGCAGAGGTGGTGAATAATATCGTCCGCATTTCCAAGAAGGATGATCTAATTCCGAACAAATGGTTAGTGTTACCGAATTTTGACAGCGAGGTCTGTACGAACGTCAGGGTTAATATGTCGGACAGGAGTCTTGTTGATCAGAATCTATCACGGTGCTTGGCTCAGAGAACGCACGGGACACCGATAATAGGGTACCAACCTGGGGGACAGAATGAGGAAGATGCGCTGCCAAGGTTCAGCCGCTCGCCTTACTTTCACATGCATTTTCAACTCACAGAGAATCTGGGACACAGGCGAGACCTTCAGTGAGGTTCCGATGACGATTAACAAGTCGATTTTATCTCGATCGTCCTCGAGGGCGTGCTCAAAGTCATCCGCAAGCTTCTCTCCGAAGAAGGTGATGTCCGGCTGCATGCCCATGTCATTGAGAACTTGCAAAAATAGAACAATAAGAGCCAACCAACCTTCATCACGCCAACTGGTATTGCATCCTCCTCTTCATCAGTCCCCTCCTCCCATTCCTTCCTACCTCGCTTCTTGGCCTTTTTCTTGAAAGCAGCCGTCCTGGCTTCTTCGGCTGTCTTCTTAGCTTCCGAGCACACAGTGCAGAACGGAACACGATGTTCCATGATATCTTTTTCAATTTCGGTACCTGGTATGTGCCGTTTGCACTGGATACACGTAGCGGTCGCGAATGATCCATGGCACTGCAGCACACGAGTAATTCCGGTGAGTGTTTCTAGCGTGTCAATGTTCTGAGTGTAGTTCTAGTGATGCCTTCGTCAACACTAGGCGGGGAGGAGGAATGGTAGGACTCACTCGGAGAAGCTATTGATTATTTTCGCAAGGTTCCTTAGTTCTATGAATAAGATGGCAAGGTTACCTACCTTGCCTCTATCTTCTATAGCTTTGATGAAACGGTGACAAGGAGAAGGTGTAAAATTAGACGGATATATCTGGCTGTAATTGCCGCATCAGTTGAAGTATTGTCTCTCGGGGGTCGGAGCAATAACCTTGCAAATGAGCTTGATGACCACAATCTCAGCCTGTCGTCATACATCATAGAACAGCCATACTTACTAGAATACTGTGCAAAGCGATTCTTGTTAACGACACCATCTCATAGGAGGTGAGGACTCTCACCAGCAGGGTTTTCTCTAAAATAGTGTATATCAAACCTAACAGGTGTCAGATTAGGAGTATACGGAGCAGCTGATCATCTTACATCTGTTGAGGGTCATCGAGGTCATAGGTTCCCCGTTCCTTCAGCATGGCGTACAGGCCATTGTGCGACCCTAAACGACACCTGATGATACTGCGTTCAAAATACAAAAGAGAGAGGTACGCACTGAAGTCTGGAATCCCACATGAGACGCCTATGCATGGATTCAGTGATTCAGTCCTGATTCGGGCAGGGGAAACATACTAATGCCAGCGCCAGTGAGCACGACCACACGCTTTGATGCTTGAATCAGGGAAACTGCATCAGAAATGGTGTTATACTGGGGCAGTTTTTCCCTGAGATGAAGCCTTATATGTGAAACATTTGAATCATCATGAGCGAATGCTCAAAAGAGTCTCTAAAGGTTTACCCACTCTTTAGACATCGCGACCCGCAGAAAATATAGCATTGTTTGAGGTTGCTTATTCCGCAATTCAGGGCACTATGGTTCAAGTCAACAATTTCCATTATACGTAGATGAGATGGTGGGGTTACCAAGAAAATGCCGAAAGCGAACAGAAGTTTCACTATCGGGATATTTTGAGTGATAACATATTCTCTGATGAAGGAACTCATTCCTGTAGGAATGCAATATAGCTGCATGATTATTGAGTCCATGTTTTCGCGTTTTAGAGGGCTTACCGCATTCTTTCAAGTGATGCATCATCTTCCGGATGTCTTCCTTTGACCATGCGCCATCTGCTAGAATACAGAGGTAACTTCAGCTCAAGGACACTCATGACTGACAAGAGGCTCCAAGGATGGCACTCTCATACTTCGAAATTATACGAGAATACCCACCTTCCCGTTTTAATTGTTCTATGACCTCAGTTTCCACTTCGAGATCGCCCAGGTCGCTATGTTCCTCTATAGCACTGTGCTGCTCATGGGCAGGGAGAGCCGGGCTTTCTGGGTCCAAGTCATCATCAAGGTCGCTCTCTTGAACTTCCTCTTCTTCTTCATCAACATCTCCCAAACCTTCGAGCAGGTCGTCGATTACATCTGGGTCCGCGTCCACATCCTCCGCAGCATTTATGAAGGCTCTTAGCTGAAGAGCGTATAGCGCGCTATATTCCTTGGGTTTGCCGTTATTGTCTCCGGCGGTTTCCCGAACGTTAGGTTGCCCATTTGATGTGCACATTTGTGAAAGAGGATGGAGGTGTATCTGCAAAGCTAGGCCCGTTAGTCTTACCCTCCGTTTGAAATAGCTCAACTAACGAGTAGATTGTACGGTGTACTTAACTGGGCTTCCACAATTACAACGCCTCCTGAGCCAGTTGCAAGGCCCAAGCGCGAGCCCTCACCAAGCGTTTGTATAAAGTCGAAACTGCAATGAATTATCCAGATCTGCACATTTCACGTGATCACTAATTTAGCGCACACGTGACACCCCTGCACTTAATCCGAGTCGCTTGCAGCTTTCTCATTCACCAACGATGTCTCTAAGTGTCGACACAACCTCATTGGAAAGTTCTGAATTTGAAGACGATGACGACGCGTATGCTCTCGATTCGCTGATTTCTAGCTCACCAAGTGCATATACCCATACTTTTACCTCTCCAGCTCCAGAGCATCACCTTGACGATAGCCAGCTCAACTTGAAGGACATTCCTGCGGCAGATCGAAAGGAAACTACTCACATAAAGACACCCCAACTTCCCATCGAAGTCATCGATTACATCGCTTCTTTCTTGTTCGACTCTTGCTCATCTGGCTGCTTCTTCCACATCCACTCATTCTCTTTGGTCTGTTCTCAGTTTAGACACGTCGCTCTTCGTCATTATTTTTCTTCCATTCGCATTGTGTCTGCAAAGCAACTTGCTGCATACACAAATTTTCATTTCTCCTTGGCCTCCCGCAATACCCCATGCGACAGTGTTGGATTAGACTACGTTAAGTGCGTTTGCTCGCATATATGCTCTCGCACACTCACCGATAAACTTGATAGAACACTTACAGCGCCATCGCACGCTCTTGAAGCAGCATCGTGGAACCCGTCTCTTTATAGGAACCTGAAGCACTTGATCATCTCTTTCTCATCGGATGGAAGACAATCCCAGACAACGCGACTGAAGCGCATCTTCTCACCACCAGCAATCCCCCTGATTACATGGTTTCTTCCTCAGCTTACATCTCTCACAATGACAAAACTCTGGCGAATTGACGTAACTTTGCTGAAAACGGTTGCATCTGCGTTCCCTTCTGTGAAGGTCCTGCACCTTAGTTGTTCGGAACAGCTAGATGTCTCCTGTTGTTGGCCTTGCTTCGAAGAAAGTTCATCTGCCGTCGTGCACTCGCCAATCCCGAACTACTTCCATGACATCACGAGATTGACGGTATGATTAGCTGTGTCACTTCATTTCAATAAAATCCGACATTTAACAGGACAGCTTCGCGGATTCACTGGAAACACTAACCCAGCTGACTGATCTTCACCTTGGTATCTTTCTTTCAGACGAGGAAATGGTGGAAAAGCATCTTGAGCACTACGACACCCCGTTGGCCTTCGATCATACGCTCCGAACAGCGTTCAGTCCCAAAGCTGCATCTCCTCCCACTGGAAACATCCTCAGTCAACCGGAAACCGAGACTACCACAGGACTCATATCCTATTCAATAGACAAAGATGACGAAAAAGAGGAGCCTCGCTACGGAGCCTGTACTGAAGACCTCCCCTTTCCTCACGGCCCAGAGCTCTGCCGTACATGCAACCTCATCGGATCCGCCTCCAAGGTACGCACACGAGAGCTGGAGGCAAGTCTCGCGCTCGCCAGGAAAATCAAGACTTTACGGACGGTTGGCTGGAGCTCGTTCTTCTCACATCTGGCCTTCGAGCCAGACGAAAAATATGCTGGCGATTGGCGTAGGAGAACAACAGTTTACATTCTACGTGCGAATGGGAGGGTGCGAGTGCGTAGGAGACCCTGGTAATGCGTAATTTTGCAATCAGATAAGCATCGTTTGTTCTCCGTTCAAACCCGAACCAGGAAGCATTAGTGTCTTTTCGTCTGTGAAATGCTCCCCTACAATGTATTGCACGCAAACAGCCGCCATGCAATCGCATCATTCGAAATTTTCAAGTTGTACGTTGAGCCCTGAGCAATAGGTTGATATGGCGTCATTGCGTAGCTTTAAAATTAAAGCGGAATCAGAGGGACGAACAATGGGCTCAATGGATTGTGCCACTCGGAGGTAGTGCAGCCCATGAAGTGTGATCAAGTCTACAACTGAGGCCGATTGTCAAATCGCACGAGGACGTCCACAAATTGTACCCACTAACTGTCACCATTGTGTGGCCGAGAATATTATAAGGACGAGCTGACCCTCAAGTTCCCCTCGCCTTGCGCGAAGACGTTCCAAGTGGCTCAGAGAGCATATTCCTCCAACCTCATTAAGTTTATACCATTACACTCTTCATTTACTTATACTAGCTCCGTTATGACGACTGCTATTACAAAAACCAACCCCAAGACAGCCGAATTTGCTCGGCTTTTTAAATTATTTGATCGCATTGCGACACGGCGCGCTAGGGGGTCCACGGAACTAGCTATCTCGATGGACGACGTCACAGCAGTTCCTGCCGAATTCGCACCAGTCCTGAAGAAACTATCCACTGTTCTCTCTTTACGCGCCCAACGCGACCAAGAGTGCCACCGTAAGCTCACAGGGCGCCCCCGCCGCAACACCGTCGCTGTTTCGCCCACGATCCAGAATGACATCGACATGGTGGAGGATGTGGGGAGTCCTACGTTTCCCCTTGAAGAGCATCACCCGTTTACCTTCAAGCTTATGCTGCACAAATTATACAACATCGACGAATGGGCCGAGAAGGTGAAAAGTGCTGTGGAAGCGTCAAAAGAACAATTTAAACCCCTGGCGGAGAGGATGCACGAGGCGATGAGGGAGGGTACAGGGAAGGAACGAGTTGTAAAGAGGAATATCGCGCGGTCTAGGAGTCAGTCCGTGCTTAACCCGAAGTCCAAAGGGAAAGCGGTTTCCCGAGAACAAGTTCCCACATCGCCAGCACGCACGAATGACTTCAGCCGAGTGTTGAAGAAACGATGCGTTGGGAGGCGCAAATCTATCAGTGGGCCACTTGCTGGGGGTGTATGGATTTACGATGCGGCCATATCTGCTGTCGAGCTGGATGGTGCTCGCCCATCCCTAGAAATTACGATCTCGAAGTCCAAAGACACTATGAACAATACTGATATTAGGTTTCGTCACCAGTCTCTCGCTGGACTAGAAGGCATTCAAGATCGGGACACCGCTCGTAGGAAGGTCAGAATCGCAGTGCCTTTGGCGCGAGACGATGCACAGGGCACTCCAGCCCTCGACGAATGGACCGATACGCGCAGTAGTCAGCAAAGCAATGTTATAAGATATTCTTCTCGCAAAATTACCTCCCCACACGAACTACGATCGATAATAACTGAGGCTAGAGTGCCGGTTCAGCACATGAAACGACCTCTTGACGAATTGTAGTTTGGTTCAAAGTAGATATGTATGATCATATCACGGTTTATCACAATTATCTCATCGCCGGAATTCCATATTTTCGTACGTATATGATGCAACATGTACAAGTATAGATAGCCTGTCATTTCTGAATCCGATTATCTTGTGTACGCTCGAGATGGGATCGTGCGCGCGAGAGTGTTGTGACTAGGCAGAACGAGCTGCATCTAGATAAGAACTCATCTTTAATTGCCCCAATTTCCCTGCTACCACTCGCTCTCCAATGTTACAGGCACCAGAAGCACTGTTTCATGGCCTCAATTGCTCCGTCCATTTTAATCAACGACTGCTGGCGTGAAAATCAGTCATAGGTCCACCGCACTGCTGGACAATGTCACTAAAGACGACTAAATCTGGCAGCTGTAGTGTTACCGATAATTCACAAAGCGATTGTGGCCTTCAAAACGACCGTAAATTATAGCTAGACATATAAGCGAGAGGGAACTGACTGAATCTTTGCATAATCCGGCCTTCGAATGATAATCAACATCAGGATAGGTTGAGCTCAGCTTCAAGCCTTACCGATGACAATGGCAGCATGGCATCGTTGCATACTCTGATCCACAAGAGCAAGAGCATGGGGATAGACTTTAAAATACGGGATTAACACATGGCGTTTCCGAGGAGGTATCAAAGTAGCACACCTTGAATTCTGTCCACCGCAGAAAGGTGTTCCCTTAGTTCTATAGCACCAAACACCGCAGGAGACTCCTTCGATGTTAAGTGGTCTGACGCCACCGCATGCATCAGACCAGGCTATCAGGTATGATAGAGTACTGACCACATGTCGCGTATATTAACATATCCTTGAGTTCATCAACAAGGTATTGTGTAACCGGGCAGAGGCTAGGAAAGGAATCCCAATGTTTCCTACGTTGTATGTTAGTTTACTTGCATATAACCTAGAATGTCATTAGGAATGGGATGGTGAGGTAGATCATTTCGCACGAACCTTTGATGGAACACACCAGTATTGGGCTTGAATAGCAAGCACTGATTATAAAAACAAGGACGAGTCATCAGAATCCAGATCCGCTGAAAACTATCAACACCCACTTATATGTGAAAAACTCTCGACGCGACATTCAGATATTATATTTTCAGGATCGAAGTCATGCAACCAAAAGAGGCACCTGCCCCGGTGATTGGCGAAATAATAGCAACAAGTGATAGACTTGCCACCAAAGACCTTTAGCTCAACCACAAGGTCAACCTGCTTCATGTCGAGCGTGAGGCTCCTGGACACAATGGTCCTTTGGAGTTCATCCAGCAAATAATGCATGCAGTATTCGATGTTGCCACATATCTCTTTGTCGCAAATATTCATTTCTGTGAATGTTCTCTGAGCGTCATAGCTCCAACTCAGGTCGTAGGTCTTCAATAAATCATGAACATGACGCACTGTCTTTTGGTTCACAAAGTAACGAGTACCTTCTGGATGCACGAACGCGGTCCATCCTTGGGGCACGTTCTTTAGAATGGTGGGGTCCCTTTGGCAAGGTTATCTCTCGAGTAAAGGCAAGAGCACACTCATGCTCACCAAGGAGTTGACCTTTTGTACCGCTCGACTTCAGTCGCAGCCATGGGCGTCATCTGCAGGCCGTCATAGACCGTGGCGAGCACTGATCCCGGTTGCCCGTCACTGTCGGGCGGAAGAATGTAATGAACATGGACAATACTGTGACCTGATACTGGTGCCGCCTGGCGAGGCAAATCCAATGGAACAGAAATTGTGTTCGGGGATCCGTGGTGTAGTACATCCACGATGGAACTATGGGTGCTAACCGGGCGAGAGTGGACAGGTCCCCTATGTGTTCGATATGCAGCTTGTCGACTCTCTGACCCAGCGATTGATCGTGTAAGTGAGCGACCGGTGCTCACCGAAAGAAGACTATCGGACGATTTTGTGGAAAAAAGTATCTCAGGTGCGAAATGCCTCATGGATGGTGCCCTCGTTGTATTAACAGAACGAGTCTCATCGATCTCATCCATGTAACCCTGTGGCCGTGAATATATTTCATGAAGGCCAGATGTCCTGCTGTTCACAAAGCTCTCTCCCATCTGCAGAGCCAAGTTCAAACTTGACCTAGAACCTTGACTAGGCAGCTGAAGACTCATGATATGTCACTGAATGGTGTATGACTAAGTATGAGGACCAGGTGCCTTCACACCACTGGTTCGAATATCGAGGGCCAGGTGGACTGCAAATCAGATGAGATGAGATGAGATACAATTGATGTGATATTATGTTTTTACCAGCAAATTTGTACCCTGTGGCTCCGTCACTCAGAATATCAAGCAAGAGTGTCAGGCTTCCAGAAAAACACACCCTGGCGACCTTCCGAGCTTTGTCGGTAAGCGGTTTCGGAACTTTCGGTGCTGATGAACGGTCCTCGAGTGCAGGTACCAATGCAGTGCGTCCTGCAATGCGAGGGCAACAGAACGGGAGCTGCAGGTCTGGGCGCACCGTGAATCAGTCAGCGAGGTTACGTGCCACGGTGGTTTACGGGCCTCTGGTAATTATGCGTGTTGTTGTTGTGGGGTGCACGTGGGCCTATAGATAAATATTATTAATTATTACTAGTTGAAATGGATCCACGACAAGTCTAACTTATCACAAGTCTAACTTATCACAAGTCTGGTCAAATGGGGCTGGAAGCTTTAGATCCCACTCCGACAACAACAGAATACCCCAGTGCCACAGACATTGTCTATCAGATGGCAGAGAGCCTAGTGAATGGCGGGACAGACGACCCATCGCAGGAGTCCAGCAGCCCAGGCTCATCGCACCGTTCCTTGACACGATCAATTTCTGGGTCAGGAAGTCGACAAGCTGCATATCGAACACATAAGGGGCCTGTCCATTCCCGCCCGGTTAACACCCACAGGTCCATCGTGGATATTCACCACGGATCCCCGAAAGACGACCCACCAATAGCCCCCATGGTTGCAGCTGAAGTTGGGCGATACAAAATGTCAACTCCTCGGTGAGCATGAGTTTGCTCTTGCCTTGACTCGAGAGTTGACCTTGCCAAAGGGACTTCAACGTTCCCAGAATCACCATCCCTGCTATGACAACTGCATTTCCTGCCGATGAGTGTGTTACGCTTTAACCCGTTTCTACCACACCTCAACTCTTTCAAGTATAGTTATGCCCTCGGAATGGACCATGTTCGTGCACCCAGATGGTGCCCGTTACTTTGTGAATCAAGAAAGAGTGCGTCAAGTTTATGGGTTATTGAAGACTAACGGTCTGAGTTGGAGCTGTGACGCACAGAGAACATTCACAGAAATGAACATCTGTAATCCAGAAATATGCGATGATATCGAGTACTACATGCATTATTTGCTGCATGTACTCCAGCAGATCATTGAGAGTGGGAACATTGTGCTCGACATCAAGGAGGTCGACCTTGTGATTGAGCCAAAGGTCTTCGATGGTGGCTCTGTCGGTTGCTGTTATTATTTCGCCAATCACCTTGGTCGGTGCCTCTTTTGGTTGCATGACTTCAATCCCGAAATCATCATATCTGAGCATAAAGCTGTCGAGAGTCTTTCACATATACGTGGGTGGTTAATAGTTCTCAGCAGGTCTGAATTCTGACAGCCCGTCCTTGTTTTCATAACCAGGGCTTGCCATTCAAGCCCAATACTGGTGTGTTCTACTAAAGGTTCGTGCGAAATCATCTACCTTGCTGTCCCATTCCTAATCAAATCCAGGTTATATGCAGGTAAACTAACATACAACATAGGAAACACTGGGACTACTTTCCTAACCTGTGCCCGATTACACAATACCTTGTCGATGAGCTGAAAGATATGTTGATACATGCGACATGTGGTCAGTACTCTCTTGTGCCCGACAGCTTGATCCTGATGCGTACGGTCGCAATGATCAGACCCCTCAACACCGGAGTCAATGTTTGATGGACTCAGGGAACAAATTTCTGTGGTGGACAGAATAAAAGGTGTGCTACGTTGTCATCTCCTCGCAGACGTTATGCGCTAATTCCATATATCAAAGTCTATCCCCTTGTCTCTGCAGACCTGCCACGATACCATATTGCTATTGTCATTGGTGAGGCTTGAACTTGAGCTTCAATCTATTCCCAATGTTAATTAACATCTAAGGCCGTACTATGTATGCATTCAGTTAGTGCTCTCTCATTCATATATCTCGCTGTCATTTACTGTCATTTTGAAGGTCAGAATTACTTTGTGAATTATATCATGCCACTCCTCCCAACGTGGCAAGGTGTGGCGAACCTGCCCGAAATGCCATTCCTACAGGTTTCTCACTATGTATTGCTGATCAACTTCATGATTGCCTATTCGATCTTTCGGGCACGGGATGCAACAGGCCCGCGTTGAAAAAATTCAAAGGACATCGAAGGTACATTAGCCACCAGAGCTACTATGAACTTAAGTTGATTCCCACTCGTTGTAGCAGGTTTTGTGCCATCGCCATTTTCACTTTGAATCCACCGAGACCTCTGCCAATAATGTGCTCCGGCGCTACATCCGTCCATCGTGCAGACCCTCAATACCCAAATGTACTCTCGCAGGGGCTCTTCACAGAAGAATTGTAGGGGAGCAACCGCAAAGCAATATATTGCATAGAAGGGTACGAAACAATTTATAAGACAATATGAAGACGAGTATGGACTGAAGGACAACGACAAGAGAAGGTAGATGAGGGAGACAACACGACATCACTAGATAGAGACATGGAGTGACAACACACTCGATGAGAAAAGGACAGGGAGTTCGTTGAGGGATGATACACACCGTGGGGAATGGTAATGGAAACGAAGGGTATCTGCTGGTCTCTGGTTTCTTGGAACATGTGAATGCCCTCAGGAATTGATTGAGGGAACGGAGCTAACTTGAACTTCATAACAGGCTACAAATTTAAGTTGAGGTGCATCAATTATAGCAATGGTGTGCCTCTTTCTTTTTTTGTTCATTCGAGCACTCGGTTCATGTTCTCGTGAGCAATGCATATGATTAGGATAGGCCCTGCTGCAACAATTCAGGATCAGTTCGGACTAGTGTTGTTGGCAATACTGCGCCATTGCACCGCGCCAGTTTTGCCACTCTGGCAATTGCCGGTGAAGTCAGAGGGGTCCGTGGCAAAACTTGGCACATCTAGCTAGTAGTAAGTAGGTAGAGGCCGACTCAGACAATCTGTGACAGATTTTCTTCACAGATTCGCCATCAATCTGTGGCTCAGATCAGAAATACGAAGTCTATCTCTATGTTTTTACCGTGTGTTGAATTGTATCGTTTGTTCCATCCCGTCGTCCATACTCCCTGCACTCCGGAGATTTTAAAATGTCTGACGAAATATTCATCGTGTTTTACCATAGTCAATACATCTTGTTGTGTCTGAATCAGGCCTTGTTTCGTAAGTGAGGAACAAAATATATTCAAATTGTGCTATGGACGTATTGAGAGAGAAAAAACATAACCTCAGAGCTTACAAAGATATCCGCCATCAGTCGCCACGTCGCAGGCAACATACAGGGATGGTGACATTGTGGCCCTCGTCACACTCGCCGACGTTGTGGGCAACATACGGAGATGGTGGCATCGTGATCCTCATCAGACAGCAACACCATCTGGAGAGGGTGCTGTGGTGAGGCTCAAGAGAACATCCTGGAGACTTTACCTCTGCTACGACAGCATACCTGTATCCTCTCGCAAGAGATCCTCCCAGCCCTGTGAAAGTAGGGGGAGACCTCTGGGAGGAGGGGGTCTCTCAGACCATATATCCCAAGATGACATTCAGCAGGTAGGATCTGACTCGGAGGATGGTTTGTCTTGGGATGTGCAGTCTCTGTTGACTATGGAGGGTGTCTCGTCGATGTAATAATGAGTAGTATTATGTAACACTGATTGGGAGTTTTGCCAAGTTTTGCCCACCTCAGGCATCACTTCTCAGTGCCTATAAGGGGTCTAAGAGACCCGGTTTCTATGTTATGGGAAACTAGTCTCTGAGACCCCTCCCTCCCGCCATCTAATTATAGTCATGTTCTGACGTTCCCTCGCGGGCCTCTGGCACCTCCCTACGAGCCTCTTCCACCTGCCTCTTGTACCTCCCTACGAGCCCCTTGCACCTCCCTATGAGCCTCTTCCACCCGCCTCTTGCACCTCCCTACGAGCCTCTTCCACCCGCCTCCGTTGCGCCCTCTTGCATACTTCTCGGAGCATGGTTTGATACCTTGGAGCATTCACTCACCCCAGCCCAGCGAGTCTGCTTGGATGAATTGTAATCCGCGGTCTACTCCCATAACTTATTCACAAGTCAAGGACCCAGGAACATAGAGTAGGCACTCAAGTGTACAGTAGCAATAGCAAGCATAATGCATTATGTACATACATGGATGAGCGGGTATATCACCCAAGGAACATATTTAGATGTGTTCGAAGAGGTGTTACTGGAATCGGTGTGGATAGTGTACATAAGTACGGTACAGCATAGGACAGTAGGGGTCATATGGAATCTTAATCGTCACTGATGCACCCCATCTCGTCCTCCCAGCGTGCGACATGGTGGCTGTATACTGAGCGAAGGGCACCGAGGCTGCCGAGCTTCTCGAGTGCATGCTTGAGGTCGCTCTCTCGGGATTTGGAATCAAATGAGATCTGATCCCGCAAATCAGAATTTAATGTAGAATTTCCAAGTGAATTGTGGTACTAACATGGTATCTACATCCAGTCAACCTCTGTGACATTTAGAAGGCCGATAATCGCTTTCAGACAACTCATCATCTATAGTGATACTTTGATCATCATCAGGATCCTCGGCATATTCAGAAGTGGACGAAGACCGTGTGACAGAAGTTATCGGTGGGATGAGATCCTCGGTGTGAGTAGGGTGTGGTGGCAGAAATAAGTTGTGCACAGCTCTGGAAGCTGGCCAGGGTGGCGGGCGTGATATTGCTACGATAGCTGGCCGGGGTGGCGGGCGTGATATTTCTACAAAAACTTGGACACGACGACGAATAGCAGAAGTTGTAGGCTGAGGTGGTGCAGGAAGTGGTGCAGGAGGTGTTGCAGGAGGTGTTGCAGGACGAGTAGATGGTGTAGCAGGGCGAGTAGTTGGTGTAGCAGGAGGTGAGGGGAGACGGCAAGGCCCTTTTTGGTCAATGTCGCCGTCTGCGAATGCACGTCGCCCGCGAGGGTGGATTGAGCGATGTGACAGTGCCTCTCCAATGATAACTGGGTCCTTGGACGTCAAGAGGCGTAAGTGGGCAGCATTGCTCGTGATGGCTCGAATAGTGAGGGTGCCTGTCTTGAGAGCGTTGACAAGCTTAGTACGATGAGGGATGCTCAAATCATGTATGCCTTTGGTCCGCCTGAGTGTGGGTCGAATCTCGCCGGGCATCAAAGTCTCTTCAGGGTAGTTCACGAGGCAACATCCAAGCCGAGCTAGTTCTTTGGGCAAGGTTTTCCAGGGGAAGTCTTTTGGGGAACGGCCATGCAGCATGCCGCCAACAGAAGCTGAAAGAAAGTCAAGATTAGTGTAAAAGAGAACTAACGAAACTTACCAGCAAGCGCCGTTATGCCACCCATAATGCAAGGAATACCATCAAGGGCCTTCCATCCACAGTCATGAACTTGTAGACTGGCAGTAACCCCACTAACTCCTGGGCCCTCTGTCAACACCGCCACATCCACGAGCTAGAAGCGATCAGCAGAACGGATATGAAACTGACTGGGGACTTACGAGGTGAGTAGTTACAAAAGAGTGCGAGTCTGTCTGCGTGGCGGCATCAACAAGGTGCGAGGGCTTGGATATGGTCATAGTCATTTTGCAAAGTACAAACAAGGTACAAGAGTAGATGCAGTTAATTGATAACACGCAAGAGAAGCCATAGAAATCTTTGGGATGTCACAGGGTAATTTTCAAAAAAGCATTGAATGAGGATAGCACCGAGAAGCTATGACTTACCAAACCTGGTAAATGAGCACAGAACTTTAATTCATAACGTAGTGTTGGCACCAAGCGCTCAAGAGGGTTGTCGAGGCTACTGCGGGCCTCCTGCAAGGTGAAAATCACATCTGTGAGCCAATGCGCTTGAGCATATAACTCGTACTGAATTAAAAAGACAAACATATGGACATTCACTAGCATTCAAGGTGTCTGAACGAGCCTCATGGGCTCCAGCAGTACGCCCCATTGTGCTAACACCAAATTTTGAACAAGGACACTACAATTAATGGCTGTATTGTATTTCTCCAACCGACAGGGCAATATAGCAGTATGAACTTCACAACAACTTGTGATCTTGTTAGGTACCATTTTTACAATTCATCCTTTCCCCTGTCATAATTCATCATGGACCGGCGAGCAAAATACCTCACATTAGATGAGAAAGCAGCTGCCTCACGACAACATAGAGAATCATATTCTCAGTCACAAAGGTAAGTATTGTATGTTTCTTGTCTAAGTTTAATCCACATGTTTTCATTATCACAGAGGTAAATTAGTGAGGCAAGCTCAGAATGCTCGCGGTTATGGTAGGTTATCGAGTGTAGCGGCCATTGACGGTAAAGTCAATAACCAATCCTATGTATAGATCTACCTCGAGGTTGTCGCTACACCATCGTCAACTCCCCAGGAAGACTAGCTCATCAGGCGTGTCCGTAGTCGTGTTATTCAAATCAGATTATGTATCGCGATACACAGAATGATAACACTAAACAGACAACAAGCAAGGTGGATAACACTATCATCTTCCACCACGGTACTGACGTCGGATCCTGTGTACGTCTCTCCATCATCTGACGACATATGTCTCCTCCGGAAGTCTGGCAGCGATGGATGTCGGTGCAATGGATTCTGGCGCCATGAGAGCTGTTTACCTCTTGTTCTGGTGCAGATGGTGTGGCAGCGCTGGGGTTGCACAAGCGGTGCAGCTTGAATTGCATTGTCGAAAGTGAATTCTGGCATAGGTGGAGGACTGTATTCTTAAGAGTTGCATAATTCTGCAGATGGTGCGATCATATTCAGCCATTTGAATCCTCCGCAGTAGTCAAGACACTCACAAATGGACCACCAGCGTAATCTGCAGGAAGGACGGGAGGAATAAGGGGCTCCACATGTCCCTCATAATTAAGTTTATGCTGCTAAACTTTCCACTCTTCTCCAGTGCCTGCTTGGGCATGTCGCTGTGGCCCGACATGATGATGAGAATACGCTATGCACAAAGAAAAACTTACAAATTCCTGTAGGTCTCTGGTCTCCTTCTCGGGTGTGATGAGCGTACTCTGGATCAGGAACTTGTCCTTGCACTTCGACGACAAATGTCACTCATCTTTCATCGGTTGTAGCATTACTGTAATACTGTTGGACATATAAGCAAAGTTGACACAGACATATATAACACGAGGCACATACCAGAGACATCGACACTTTCACCAGGCTCTACCCTGCCACCCACGGACGCAAGCGATAAATTTTGATGAGGCGGAGGCCGTGATGGCAGTGGAAGTAGATTCTGTGTCTAGACTCTACAGATGCTGACGTCAAATTCCCATCACATTGCATTGCGTCTGTGACATCATTGCCTCGATGCATCTTCCAACAGAAGTCCAGCTGATGGCATCATACCACGCCCCTTAATATAACATTCTTTTTGCGTGGCTCTGGCACCACCTCCACACCTCAGCCTCGTGCGAAATGTTCTAGGGCTACCTCCGTCATGTAGGCCCTTACACATTTTGTTGAACTCGCGTTAATTGCGTAAGTACTTTTCTCCAGACTACTATTACTACTACCTAAGGTCCGATTTTTACAGTATCATGGTGGCTTCATCGCTGTCATCTGGATCTCGTTCTAACCACCACAATCGGCTTATATTATCTGGGCTTGGACGTCACTCTGTCAGTCCGCGCAAGCCCCGAGACAAGAGGACGACTCAAACATCGGTCAAGGTACCTGGTGCAGAGGCCAAACGACGCCAAATTCTCGCAGCAATGGAACAACTGATGAATCCAGATCATCACGTGTTGAAGTTGCCTCTCCCACCTCCCCTCGTTACAAATGCGCCTCCTGATCCTGCTGATAATTTCATCGCAGATGATGGTGTGGAAATGTCAGTGCCAGAACCAGAATCGGACTCCAGCCCAGGGGAAGCGCCATCGAACGCCTTGAAACGTCGCATTTGGCCTGACAGGTCGACTCAAACATCATACAACTCATGGTCAACACTCATTCCCACTCTCGTCGAAGCCCAACTCCAATACTCCGCGCGAACACATGGCAAACCCTTAGAGAAAATCCAGAAAGTCGTCTCAGCGTGTAGGACTCTCAGGTGCGCATCAAAATGGACAAGTCTTGTATGTTTGTTTTTAGACCGTAAGCGCTGGAAAACATACCAGAGAAAATGTTCGTATTGACGGTTTATTAGGCTTTGAATCTATAGAAGCATTGAGTTGCTGTTGTTCTTCCCTTCCCCAAGTCCTTATCCACCATGGCTTGTTCCCAACAGCACCTTCGCAGCCTCGAATGGCAGTCTCCCTTGAATCACTATCCTTCTACCAGGCGTTGTTTGAGCGTTCCTGCGACGCAATTAATGCGCTTACATACGCTCTCAAGACATATTACTCGCATAGAGGCTTCCGATTGACAGATTCCAAGGTAAGTCAATTTAGTACACTATAAACGAATACTAATGATGCGTTTCTAAAGGGCGACGAAATACGAGAACCTTTTCGTCGCAGCCTTGGCCATGCGGTTGCAATGGTACGACATTCTGCAAATTGAAGTTGAGCGCCAAATCGAAGACCTTCTCGAACGATGCCGGTTCGAATTCTAAGATAGCCGAGGCATGAGGCTATCATAGAATATAGTCTACGCGTGAGTAAGCAATGTGGCGCAGCTTCTTTCTTCTTGCCCACATCAGCTTCTGAACGACGTAGATGATCACAAGCCCTAGCCCTCTCGTTTTCTGTTCCTTTTATAGAAATAAATGGCTCTCATGGTTAACGACCCCTAATACCGCTATACTACCGAACTTCAGGACTGCTGAGCACAAAGCAGCCAGAAATCAACTTATAGCCAACGGCGTCGCTGACGATGCCCAGCGGGCCAGAACTTCTAGCAATGTTATGGACCATAAACAATAACGCAGATAGAGAATGTTGGGCCTGAACAAATCGAAGAAGCTGCCAGAGACGCAGAAGAGGCCCAGCGTCTAGCAGCCGAAGAGGAACAAGAACACCATCAAGCCTTAGAGGAAGAACAGGAAGCAGCTCGCAAGGAAGAACAAAAGAAAAACAAGTCCAAGTTCGTCCCATCGGCCAACTCCAAAGTTCCCTCTGTCCTGGTCGTCATTCCTTCTCACTATGCCGTGCGCAAATTGAAAGCGGGAGAATATTGTGAACTATATTATTTCACTAACAAGGGTTTGAAGGATGCTAAGAAGACTTTACCTCCACCGAAGCACCAAGACTAATGTTAACAACAAACGCAGAAGGACAACAAACCTGGGTCAACGCCGACGAAACACGCGACCCCAAAGCTGTCGTCACCAAGGACGAGAATCTGTCTTGGGAACATTTTAACGAAGCCGCCCCGCGTATGATACGGCATGAAACAGCATGGATGGCCAGAGGACAGAGTCACCATGCATATTCTATTTTGGACAGCACTTCAAAATCACCGCTGGAGACACGCCTTCGACACTCTAAAGCAGCGCGCACTACTGCTTTATCAGAGTCAACAACGTCGGCTGTGGCACCTCACAGCAGGTGGACCACATGGGTGGAGCATAGCTGAGCTCAATCAAGACCTCATTCTTGAGGCGAGAGAGGAGATCTTCAAACGAAGACCGCGAACGCACTCGCCGCACTCAGACAGGTAGGGACCCACCCCCAACCCCCGTTACAAAACTAACTATTTTCTCTCATCATCGAAACCACTCACATCACGAACCACGCGCATCACGTTCGCCAACGTTCCCTAAAAACTTCGTTTTTCGACATCACGCTCAATCTCACAAACGATGCCGCTCCGACCATCACGCGTCAACCGGCTACTAACCAACATCATGGCTATCCGGACATCATGCGCCCTCCTCGTCATTCCCCCCACTGACACACAACCCCACACTCGCACGCAAACAGGCAGCTACCGCCCCCAACATGAACGTTGTGCGGAGCCAACAGCCCGCCAACACCAGCAGTAGGCCTCCCGCTCTACAGAAGAGAACTCTATCTCCGAACGCGGAAAACAACGACCAGAGGAAGAAATCACGCTCCTTTCGTGATGTTCCCACCCATCCTCCCCATTTCCATGTTGCACCGTCTGCCTGGGTCGCACTCCCATCACACAGTCGAGTGCACCGCCCCAAAACCTGGGATAACCTCTTTGATACCTTCTCAGAGCGCATTAAC